CGTTGCCATTCCTGAGGCCTAATTACGGTTACCAATACGCTTGCCAAGCGTGGCATCTATTGGTAAAAGCCCTCATTAGGGGAAGGTTTATGTTTAGCAGCGGACAGTTAAAGACTGATATGATTATGATATGGTATGGTATGGTATGGTACTTTACTTTGAGGTCAGTTGTACATACGCTTATTAAAATATGCTACTTTTGTCGTAGTATAAAAATCGGTTCGTCAACGTCGTGATTTTCATCTTTTATCTTTCCTGTATTCTGTATTGTTTAATTCTTCCTCCCCATCTTATCTTTATGAACGTTTCACTTTCCTTGACCCCACTGGCATGTCCAGTAGGTCGAGTAAGTCCCCTATTATTAAAATCCGTCCTCATACCTCCTCATGCTATAGTGGATCATTTACGGTTCATGCGGCTACACTATGGAACACTCTACCACTGCATATTCGTGAAAGTCAATCGCTGAATATATTCAAGAGCAGATTAAAAGAGCATCTTCTGTCCTCATAAACTTATTATGTCTATGTATGTATATGTACGTATTTTGTATGTAAAGAGATATTTTATGTCTATGTATATATGTATATGTATTATTGTATACAGATATGTATGTATTTTGATTTTAATTATATGAGTTACTTTATATATATGTCAACATATTTCATATTTTTTAATAGAAACATCTATAATATTTCCTTTATACTATTATATTATTACTGCCCGCTAGTAATTAATGCTCCTTTCCACTCAGGGTTTGCTGGAAGAGAACTCTTACAGAGTTAAGCTCGCCTGTTGTACATCTTTATTTTATATATATATTATATGTTGTAATTTTTTCTGTGTACAATAAAGAATAAATAAATAAATAAAAGGTAAATATTACAATATCTTAAATTTATTGAATTGAATTTTTTTTTTCATTTTGTTAATAATTTAGGATTACCAAATGCAAGGATTCGTAAGTATTTAAAATGTATTCAAACATATATGTAATATAGTTTAGTTTACAAAACACCAATGAACTTGGTTTTTATTTTTATTAGAGACTATATTATTTATATACCAATACCAATATATCTGTGTAGGTGGATCCATCAGGTATCTACTGATAGTGCGATGACCTCGTAAAGGTCGCACGAATCGATGGGCGCAGGTGCCTCGCTACCACGAAACCCATGGGGCTAATGAGGCTAATGCCCAGCAGTGGGCGTGGTTGATGGGGCATAGGATAATTAGTACAATTATATTGATTTTATACTTTACGAAATAAAATATCAAGGTTACTTCTAAATTCAGGAATTCTTTTAAATTTTGTCTTTCAAATTTTTTATCGAATCCTTGTTACTTATACGCGTGAGAGTGGCGCTCTCTGTTGTCAACAGTTAAGCGTCTTTTATTACACACTAGTTGTATCCCGCGGATTCGCTCGCGTGAATAAAACACAAAGTATTTCTCGGTTTGCCCAATGGTTGACTGGTAGAGAACACCGTCCGGTGTTAAGTCCGCCATATGTACATAGAATTTTACTGTGCGTTAAAGTTTGACTTAAATAAATAAATAAACATAAAATATTCGCCTTACTGTACTTATACAATTGTATCGTTGTGTTTGTAAATTGTCTTGCTTATTCCCTATATTGTATAATGCAAATAAAATATACTCATTTATAAAGTATCCTATATGTTAAGGAAGGATATAGGTAACCCGTGTACAAAATTTCATTTAAATCCGTTCAGAACTTTTTGCGTGAAGGAATAACAAACATCAATCGGTTGGAAGCTATTGTTAATAATGGAAACTAAGGACCCCATTGCTAGCAATATACCCAAACAGGTCGACCTCCACGTAGCCCCCCTGGAAACCATCGTGCTGAATTCCAACACGATGGACTAACAGACCTGTCTTATCATCCTCACCTATCATCCCTCACTGGTGTCCCGCCAGCGTATACCGACAGATCCTCCAAACTTTGTATCTAGATTCCTATCAGGATGAACTGTACGAAGCATTAAGCGGAAAGTAAACTATCTCATTTAGTATCTACGTGTCAACCAAATTTTAAAGACATTCGTCTTAACTAAACGACTGTAGGGAAAGGGATTGTTAGTAATGGAGACTAAAAATCCCATTGCTAGCAATATACCCAACCAGGTCGACCTCCTCGCGGTTCCCCCTGGAAACTATCATGGTTAATTCCTGATGAATTCATCATGATGGGCTAACTGACCTGTTTTCATTCTCATCTATCACCCTTCACTGGTGCTCCGCCAGCGTATCCCATTAGCGCAGGCGGGGTTACCATACCATTATCACCCGTTAAGAAAAAAAACTAAATGACTTACCGTTCGGGCAGCAAATGTTGAAGGGTGAAATTAAACCTTTTGTGTTTTATTAGTTGTTTTTTTTTAATATTTATTATTTTTTACTCAACCACATAGTAGGAATATAGAAAAGATGGCTGTCAGTACAGAGTATATATATATATGTATATTTTTAAATCACATAGACTATTTTTAACAGCAAAAAGGAGGGGTGTTTAATATATAGCAATATCTATTTATTTAAGTTACAATATCTTTTTATTTAAGTTACAATATCTATTTATTTAAGTTACAATATCTATCAACTGGTCTAATAACATATATGTACAAAGTTTCCTTTGTTTCTGGTGAAGCACAACAACAGCAAGTAACAACGGCCTCCCTTTGATATTTACAATAATAGTTGTTTACTGTGTCTATGTATTAAAAATTATTACCAAGCATTAAGTTTGATCCTGGACATTTCACATAAAACGGGATATCTAATCCCTAACCGTCACTCTTATGTAGATATAGATATATTATATTATGTATATAATATAAGTACCGACATTAGTACGTTATTTATTCGATTGGTCATATTTAACTCACAGTGAGAGGTTGAGGTCACAGAAGGTGCCCTTAACGTATGCAGTTTTACACAATTTGCTGCTACAATATTTACAGGCGTTTGGCTACACAGTAAATTTTTTTAATGGGTGATAATAGAATGGTTACTACACCCGCGCTATCGGTATACACCGGCGGGGCACCAGTGAAGGATGATAGGTGAGGATGAAGCAGGTTAGTTAGCCCATCGTGACGAATTCAACAAAGAAGGATTCAACAACAATAAGGATGTTGCTGACGTCTTTTCTAACAAGATATAGAAAACATTACTGTGGTGGAAAAGGGATTTATTAGCAATGGAGTTTGACAGCCCAATTGCTAGCAATATGCCCTCTATTAGGTTGACCTCCATGTGGTTCCCCCTGGAAACTATCGTGTTCTATTCCATGTGAATTCATCACGATTAGCTAACTGACCTGCCTTTTCATTGCCACCTATCATCCCTTACTGGTGCCCCGTCAGCGAATACCGTTATCACAGGTGGGGTTACCATTACATTATCATCCATTAAAAAAATTCTATCTAGCAGAATCACAGCGGGAAAGGGATTGCTAGTAAAGGGGTCAAATATACCCATTACTAGCAATATACTCTGTCAGGTTGACGTCCACGCGGTTCCCCCTGGAATTCATAGTGGTAAATTGTTGTTCAATTGAACATTATAGGCCAACTGACCTGATTTTATCCTTACCTGTCACCCTTCACTGGTACTCCGCCAGTGTATATTGTTTTTTTTTGATGGGTGGAAATGGAATGGTAACCCCGCCTGCGCTAACGGGATACGCTGGCGGAGCACCAGTGAAGGGTGATAGATGAGAATGAAAACAGGCCAGTTAGCCCATCATGATGAATTCATCAGGAATTAACCATGATAGTCCCTAGGGAGAACCGCGAGGAGGTCGACCTGGTTGGGTATATTGCCAGTAATGGGATTCTCAGTCTCCATTACTAACAATCCCTTTCCCCCAAGTGAATATATGTTAGGCAGGGTTACCATTCCATTATCATCCATTAAAAAGAAAGTCTATCCAGCAGCATCACATAAAATTTTAAGAAGTTATAGGTACTATATATAAGTATATTGGTACCATACTTTTTGTTGCCGTTAAAGATTACATCAAAACAATGTTTTATTTGAAAAATATTTTATTATAAAATCCAAACTAATGACAATATATAAATAATTAAGAGTATTTTACAAAATAATTATTTATACACAAGAGTATTTATATTACTATTTGTCCCCTGGAGTCCCGGCAAGGGTCACCTTACGGGTGACCCATATGGGACCCTTACGGTTACACCATACGGGTCACCCCTTCTTTTGCCTGTGGGTGTCACTGAGGGAACTGATTAGTCGAGGGATGGGCAGGAGCGACCCTTTTAAAACATCTCCAAAGTCTAATTATGGTCGCTAACTCGTCTGTCTGCTAGCGTGGCAAGTGCTGGCAAAACCCCCCAGTAGGGGGAAGCCTATTTTCAGCAGTGAACAGTAAATGGCTGAATTGATGATGAATGTTTATAAATAATAGGTAGACTTTGTACAAAAGTCGATTGCTTGGGTACCTCTGTCCCATTCGTGTTTCAACCGTGAAGCAGTTGTTTGTATGGCCGTGTTTCGGTTTGAAGGGTGGGATATGGCGTGAATTTACTGGGTACAGAGGAATAACACCTGAGTCCTCAGGAATGGCAACGCATGGGGGTATCATGGGCGAAACAGTATACTCTGTTATGTCCATGGTACTGCTCATGTCTATAGGCGACGGTTACCACTTTCCAACAGGTGGGCCGTCAGCTTGTTTGCCATTCTAAGTTGTATAAAAAAAAAAATAGGTACAATATTATGAAAGAATTTTTATTATGTACACTGACAGTAGGAACGTTTTACAGTCGCACATAACTTAAAAATATCATCACGACCTTGTCCTCAAAATGGGCAGACAGGGTCCAAATGTGTAATCAGAAATGTACGAACTATTCTAACTCTAAAACTATAATCTCACTAATATAAATTAATACAGACTTTTAAAAAATTATCATGAGAGATCTCAATAAGAACAACAGAAATCAAAACAATATTTTTTATAAAATTTCTTTGTTTGTATATTTGTTCCAGCGTTATCCTAAAACTACGTGATGCGGTTTCTACACTTACATTCTTTAATGTTTAACTTAAAATGTAACTTGGTATATGTTTTATCTTGATCCAGCGTCTAGAAGTGGTCTGAAGGATCATTGGTATTCCTACTAAGGAATAGACAAAGAACAAAATGCCGGACGTTGCTGTCTCGTACTATCTCAGACATGCAGTAGCGAAAACGTACATAATGTATTAATAGATTAATTTGCCATTTGTCTAGAAGATCTTGGGTGCGATCACCACTTCAATGATTTTACTTCATTTTATAAAATATCTTCCGATCCATATTTAAAAATAGGATAGAAAAATGATTCGAAAACGAATTAAAAAAAAAACTCTCATCTTAATTTCGCTCATCATCTCAATTTAGCTCATCCTTTTTTCTTTATTACGAATTGACTTGTCTCCAAGGATTAAACGAGGGTTGTGGCAGTTCCGTGCAATCGACCATAGGATTGGTGGCGCTGATCTCTTCCATGACCCTGGGCTGGGCCTGTTCCAGGAGACCTTCGTTAGCGCAGATGACTCCGGCCAGAGTTGTCTTACGTATCTCTGTGAGTTGATCTAGAATGGAAAAATGAAGATAAATGACGCGATGTACCTCAGGGAAGTATTTTGGGGCCACTTCTATTTGTAATCTTAATAAATGATTTACTTAAAGTCTCTGAGAATAGGTGTGTTTTGTTCGCAGATAATGTTTCTGTTATCGTAGCCAGGAATAAAAATGATGAACAAACTTTTGAAAACGACAATAATTTTATAGTTACATCTATAATAGCATAGATAGAAAGTCACAATTTATACGCAAACATAAAAAAGACGAATTATATTAAATTTTTGAAAAAGGGAGTAAAAGAGTTAGATCTTAACATCAAATATAAAGGTGAAAGGATTAAAGAAGTACATGATGTGTTATTTCTGGGTGTAACAGTGGATAGCTTCTGTGATTGGAAGGCTCATGTCCTTAAGGTGTGCAATAAACTCAACAAATTCGTATATGTCATTAGGCGACTTGGTAGAACCTCAGATCAAAAATCTGCTCTAATGGCGTATCATGGTTATGTGGCCTCTCAATTACGTTTTGGGCTAATATTCTGGGGAAAATCAACAGAAGCACTTCAAGCTTTTCTTGTCAAAAAAAATGAGCTCATGCCATCTTTGGTATCCCATCTTGGAAATCATTTCGGCCTTTACTCAAAAAACGTAGCCTTTTCCCTTGCCACGTATATAAGGAAATAGCTGTACTCGTATTTGTATAAAAAGTATTTTAGCAAATTCACTGCTTCTGTACAACAATATCCAAAAAATACGAGACAGCCAAATAGATTAGTTTTAAATTGTATTCCAAAAACAGAAGTCTATCAAAAAAATTTTTATTATATATGTACGAAACTGTATAATGCAATCCCTAAAGAGTTTAAAGAATTAGGTTTTAATCAATTTAAACAAACCTTGTCGAAGTGGCTCTTACAAGAGTGTTTCTATTCGGTGAAAGAATTTATTGAGCATTAACGTGATAATATTTGGAGCATATCTGATGTAACTATAAGCTATGACATATTGTACGAATTGAAGTAAAATCTATAATTTGAATTTGCCACTTGTTTGTAATTTTTATTTGACATTAACATCTGCTGACATTGAATTAAATATAATAAAGTAAATTGTGACAATTTATTATATGTATATATAAATAATAATGTACTGTATATTATGAATTGTAACTTAAGTTGAATAATATTCATTTAATTAATATTTAAGTATTGATACTCGTATTGAAAAAGTAAAATACTTAAATTATAATTTGCATGCTTAATATTAGCTGAATATGGAACTGTTTATTTATTTTATTTTTATTTATTTATGGCAACAAACAGTCATTTACAAAATATTTTTTTTTTACAAAATAATTATTTACTAAATAATGTTTATGTATTCTATAGGAACTTTGTCATTATCTATTCAAAGCAAATAAAGTATTAGTATTTTTTTTTTTACAACGCAGGGGGCAAACGAGCGTGCGGCTCACCTGATGGTAAGTGACTACCGCCGCCCATGATCACCCACAACACCTACGGCACTGCAGGTGTGCTGCCGGCCTTTTAAAAAGGAATATGCTCTTTTCTTGAAGGTTATGTTGTCGTATCGGTTCGGAAATACTGCTACATAGTATTAATAATAAATCTGTTCTATTCTAATGTAGTTATAATAAATGACAGAGACAGACTTTGTACAAGTCATCTGCTTACTCTCTTACCTATAGAGAAACAGACGGTCTCGTCCGACGTCTCATACCAGAAGCGGTCTCCGATCTTCAAACGGAGGAACTGGTCCGATATGAGGCAGGTGAGCGTAGGCGCCAGCAGTCTACCGTGAGGCTCCTCCGCCAACGCCCCGGTGTACAGGTCGATGTCTTCTACGGAACTAGAACAGGTTTTAACATTAATAAGTCCTTATATCTTATGATCATCAGACGTTTGTTTTTTCTTTACAAACGGTGGAGGGGATTTGAATGAAATTTGGTACGTGGATAGATTATGTCCTAACTTAACACATAGGACACTTTATATAATAATTTATGCAAGCAAACCAGAGGGAGACTTTGTATAAAAGTCGATTGCTTGGGTACCTCTGCCCCATTCGTGTTTCAACCGTGAAGCAGTTGTGTTTGCATGGCTTTGTTTTGGTTTGAAGGGTGGGATATGGCGTGAATTTACTGGGTACAGAGGAATAACACCTGAGTCCTCAGGAATGGCAACGCATGGGGGGTATCATGGGCGAAACAGTATACTCTGTTATGTCCACGGTACTACTCATGTTTATAGACGGTTACCACTTTCCATCAGGTGGACCGTCGGCTTGTTTGCCATACTAAGTTGTATAAAAAAAACCCCACAGTTTTCATTATTACAAATATTAGGCAATTAACTTACTTGTAAATGGCAGTGATTCTGCTTAACGAGAGATCATCAAAGACACCTTTCAGGTCAGTGAAGGTTTTTGGTCTGGACAGGCCGCAGTGCTCCCGCCACGCGGGGTACGATGGAAGGCCGTGGTCGCGACCGCGCTGAATGTTCAGTGACACCAGGTCCAAACCGCAAGGGCCTGCCGCTATCTTCGACTGAGTCGAATTGCTTGTTGGATTCTCGAATAAATGGTTGCTTAGCTGAAATTAACGTGCAGTGAAGAAATTTTATTTCTCGTCTTTTCTATTATTATATTAGTTGCAGTGGCGTAACTATACCATTTGGGGCCTGTAGCAAATTCTTTTGATGAGGCCCTATCAGTAGCTCGCGGCCTCTTGAGCCGGGGCCCTTTTGGGTCGGGAGCCCGTGACATTTTGCCAGCCCTGCCACCCTATTGTTACGCCATTGATTTATTGTTACTTTCAAAATTATAATAATTATTTTGGGTATTATATTAGTAATTAGTAAGGAGGTCGACCTAATAAGGCATATTGCTAGCAATGGGGCTGTCAAAACGTTAACGGGTTGTAACCCTGACCTGAACCGGGTTCAGTATGAGAGAAACTGGAAATTTCTTCTTGGTTATTTATAATCTTACCTCTGTAGTGACGTGGGGATCGACGCCATGGACAGGTGTGTTTATGGCGGACCTTACGGAGAATTTGAAACCCTTCTCGCTGTACAGTGCGTACGGATTGAACAACATCCGATGGAGTTGCACGTAGCTCACGCTGCCATTTTTAGGGTCCACATTGTGTATTAGACCCTGGAAGGAATAAATCATTATCACTTTTGATTTACATTGAACATTTATATAGATATCTAAATGTTTTATCTAAATTTTACTTTTTTTTTTATACAACTTAGAATGGCAAACAAGATGACGGTCCACTTGATGGAAAGTGGTAACCGTCGCCTGTAGACATGAGCAGTACCATGGACATAACAGAGTATACTGTTACGCCCATGATACCCCCCATACGTTGCCATTCCTGAGGACTCGGATGTTATTCCTCTGTACCCTGTAAATTCACGCCATATCCCACCCTTCAAACCGAAGCAAAGCTATGCAAACACAACTGCTTTACAGTAGAAACACGAATGGGGCAGAGGTATTTTTATAAACGATTTACTGGATCATTATTTGTATTATATTAGCAGTTAATTATCTATTGCTAAACATAAGCCTTCCCCATAAGGGGAGTTTTGCTAGTAGTTGCCACGCTTGGCAGGCGGGTTGGCAACCGCAGTTAGGCTTTGGTAATGTTTCACGAAGGACGCTGCTGCCCATCCCCCGATCATTAAGCACATTTACAGGATGCAGAGACACAAAACCATAGTGCTCGGCAATAGCAACGATTGAGAAGTACCATGGGCACCATCATAGTACATACATACATAATATACATATCTGTCACGCCTGTCTCCCATTAGGGTAGGCAGAAACAATGGAACGCCAAATGCTTCGATTCAAACAAACCTCTTTCGCTTCTCCACATTCATCAATCTTTTCATACACGCTCGCCGGTTACGGGTACTTTTAATTTGGCCCTTCTTCAGCACGTCGCCTATTTGTTGACCATCATAGTATATATGACGTAATGTCCATGATGTTGTTCATATCTAAAGGTGACGGTTACTACTTTCCAGTAAGCAGAGCCATCAGCTTGTTTGCCGTTTTGAGTATCATAATGAAAAAAAAAAGTTATATTGCAAAAATTTTGGTCACAAAATCGTCTAAGTCAGTAGACGTAGACAATCTATTATGTATTTTGTGTCTGGTCATCATGATCATTGTAATCATTAAAACATATTTATTCGTCCACTGTTGATACTGTCCATAGTTCTCCCGCATATATCGTTACAAAGTACCATCTTGCACCTATTTGCAACCATCGAATTCTTGCAACATTTACGAGATTCTGTCATTCCATCCGGGTCCCCACTGGATATACTTTCTTCTCCATACATTATCAGTTTTAGTTATAATAAAACATTACGACCGCACGCAATAATCCACACGCTTGAGCAAGCTGTGATACTCGTCATGTCTATAGGCGACGTTTACTATTTTCCATCAGGTTGGCCATCAGCTTCTTTGCCATTCGAAGTTTCATAAAAACTACACAGCATGGACGGAGAATTATGGCCACGGACAGAATATACATTGGCTGCATAGATATTTATAAAATACTAGCTGACTCGGCAAACGTTGTTTTACCATATAAATTATTTCGAGAACTATACATGAAAATTTATCCTACTACAATTATTATATTCGATTGCCATCTTGCAACCATATTGCAGCATATAAAAATAGCGATTAACAAACAGGCGTTGATCGTAAAACGGTGAAAATTTGAGGTTGTATATATTTTTCAATGCTAAATCATAATAAAATATAAATGGAAAAATTTGTCAAAAAAGTAAAAAAAAAAAAATTTTGGGGAGGGTCACCCTTATCATTGAGAGGTATGAAAAATAGATGTTGGCCGATTCTCAGACCTACCCGATATGCACAGAAAATTTCATAAAAATCGGTAAAGCCGTTTTGGAGGAGTTTGGTAACAAACACCGCGACACGAGAATTTTATATATAAGATTTTGTCATAGTCTAAAATTCTTTTCTATCAATTGGCTATAAGGTCATTTAGACAGAGTTGGCATTCTAAATTGTCATTTAATGGTTCAGGATATGTCCTAATTACTAGACAACTAGCTGCTATTTACACTGTGGTAATGTAGTAATGTGCTTAGACGTACTGGAAGTAGAGTGTGGGCGAATCTGAAGGCAGCTGCAGCGAAATGATTAGCAATGGACGGATCTACTGTAGGATCATACGAATTGTCATGACCTTCGTTTTTTAACGTCAAATTCAAGGCCCACATCACATCAGCACCTGGAACGATAAAGATAATATTTATTTATTTATTACTTTACACTATACATAAACCTGATTGCAAATTTAACCAGAGGGAGACTTTGTATAAAAGTCGATTGCTTGGGTACCTCTGTCCATTCGTGATTCAACCGTGAAGCAGTTGTATTTGCATGGCTGTGTTTCGGTTTGGAGAGTGGGATATGGCGTGAATTTACAGGGTACAGAGGAATAACACCTGAGTCCTCAGGAATGACAACGTATGAAGGGTATCATGGGCGAAACAGTATACTCTGTTATGTCCATGGTACTGCTCATGTCTATAGGCGACGGTTACCACTTTCCATCAGGTGGGCCGTCAGCTTGTTTGCCATTCTAAGTTGTATAAAAAAAAGACTCCAGTCAAGTTTATTTCTAGGAAGGTAAAGGACAAATATAACTTTTAGAAGGAAAAGGAGATATGTTACTATGATTCTATAACATGAGCTTCTATTTGCAGTCGATAGAATAACTGAAATGTTTTTATATTTTGGTGAGAAGTATATGACCACAATTTTTTACTACATCACAAATTAGCCGTGCAGTTCCCGGCATAGAATACGCCACCCATTCCTTTCCCGTGAGTGTTGTAAGAGACGTCTGAAGGAGCTTATATTGAGGTAGGTGGAGGAATAAGTAGGAGCGTCCCTCTTAAAACACCACCAAAAGCCAATCTACGGTTGCCAACCTGTCTGCCAAGCATATTGGCTACTGGCATCCCTTATGCCTATAAGCCTATGATCAGCAGTGGACAGTTACCGGCTGATATGATAACAAATCTTTGTACCAAGTACGGATGGCAGGAATTCCGAATAAGTGATGTGCTGCATCTGTGCGCCGACAATTTTCCTCGCCTCCTGATACGTGGTCTCGTCGTCCCAGCTCGGGTTGAGTTTGCCCAAGATCGCTGCCAGCCGGTTGTGCTGCCGTGCCCAGATCAAGTGCATTGTGGTTAGGTGGAGATTTTCGTTGGCTCTATCATCACCTGTAAGGTCAAATGTAAGTCACAGTTAATTATGATTTTGAGTTTACTCAATAATTTAGCGGAAAAATTTGAAATGCGAAATATACGAGATACATTGTAAAATGACGTTACTAAAGTATCTACCATCTGTAACAGTAAGATTCTTGCAAAGTAGGCAGAAATAACTGCGTGCGAAGACTTTCGTCGTAACATAAATAGATACTCTTTATTGTTTTTTTTTTATCGTTTTCCATATGGTTCCATAGTGGCATAGAATAGGTTACCCCTCCGTTTCCCGTGCGTGTCGTAAGAGGCGACTAAGGGAACTTAATAGGCGAGAGTTGGACAGCAGCGCCCCTTTTAAAACATCTCCAAAGCCTAACTGCGGTTGCCAACCCGCCTGCCAAGCATGGCAACTACTGCCAAAACCCCCATAGAGGGAGGCTTATGTTCAGCAGTGGACAGTTAAAAGCTGATATTATGATGATGCTGCATCTAAACACTAACCAGTATCAAAACAATATCGCCCTTTCGCGTTCATCTCCGCTGTATTGCAGCCATCACCAGGGTCCGTGGAGGGCGGCAGCAGCTCAAATCCCTCGATAGTCAACATCCTGAGCCGACCGTTGGCGCCGAGCCGTAGTTGTGATGCTCGCAGCTCAGAGAAACCATATACTGTGGAGCCATCGAGGAAGGCTGTGGCTTGGTTCATTTGCTCGCGAGGGCCTGAAAAGTTTTTTTTTTATTATTAGAAAGGTAAATGAGTTGATAAATTATCTGATAACCTACCTTCGTTAAAGAATATAATAATGCTCCTTTGTACATAAACGCCTATAGGAGGGCACACTGGTGTGCAGAAGTAGAGGGTAAACCCCGGACGGAATTTATTTCAATGTACCATGACATACATGTGAGATGAAAATACCAGCGTGAGGTTTTACGCAATGGTCGTGTACTCACGTGTATACACGCAACAATTCTTCTCCATTCATTGTCAAATAAATTATGTTGAAATTTTCACTTAATACAATATAAGTACTCCTACGAATTTTGATAAAACCTACAATAAAAGAAGGAGGTACTTACCTTTCTTTTTATTCAGATGTATTCTTTGTATGCTCTGTACCGTTTCTATACGAGTATGAAAGTTTTTTTTTAAATATGTCAAAATTGAAATTAATTTTTTTTTTAAATACTGAACTACAAGCTGCTTTTTCTATGATGCTTAGAATGGCAAGTAGACCGATGAGCTACAAAGTAAAAAAAGGAGTCTATAGATGTGAATAGCACCACATCATTCAATAATTGCGAAGGCACCTCTCATACGCTGTTATTACTGAGGACTAAGATGCCATGTTTCTGACTGACTAATCAGGGGGGATAATGGATTGTTAAAAATGGGGATTAGTAGCCCCATTGTTAGCAACACTCACTGTTAAGTCGACCTCCTCGCGGTTCCTCCTGGAAACTATCGTGTCCAAGTGAATTCATCACGATAGACTAATTGGCCTACCTTTTCATTTTCATCTACCATCCCTCACTGGTGCCAAGCCAGTGTGTATTGTTAGTGCAGACAGGGTTACCATTCCATTATCTTCCATTTAAAAAAAATCTGACTTACCAAAATGGCAAGTGGGCGCCGGTGCAGACCTCACAAACTCCATGCAGGTGAGGTTGTAGTGCTGGTAGAAGGGATCCTCCTTGTCCAGCTGCACTGGGAAGCATTCCGGGTGCGGTGCTTGGGTCGTGTCGCAACAGGACAGAGAGCTACTGTTAGCACCTGAAACAAAATACATTTGGTGTGTTTGATTTATCAAATTTAGTTCTTTTTTGTTTAAAAATTGTCACAATATATATACAATATTGTACACCGCTTTACCCGCTGACATTGATGCTCCTTTCCAATTTGGGTGTTGCCTCTTTTAGAGTTAATCTCGTCATTGTATATTTACTTAACTCTGTCATATTTTTATGTATTATCAGTGTGTGCAATAAAGTATAAATAAAAAAAAAAATTTGGTAATTTGAAGAAACATTGATGTCCGGAAAACATACCTAATAAGAATTATTTGGTTTAATAGACTGTGATTGTTTTTTACCGTCAAGTTGTCTCGTATTATTTATCCAGTTGTCAAGCAGCTGTGGTTACATGGCTGTGTTTTGGTATGCAGGGTAGAATAGGGCAATGAAATTACAGGGTACAGAGTCATAACTTTTCTCAGGAATAGTGATGCATGTAGGTTGTTCTACAAAATCAGAGACTCTACAGATGTTGTCTGCTTGGTTAGCTTTAACCCCTTGTATTTTTGCTGTAAAGCAGCTTGCACGGCTGTTTGGATTTGAATTTAAAATTACAGAATACGAAAGTATACCATAATAGTTTGGGTAGGGGGAAAGGGATTGTTAGTGATGGAGACTGAGAATCCCATTGCTAGCAATATACCCAACCATGTCGATCTCCTCGCCGTTCTCCCTGGAAACTATCATGGTTAATTCTTGATGAATTCATCATAATGGGCTAACTGGCCTGTTTTCATTCTCATCTGTCACCCTTCACTGGTGCTCCGCCAGCGTATCCAGTTAGCACAGGTGGGGTTACCATACCATTTTCACCCATAAAAAAAAAAGTCTGGGTAGAAAAGGATTATTAGTACTAATAGCCCTATTGCTAGTATTAGGTCGATCTCCACGTCTTTGGATCCCTCGGCATTGTCGTTGTGAGCTGGGAGGTATATCGTAAGGTCGTTTAGCCGGTAGGAGTCCGGCAGTACCTACACGGGCCCTAAACTGTGTGGGTCTGCATGATGCATTTTTCGTGACGGAAAAAAAAAGGTCGATCTCCACGTGGTTTCCTTAATTCTAGATAAATTCGTCACGATGGGCTAATATATATAAATAATATATAAATAATCTGTTTTCATCCTCACCTATCGCCCTTCACTGGTGTTACGCCACCATATCGTCATAGTCGTAGAATACTGACGGATCTATATATGTAATATTTGTCAGATCCGTCAGTATTCTACGACTATGACGATATATTCAAGGTACTGTTCATGTCTATAAGTGACGTCTTTTCCACCAGGAGATCCAGATTGTTAGTCATTCTAAGCATTAAAAACAAGGAATTGTACCTTTGCTCAAAGCTGTGGCAGTGATGTCATGATCGATGAACTGTCCCCACACAGCCAGCATCACCGTGAACGCGCTGTCTTGTGCATAGGTCGGTCGGTGGACCGTCACACTCACGTCGCGAGCGCTGGGCAAGCTCGCCCCGCTTCTACTTTTGCGGGGCGAGCTGATCCCTGAAAATGGAATGTAATTTAAGGGGGGAGACTCATGTAAAATTTTCAAAAAATCGATTTTTTTTTTTTTCGATATTCTGAAAGTATACTATGTTGAGCGTGTACTGACGAGCCGGAAAAAAAAAATCTCGAATATTTACAAAGTTATAGCTAATACAGTGGAGCGGGCCGAAGTACGTATTGTCAAGTAACGAGCCAGGTAGTCGGGGCGCTTGAAAAGGACCCTTCTATTATAATACCTGGAAATATTTCTTTTGTTCAACTATCGAGAATCCTTTTTAGTAAATATATATATATATACTTTTACATTTCTGCACACGTGTAACATTAGTACACGAATAATCGTTAGTCGAGAAATATATTTAGTTTAGCTGGAGATTTCTTCGTGTTCAGTCGATTTTGAAAAGCAAAAATGCCGAATTATAAAAAAGGTACACGTGGGAATATTGCAAGAAATAACACCCGGAAACGAAAGTTTCAGGGCAATCAATTCACTAATAATGAAGGTGAAAAATTCGAAGCCAGTGTAAGCCATGATCACAGTGCCAGTGGCAAAAAACTCCATGCCCGTGATAGTGAAGATATAATAACAAATCCTTTACACGGGTACAGGATAATTGAATTTTTTACAGTGTTTACAGCTTTGTCTGAAATTGTGAAGTGCTCGGTGTGTAATCAGAAGATAAAATTCAATGAGTGTAGTTCCAGAGGTCTTGGTTTTAAAATTGTTGTCACATGTCCATGTGGTAATAAAACAATAAATTCAGGTCCTTTCATTAACAACGGATTTGAAATAAACCGGAGAATAGTGTTTATCATGAGACTTTTGGGTGTTGGAAGAGAAGGGATAAATTTATTTTGTAACCTGATGGACCTATGCACTGGTTTGAGTAAAAGTTGTTACGCTAACATTGTGGAACACATTTATAATACAGTGAAATTATCATTTGAATTTCTATCGCAGAAGGCAGTGAAAGAAGAGATGGAAAAAAATGTCGAGCAAGGAAGAGAAAAAAATATTTTAAAAGTATCTGGAGATGGTACTTGGAAAAAACGTGGTTTCAAATCAAATTACGGTGTTGCAACGCTCATAGGATATTATTCAGGGAAAGTTATTGATTTGAAAACAAAAAGTAGTTACTGTCAAGGCTGTATTTACTGGAAGAACAAGACTCATACAGAAGAATTCCGTAAGTGGATTGAATATCACGAGGATGAGTGTCAAAAAAATCACGAAGGTTCGTCAGGAAAGATGGAAGTCGATGCCATGAAAGAAATGTTCTCGACTTCAGAAGAAAAATTCGGAGTAAAATATGGTAACTACATTGGTGACGGAGATTCTAAGACATTCAAGGCTATTCTAGATTTAGAACCTTACGGTAATGAGTTACCAGTAGTGAAGAGTGAATGTATTGGTCATGTAGAAAAAAGAATGGGTTCTCGACTTAGAAATGTAAGAAAAGAAAAGAAACTTTCGGGGAGAGGAAAACTAACTGATAAAGTGGTAAAAAAATTAACAAAATATTATGGTTTAAGTATTCAGAGAAATGTTAACAGTGTTGAAAATATGAAAAAAGCCATAATGGCTACTTATGATCATATTTTTTCCACTACAGAAAATCCCCAACATGATAACTGCCCTGTAGGCGTTGATAGCTGGTGCAAATGGCAGAAGGCTATTGCTCAAAATCGAGATCCTCGAAAGGAAAATTTAGCTCCATTACTTGGTGAAGATTTAAAACAGCATCTTTTACCAATATATCAAGATTTGTCCAAAGATGATTTACTTGAGCGATGCCTTGGTGGTCATACGCAGAACGCGAACGAAAGTTTTAACGCTACAGTTTGGCGATTATCCCCAAAACACCTGCATTCCGGACTAAAAGTAGTCGAAATTTCAGCTTACATTGCTGCAGGGATATTTAATGAAGGTTATACTTCCGTATTAAGAATAATGAACCTTTTGAATCTGAATATTGGCACTTATGCTAAGATATTTGCGGATAGTACAGACGAGGAGCGAATAACCCGACAGAATCGTAAAAGCCTTTCAGAGACCAAAGATGCTCGTTCAGCTCGCAGACAACATCAAATAGATGAAAATCAACTTTTTGAGGAGGAAGAAGGACTGTTATATGGACCTGGAATTGCAAATTAGTCGGTAAGTAATTAATAATTCAGTAAAACTACTCATTTTCCTGTACTGAAACTTTAAACGCGATTATCTCGAAACTACTTTTTGAAAAACTGTTCGTGTTGTAGCTCAAAAAATTATTGACCGATTTGTTTGAAATTTGGTGAGGCTTTTCTCTACATTACTATCGGAAGGATAAACCTAAAACTTCAGGTATTTCTGATTGATTACTTATTTTTTTTGGGGTCAAAAGGGTCAAAAAAATAGCCCAAAATCGTAACTTTTTTTTAAGGCTGATTTTATATTGGATTTTATCCTTTTCTTTTTAATTTTATAGGTTTATCCTTTCCGTTTATATGTCCTGAAAAAAAATAATTTTTTTTTTTTGTGTTTCAGATCAATGGTTGATGAGTGACAAATGAAGCAGTTTCGGACCTCGCGTCAGAGGCAGCCTACAAGACATCATGCTGAGCCGCCATTTTGAATTAAAAAAAAAAAAATAATTCTTTTTTTGTAGTCTTAAAATGTTTAATAAAGTTGTGTTAAAAGTTCTAAACAATTAAATTATTTTTTCACTGTAAAAAAAAATATTAAAAAATGACCGATTTCGAGGCATTTACATGAGTCTCCCCCCTTAAGTGACCACTTTGGATCATCATAACAGGCTCTTAAAAGAATGAATGTGGTGAAGTCATAAAAAAACAGATTTTTAAATTAAGCAAAATTTTGATATTTTATACTGTCGCTGTGTAGTTTAGAATACTGTCAGGTCAACCTCCATGTGGTCTCCCCCTGGAAACCATCGTGCTGAATTCCACGCGTATTCGTCACTATGGGCTTACTGACCTGTCCTTTTAATTTCACCTGTCATCCCTCACTGGTGCCCCGCCAGCGTATACCGGTAACGCTTGCGGGGCTACCACTTTACTATCACCTATCAGGGAGGAAAGGGATTGTTAGCAATGGAGTTTGACAGCCCCATTGCTAGCAATATTCCCTATTAGGTCGAACTCCACGCGGTTTCCCCTGGAAACCATCGTGAACAATTCTTGCTGAATTTGTCACGATGGGCTAACAGACTTGCTTCATCTTCACCTATTATCCTTCACTGGTGCCCCGCTGGTGTGTGCCAATGGCGCGGGTGGGGTTACCATTCCATTATCACCTATTAAACTATCACCCATCACTTTAAAAAAAACTTACCAGTGTATCAAACAATCAAATTCGTTTAGAAGTTTTGCGTAACAAACATTCAACCATCGTTATAAAGTTTCGCATTTATTATATCAATAGGATTCCCATCCTTACCATCTCCATAGTCTGCTGGCAGTACCCTCCTAAATGGGGTGTGGGAGACTCCCCATCTCACTGAGTTCTCCAAATTGTTGCAACTGCCATCTTGGCTCCGGTACTTGGACGGTGCGCATGGCGGTGACGGCTGGCAATACGGTGGCTCCGTGAAGGAACCACGGGTGGGTGGGCCTCGACCAATACCACCTTCGCGGGTGGATGGACTGGTACTGAATATAAGATAATTTTTTTTAAATCAGTTTCATTTTCACAAATTTACTATCATTATTCACTAATTAAAGTAAGTCACTTGACACATTAGCGGGTGCAGACGTTTTCAATATATTTAAAGGATTTTTGAATTTGTACTATACTGCATGATAACTAGTGGCGGAATTTTTTAAGGTCTAACATAAAATATGGTGTAAGTTTTATCTATGATACGTCATGTAAAATATATACATACATACATATCTGTCACGCCTGTCTCCCATTAGGGTAGGCAGAAACAATGGAACGTTAAATGCTTCGATTCAAACAGACCTCTTTTGCTTCTTCCACATTCATCAATATTTTCATACACGCTCGCGGATCATGTGAAAATGATTTATTTAATTGATTTTCCTACAATTTTAATCCATGCGTATAAAGAAGCAGAAAAAAATTAGTACTACGAATTTTTTTTATACAACTTAGAATGGCAAACATGCTGACGGCCCACCTGATGGAAAGTGGTAACCGTTGCCTATAGACATGAGCAGTACCATGGACATAACAGAGTATACTGTTGCGCCCATGATACCCCGCATGCGTTGCCATTCCTGAGGACTCAGGTGTTATTCCTCTGTACCCAGTAAATTCACGCCATATCCCACCCTTCAAACCGAAACACAGCCATGCAAACACAACTGCTTCACGGTTGAAACACCAATGGGACAGAGGTACCCAAGCAATCGACTTTTGTACAAAGTCTCCCTCTGGTATCCTTTCCGTGGCATTATTGGTGGCCGTGTGGTCCCGCATAGAATAGGCTACCCCTTCTTATCTCGTGGGTGTCGTAAGAGCCGACTAAGGGATGTCGAGGGAGGGTCAGCAGCGTCCTTATTAAAACATCTATAAAGCCTGACTGCGGCTGCCAAGTGTGGAAACTACTAGATAAAATCCCCCAAGGGGGAGGCTTACGTTCAGCAGTGGACAGTTAAAGGCTGATGTGATGATGATGATGATGATTGGAGGGTTGTTGGGAAATTGACAAACAAAGTTTTTGGACGGATCTTTGCGGTCTGTAAGTCGGAATAGCACCATGAGGTTACATAGCTCATAACAATACAAACACATTTAGCGTAAACAATTTTTAATACAGTTGAAATGTATCCACAAACCGTGTAATAGTGAAGGGATGTAACTTGATACTGAAGTATCTATTATATACCCAAGTGGGTGATCAATGGATTGGCACAAACTGACACCGGCACATTCTGGTGTCATATTAGATATTTGTAATCGAGAACGCCTTCAATACTAGCTGTATCCCGCGGCTACGTCCGCTTGAATCAGTACATACAGTATTCTGTGTGCTAAGTTACGATATATTCTACCCGAGCAGGGGAAAAGGGATTGTTAGTAATGCGAACTACCAGTCCCATTGCTAGCAATATACCCTGTCAGGTCGACCTCCACGTAGTCCCCCCTGGGAACCATTGTGCTGAATTCCTAGTGTATTCATCACGATCGGCTAACTGATCTGCGTTGGGGGAAAAGGGATTGTTAGTAATGGAGTCTAACAGCTCCATTGCCAGTAATGTGCCCTATCAGGTTGACCTCCACGCGGTTCCCCCTGGAAATCATCGTGGTTGTTTCTCGTGGAATTCTTCATGATGGGCTAACTGACCTGCTTTCATCCTCATCTATCACCTCTCATTGGTGTCTCGCCAGCGTATACCGATAGTATATAGTATTCTATTTTCATCCATAAAAAAAAAAAAAACAACTGCTCTGCCTTTTCATTCTCACCTATCATCATTTACTTGTACCTCGCTAACGTATACCGTTAGCGCAGGCGGGGTTATCATTCCATTGTCATCCATTAAGAAAAAAAAAAATAGTTATTAGTGGGATTGGTATTGATCTGTCACCGGATACACGATTGTGTGGAGCCGGTAATGTATATCTACGCAGGCAGTGGTGCGAGAGGAAGCCAAACTGGCGGCCCTGTGTACTTTTGTGGTTTGGCGTATCGGGTGACCGCGCCGTCCGAGGTCGGACGCTGTTCTCATTTTTGTTAATACTTAGATTACAATCCAATCTAATTAATTACTACTGGAATAATGCACTTATTATAACACAGAGTTCTTTACGTAAATGTCTCTATTGCAAAAAGCTATCAGAAACATTGAGCACTTGCTCAAATGTAAAAAATTCAATTTGAACAGATTAAGTGTTTGTCGATTACCACTTGTATCGGCACCACCGTTTCGCGCCTTTTTTTTTCATACAACTTAGAATGGCAAACAAGCTGACGGCCCATCTGATGGAAAGTGGTAACCGTCGCCTATAGACATGAGGCGTGTACTGCTCAGTTTGCTCCCACTTATCAGGCTATTTCTCTGCTCAATTCTCTGATTGCTCAGCATCCAGATATTGATATATTTAATGACAAAATAGATATAAAACTTGTTTATAATTTGTAAGTTTTTAAAATAAACCTATGGTTCACTCCACGATATTTTGAGATACTGTAAGCGTGGTGACTAATTTATAAATAAATAAATAAATACTTGCCAGTGAATTAAATAAATTTTTGCCAAATAATTCTTTTAAAAAATCTCGCAAGTTAAAGTTTATTTTTTTTAAATATAACTACTGTTTTCTACCTCTATACAAATGCACTAGAAGTACATTTAAGAAGCTTTAACTGTAACCTATGTGTGTAAATATAACAAACTTGTGTAAAATATGAAAATATGTTTTGGCTTAAAGGTCTTACAATTCATAAATAATAAAAAAAGAGTTCTTTATTTTATACTGTTTTTATGGGAGATGTTAATGGGAGAAAATGGAAAGGTAACCCCGTCTGTGTTATTGGTATACGCTGGCGGAGCACCAGTGAGAGATGACGCGAAGGTTTTCAGGGGGAGTGTGTGGAGATCGATCTAGGTATATTATCAGCAACGGGGCTAATCTGCTCCATTACTAACAATCCCTTTCCCCCCTTAGCTACGGTGGTGTTACAGCAGTTTAGTACGTGCACCAGGCACACAAAGTTTCGATTCTAGTAACTACAAAGTCAATTGATCTAATCGTAAGACGGGATGTCTGTATTGGCTCAATTATCATGCAGTTGCATGCATGCTGCAATCAGCCATAAAGCACCTGTGTCATTGTCTCCATCGAGGAATGAAATATTCCATTAGTATATTTTTATTTATCAAAATTTTTTACATAGTTACATATACAATATTTACCATATTTAATGTTTTTAAATTTTTACACACACACACACACACATATATATGTATGTATACATATATACACACACATATATATATATATATATATATATATATATATATATATATATATATATATGTATACACACACACACACATATATATGTATATATGTGTGTGTGTGTGTGTATACATATATATGTACATCGTTAAAAATGAACATATTTTAAAAATAATATTCAATAAATTATTTATCTAAAACTATACTTAACTGTTATATTGTGTGTGCTATATTATATGTAAACAAATCATGTTTACCAGAATACGATACGTATCTAAACCAATAACCCAATTATGCAAGAGACCATGACGAGAATCTGGTTGACATTCATAAAGTTAGGTAATATCTATTTACATGGACGAGAAATAAATTTATCATATCTTTAACTGTCCATGGCTGAACATAAGTCTACTCCTTGGGGAGTTTTGCCAGTACATACCACGCTTGGGAGGTAGACTGGCAACCGCAGTTAGGCTTTAAAGATTTTTTAAAAGAGATGCTGCTGCCCATCGCACGCTCTCCTTTAGTCGCCTATTACGACACTTACCGGAAAGGAAGCGGCCTATTCTACGCCGGGACTACACGGAAAAATACGGAATAAATATGGAGAAATAAATGAAAAACAATAAATAAATAGTTTAGGGTAGGTAAATATTTAAATACAATTTACTAGAGGGAGACTTTGTACAAAAGTCGATTGCTTGGGTACCTCTGTCCCATTCGTGTTTCAACCGTGAAGCAGTTGTGTTTGCATGGCTATGTTTCGGTTTGAAGGGCGTGAATTTACTGGGTACAGAGGAATAACATCTGAGTCCTCAGGAATGGCAACGTATGGGGGGTATCATGGGCGAAACAGTATACTCTGTTATGTCCATGGTACTGCTCATGTCTATAGGCGACTGTTATCACTTTCCATCAGGTGGGCTGTCAGCTTATTTGCCACTCTAAGTTGTATAAAAAAAAAAATTAATACGAAACGAACGGATGAAATATTAAAAAAGATAAGCACTTACCCATTGGCAAGAACCTTAGTGGCTTCCTCAACAGCATATGCTGCGTCCGCCATCGGTTTCACGGCTGGAGACGTGGCCGTGGCTCTCTGCGCCTTGTTCGCTGGTGTGTTAGTGTCCAGAGGTTTCCTTGTACTCTCAAGTGTTGTACGGTTTTGTAAGGCCTTTTTTCCGATAGCTACTGCTACCTCTATGTCTTTTGTTTGGTTTTTGCCGGTCCATTGTGGCGAAGGCCGAGCTAGAGACGGGTTAGTAATAATTAAAAATTTGATTCTGTAATTACTTTGAATCTTTCATTAATTACTTTGTATATCGGTTTGACATTATTAGTAACTGTTATCTATGTTAGTTCTATGATAATGATTATATTGTAGTACTTATATAAAATCTTGATTCCATGCTTTGTTTACTTTTGAATGCAAAGTTATTAAAATGATTTATTGGGTTCCTAAATCCAAATGGGTTCCTAAATGTAGATGTTTATTAATTGAACTCAAGCTGAGATTATAGAATAGGTCCTTTTTTAATAAACAAGTGAGGGTACAATTCAGGATATTCAGACCTTAGAGATGCATACTCAGACTCGACCGAGATCGACTTTGGGACCGCATTTTCGCAAAATAATGTTTCCCTCTAGGCCAAATGTAACTATGATTTCGGAATGTTCAAATGTAAACATTGTTCAAATGTAAAAGAGCGCATAGAAATTAGTTCACTTCCACTCGGAAACTATAACGCTAACATAAGATATACAGAATATTATTCTGACGATGATATTTCTAATTAGCATTCGTGCTCCGCTTTATTAGTATTGATGATTCAAAATCCATTAAACAATTCTGGTATTGATCGAGTCTTCACAAAATATATTTTTTTTAGCAGTCTAAAAAAACTTACCAATCTATCATCTAGATACTTTACCTTCCAATGGCCACTTCAGCTGTAGCAGTGGTATCAACTGTGGGTCCACTCCAGTCAGGTTTCCAATGGGCACCACCGTGTTGGGTATTACATCTGTACTATTGGGAATGTCTTCGTCAACATCCAAATTTAATGCCACCGTCATCAGCAAAGATACGACAAGAATTATCCTGTTATAAGCAGAAGAAGACATATGGAATTTTGTCATATAATCATTTATTTATTTAACTAAATATGTATATTTAATAATTACCTAAAATATTTTTAATAAACAAAAAAAAATGATGGACTGCAGCTCGATTGTCTTCCTACAAAAAAAAAAATAGAGGCCAAATTGCCGTCGTTGTGTGGGGGACTCGAAAAGCTAGCCGTGTTTTCTCTTTGTATTATTAAATTGATACGCTGGTCAAAGGGGGTGCCACACTTTTGGTCATCAAAGAATTGTTGGTAATGACCAGTGACGTCAATGAAGCGGTCAAAGACGTGTTTCTATAATGTCTTAATTATCCGGTCACGAAGGACCTATGATTCCAACACCAAGCGACACGAAAATTCAGACCTCTGTTTTAAATATAGAAGCTGAAAATCTGCGCCTCTTAAGTTTTTCTGACGTTGTAGCAACGCTTGGTTGCGACGTCTTGTGTCAAATATGATATCCACAGTAAGGCGGGTAACTGGTGGCGTCTCAAAGCAATGACTGTTTACTTTGCCATGGAATAAACGTCATTATACTACAGAGATTCTTGTCAGCGTCATCTCAACACCTCCGACACTATTTAATTCTAATATACCTTAAAATTTCCGGAGACATGTATCCTCCAAATGTAAAACATTACACAGATGGAGCGGAGTCAATTTTACGTGGAGAAAAATTACTTTAACCAAAACAAAACGTGCGTGGACTGGATAGCGGTCGAAGATTGATGGCTTACATGGAAGGTTGTAGTACTTCTGGTGATAATAATAGTAGTTATTGGGGGGAAGGGATCGTTAGTAATGCGGGCTACCAGTCCCATTACTAGCAATATACCTTGTCAGGTCAACCTCCACGCGGTTCCCCATGGAAACCATCGTGCTGAGTTCCAGGTGTATTCATCACGATGGGCTGACTAACCTGCCTTTTTTCATTATTCACCTATCACCCCTCACTGGTGCCCCGCCAACGTATACCGATAGCGTAGGCGGGGTTACCATTCCATTAATCATCCATTAAAAAAAAAATTAGTTATTCTCCGAGTGTTGGCAGTCACACGCATACTAATGGTAGCGGAATTAAACATAATTCCAATCAACTAACCAGTGATGTGGACTTCCACAAAATCAAACCTAGTTCAGTAAAATATTTAATCAAATTGTCACTTACAAGAAAGAGGCGCAGATAATGCATTGGAAGTGGTGCAGGCGCTTCTGATATTTGCGCGTGAGACTCGACTCGAATGCATAGTTGGGCTGCACCAGCGGCGTGCGCTCACTGCTTGTCGACGGACGTAACATTCTCCACTGGTATTAGAAAGAAGAATAGTTCTCTCGTAGACTTTTTAAGTTATATTACATTATAAACAATAATACTATAGCTTAGATTATATAGATAGTGCGTCTCCGTACAAATGCTTCGAGAAAAGTGAGTCAACTTTTTCATACTATTTTACGTGATAAATAGTTATGACTGATTCCTTTATAACTTCTATATTTATTTTGTTTTATAAATTTTGCATCTTTTTTATGTGCAAAAAAAATTTTTTATTTATTAAATAATTCAATATAGATACGTCAAGATACACTGTGTGCGTAAGCATATAGAACATTGATAAAAAAACAAGTCAACTTTTTGACTCGTTTTTGAGACTCGAGATTCAATCTAAATAATCTAAGATTAATGGGTACAGGTATATAAGGCGATTCTCATGACCCCCGACGTCTAATAAGAGACTGGGAGCCTGCTAATAACGAAGGTAAGACCAAGTAACCAGAGGGAGACTTTGAACAAAAGTCGTTTGCTTGGGCACCTCTATCTCATTCGTGTTTCTATAGTAAAGCGGTTGTGTTTGCATGGCTGTGTTTCGCCTTGAAGGGTGGGATATGGCCGGAATGGCAATGCATGGGGGATATCATGATCGAAACAGTATTACTCTGTTATGTCCATGATACTGCTCATGTCTATAGGTGACGGGTACTACTTTCCATCAGGTGATCCGTCAACTTGTTTGCCATTCTAAGTTGCATAAAAAAAGGTAGCTACTTCTCATGTACAGGTTTTACATGTATTATTATATTAGTATTATTCTTAATTTATTGCTATTAATATCGCGTGGTCCAGCATGGAATGGGTCATAGACCTCTTACTAGACTATGGCTTTACGTGTCCTCTGAGGCACGACACAAGTGATAATTCTTGTTAAATGACTCAAACAAAAAATTTTAAGTTTAGAGGTTTATCCTGAGATTTGAACTTGGAATCCTCGGAGCTTAGGAACTGTTAGTAATTCGTACTTCTAGTCTTACTTCTTCTATTCTTATATACCCTGTCAGGTCGACTTCCACGTTGTCTCCCCTGGAAACCATCGTGTTGAAATCCACGCGTATTCATCACGATGCAGATGGGCTAACTGACCTGTCTTTTCATTCTCACCTATCATAACATATACAGTTAGCGTAGACAGGGCCATCATTCCTTTATCATCCATCAAAAAAAAAAAAATTATAGGCGACACAGTATATTCATAATGTTATATTAATGTCTATAGTCTCTAGTTACCACTTTCTATTATGATGTGTAGACAACGTCATTTTGTTTACCACTTCGAATACTTTTTCAAATGATATAATTAAAAATTTTGGTTAGAGTTGTTAAGATGTTACTGATTACATAGATAAAATATTTGAAAGAGTTTCTTTACATACATTTTAAATACACAGATCAGAAGGGTCATTAATTCTATATTAATATTTAACACTGATAAATTCAGTGAAAAATTAAATTAATAGAAAATAAATATATACCTATATACTAATAAAGCATGGCACTAGGAATGGTACCAAAACTTTATTACTTATATTTTCGTCGTGAAATTGCCGATTTATTTGTTTTCCATTCTATTTATATTAGAAAGAATACATATTTAAATAGATAGATAGATACTCTTTATTGTGCCCTCCATAAGATTACAATATAAATATAAATACAAACAAATACAAGAAAATATTACACTGAGAAAACAAAGGGCGGCCCTATCGCTAAGAGCGATCTCCTCCAGGCAACCTAAAATTAACCAGAATATTTATATTAGAAAATATCATAATAATACATACCTTACGATTTAGCCAAATCAATATTCACTGTTATATCTGAACTATAAGAAAGTATATAATTTAATATACATAATTTAAAAAAAAGAAGTTTAAAAAAAGAAGTGTAAAATTTTTATAAATAAATTCACTAATTTCACGGCACTACACTATTCAATAAAAATAAAAAAAAAATTACATGAATAATTACTTGTCTTTAGTATTTCTTAATAATGTATAGAAATAAGTTTTTAATATTACCGAATAGTTGTTTTCGGCCTTAAAATGTTATGTTGTTTAGAAGCGCGACACGACCGCTCGGCCACCAAACCACTTTCGTACTCTGAGTTTATCTATTCATATATCACTAATGGGCTCTATTAGTGACTTGACTGTCTATTAATGATTGGGAATTAATAGACAGACAATAAACATACTAATTGTACACGACAAGTAAGGTTTTGTATATTTACTAAATCGTACTTATCGAGTGACAAAGTCATGAACTTATTTTTTTTAAAATGAGTAGAATTATTTTACTTTGTCTATATCTAAACATAACAATGACTTTGAATTCTAAAATCGTGATAGAGGAGTCTTTTTTTTTATGGGTGAAAATGGTATGGTAATCGCGCCTGCGCTAACGGGATACGCTGGCGGAGCACCAGTGAAGGGTGCTAGATGAGAATGAAAACAGGCCAGTTAGCCCATCATGACGAATTCATCGGGAATTAACCATGATAGTTTCCAGGGGGAACCGCGAGGAGGTTGACCTGGTTGTGTATTTTGCTAGCAATGGGATTCTCAGTCTCCATTATTAACAATTCCTTTCCCCCCTGTGATAGAGGAGTCAAAGATTTGATTTTGGTATAGTCACAATGTTTGCTGATAAAAAAAAACTATATCCTCTCGCTGGGTATCTGGCTTGGCTGGGGAAATACACGCCAGAGGTTCCATCCCTCAGGATAAGGGGAAAGGGATTGTTAGTAATGAGGTCTAATAGCCCCGCTGCTAGCAATTGACCCTCTCAGCTCGACCTCCACGCGGTTCCCCCTGGAAACCATCATTGTTAATTCTTGTCGAATTCATCACGTGGACTGAATACATCATGGGCCAACTGGCATTCATTCTCACCTATCATCTTCCACTGGTGCCTCGTCGGTGTATACCGATAGCGCGGGCGGCATTCCATTTTCATCTATTAAAAAAAATCCCTAAGGATAGACGAATTTGAACTCTATTGCATAATAAAAATATGACAAAAAAGTCGGAATTAATGCTAGATAGATAGATACTTTTTATTGTTTCCCCCATAAGATTACAATAATTACGAGGACGCCAACCGGCGGACTAAAAAAAACTAAATAATATAAAAAATAAATTAATTCTATTAATAGAAGTAAATATATAAAATTCTTATATCTGATTCCAACTAAAATGACTGCCCAGTTTGAAGTGTGAACCAGGAGTGCGTTTTCAAGTCGCCACGTAGACCAGCCTCGTGTTGTAGTATCAGCAATTATCTAGTTAGGCATTTACTTTATTTACACGAGTTTTGGACACAATGCGGCGTTAGCGGCCTCGATAGTGGCCCGCTATGTAACTCAATAGTAAACTTATTATAAATACAAACAATTACAAGAAAACATTACACTGAGAAAACAATGGGAGACCTTATCGCTAAGAGTTTATTACTACGCTACAAATAATACGCTTAAATATCACAATAATTAGTTATTTGTAAACTTAAGTCTAGTTCTTTTTTTTGTTTGTTTAGTTTGTATTTGTATTTGTTTAGTCTGCTACCACTAGTATGTGTGCGGCTGCCAATATTTATGGATTGATCCTATTAGGCTATTAATATACGTAAGCCACTAAATTATAATACTAAATTTGCATGCCTTTAGATAAGGCGAAATGTGTAGATCTATTATATTTAAGACCATTATTATTACCACATTTCTAGCAAATAAATAAATTATTATTATTATAAATTATTATTATTATTATTATTTGAAAATCCCAAATATATCAAAAATTTTTTATCCGTTTTTTTTTTTTTATAACATTCCTTAAATACTAATACTAATTATAAGTAATCCCCCAACGCACCACACCGAGGCAGCGTACCCAAGATACTGGCAGCATTTTTAAGACGAAGATCTTTAACCAGTGCGTGTTGCTAGAGATGACTTACGGAACCAAAACATGGTCCTACACGGTTGTCCGTTGCAAAATCTACAAGTTACTCAGCGGGCTATGAAGAGGGTGATGCTTGGGATGTCTTTGCGTGATAGAATCCGAAACGAGGATATCCGCAAATGAACCAAAATAACCGATATAGCTCTAAGGATAAGTTAGCTGAAGTGGCACCATTGCCACTTCAGCTTACCAGCTTATGTGACCAGCCCATGCTGGTCACATAGCTCGAAGAACCGACAACCGATCGGGAAGAAAGGTTCTTTTTTTTTATACAACTTAGAATGCCAAACAAGCTGACGGCTCACCTGATGGAAAGTGGTAACCGTCGTCTATAGACATGAGCAGTACCGTGGACATAACAGAGTATACTGTTTCGGACATGATACTCCCCATGCGTTGCCATTCTTGAGGACTTAGGTGTTATTCCTCTGTACCCAGTAAATTCACGACATATCTTACCCTTCAAACCGAAACACAGCGATGCAAACACAACTGCTTCACGTTGAAACACGAATGGGACAGATGTACCCAAGCAATCGACTTTTGTACAAAGTCTCCTTCTGGCGTGGCGACCATGTACGAATAAATGCAGTGTAGGACGACACCCCACTAGATGAAGTGACGACTTGAAATGCGTTGCAGGGAGTTAGTGGATGCAAATGGCTCAGGACCGTTCTTTATGACAGTCTATGGGGGAGGCTTATGTCCAGTAGTCGACGGATAATGCCTGAAATGATGATGACGATGAATGTCGTTATCATCCTTTAATTAGGTTTCACAGCGTTGTTTTTTATCATCACAGATTTATCAGAAATTGAAATTAATAATTATCTTTATTTTTGTAAAAGCTAAGGAATATACATACATACATAGTTCTATTTCTATGTACATATGTAACGAGAAATTAACAAACTCCGGATGAAGTCGAAACAATTGTCGGAAACAACTAAAACAGTGAATTCATTAATTTTCCGTTACATATGTATATAGACATTAAATAAAAAAAAAAAACATAAGTTTTAAAAATAACATACAGTCTTGTCCCAAGTGTAAAATTTATTCAATCTTATCTAATCGTTTCTTGATTGAAAGACGAAAAGCTTAATCGCTTAATTTGACGGAAAGATTAAGCGTTCAACTAGCTATCTGGGTAGACATCTATTGAGATTAGTCAGCCATTTTAAATTTTTTGACGAAAGAAACGCAGCAATTACAATTTATTGTAACGGAATGCGACATTCATCGTGGCAAAACGTCAAATCAAATTGACGGGTCGTAAATTATTGACGTTGTCAATATTGCGAATTCGATTGCATAGTTTACAGTGCTTACAGGATATTTGTAGCTGAATTTCTTGAAAATATTTTAGAAATGGCTACTATAGAAGAATTACAAAGGAAAGTGCAGGACTTGGAGGCAAAACTCGCTGCCGTACAAGGAAATGCCGGTCTAGGTCGCCAGAAAATAGACGTAATGTCCTCAGAAGTGGTCGACTCTAATCCTTACAGGTATTTAGTATTTAACGCTTGAATATATAACAGAATAGCTGTAAATATTGTTTATTTAATATTAGAACAATATATAAGTTAGTTTTACATAAAATAATATTATCACCAATTATAAATTTTATTGAATTTCTAAGCAATATGTTACTACTTATTCCGCATAAAACATGCGGATTATACTTACAAATCGTATAATTAGGATTCTCAAATATAAATTAGGTATATTAAGTTTTTTTTTTTATAATTAATTTATTTCAATAACAAAATAGGTATAATTAAGTACTATTACAACATGAAACCAACAATAACAACACAATATTAAAATTAAAAATTATATACACAATTAAACTAAAAATTTTAAATTGTGAATTAAAAATAAATCAATAATAATAATTTATAATAGTTCGGTATAAGATTTAGAAAGTAAGAAATGCTTACAGTATTATTATAATTAATAATATTTCATAAAAGTGTTGCAACAATGATCTGGCTTGTTGATTTTTATTATATTGAAATTACCCATTATTGTTGTAATTTATATATTTAAAATACAACAACAATACATAAACATAATTTATATGTAATTAGATTGCAAAAGCTCTGAAACTAAATGAAGACAAATCAGTATTTTTTTTATACAACTTAGAATAGCAAACAAGCTGACGGTCTACCTGACAGGAAGTGGTAACCATTGCCTATAAATATGAACATAACAGAGTATACTGACTTTACTCATGATACCCCCCATGTTTTGCTATTCCTGAGGACTCAGTTCTTCGTGTTTCATGAAGCAGTTATGTTTGCATAGCTGTGTTTCGGTTTGAAAGGTGGGATAAGACAGTAAATTTACAGGGTACAGAGGAATAACACCTGAGTCCTCAGGAATGGCAATGCGGCATGCATGGATGTTATTCCTCTGTACAAAGTATTATAGAGAATACATAATAAAAACAGTAATAATTTGATTGTTCTCACCAAAATTTAATATATATTTGTCATCTAAAATAGTTTCAAGAAATTTGATGTTTTAAATGCTGTTAACTGTAAATTTGTCAGTAAAGTTCTAAATTCTTGACATTAATTCTTTGTAATTTTTTATCAGCCGATTGATGGCCCTCAAACGGATGGGTATAGTGAACAACTATGAGAAGATCCGTGAGATGTCCGTGGCCGTGGTCGGTGTGGGTGGAGTGGGGAGTGTGACCGCTGAGATGCTCACCCGATGTGGTATTGGCAAGGTGATACTGATCGATATTTAGATATATACAGATAACTTGTTCACAATATTTACATAAGTAATATGCCAAATATAGATATATAGAGACTACAGCATGGGGTTCTTCAAAAGGGGGGTAAAATGGTTGTTTCTGTGTCGGCAACGTGTGCGTAATATCTCTGGTATTGCAAGTATTCATAGGCTACTGTAACCGCTTACCATCAGGTGGGCCTGATGGTAAGGTTATGTAGATTGTGCTTTATGCTTGTTTGCCACCTCAGTGGTATAAAAAAAATATAATGTTATTTACATATTATTCAAGTTAAATAAGGCATTTCAGCAGATGCTATCTTTGAGTAGTTTTTATTTGGAGTTTTATCTGCATGTCTAGAACTCAATATCATCTAATCATGCAGATGGAGTTCAGGTTTTTTTTTTAAGGGGTGATAATGGAATGGTAACTCCACCCGCGCTATTGGTATACACCGGCGGGGCACCAGTGAAGGATGATAGGTGAGAATGAAGCAGGTCAGTTAGCCCATCGTGATGAATTCAACAAGAATTGTTCACGATGGTTTCCAGGGGGAATCACATGGAGGTCAACCTGATAGGGTATATTGCTAGCAATGTCGAACTCCATTGCTAACAATCCCTTTCTCCTGATGGAGTTCAGGTTAAAATTTGTAAAATCTTTTTATTGAGACAAACCTATCTATATGCCCTTCTTCTCATCCCTTTAATATTATAAATGTAAAAGTAAAACAGGTGGATGCTTGTTACTCTTTCATGCAAAAACTAATTAACAGATTTGAATGAAATTTGGTATATGATTAGGTTATATCCTAACTTAGCACATAGGATACTTTATATATATATATATATTGATTTTCACAGGTGAAGCAGCAGTATATAGTTAGTCTAAAATCTAAAATATATTGTATACATACATGATATATTAAGTACTAGCGATCCAGCCTGTCTTCACATGAATAGTTGGAATTTTGGAAAATAATATGTAGGTTATGTTACTCGGGGATAAAATTGCTTTTTATAAATGGAAGAATTTTTAAAATCAGTTGAGTACTTTTTGAGTTTATCCATTACAAATAATCAAATCTTTTCTCTTTCTAATATTAGTATAGATGGACATAGGCATAGGCTGTTCCCACCAGGATTCAAGCAATTTTAATTATGCCCAATAACATGTTTGAGAGTATGTAATGTGCCTTTAAAATGAATGCCATTTTTACATTTTACAGTTAATACTCTTCGATTATGACAAAGTGGAGTTAGCAAATATGAACCGGCTGTTCTTCCAACCGCACCAAGCCGGCCTCAGCAAGGTGGACGCCGCGGCCGCTACGCTGCAGAACATCAACCCGGACGTAGCCATAGATACGTACAACTACAACATCACCACTGTTGATAACTTCCAAAAGTTCTGCGACACTATCAGGTCTGTTTCATGACAGTTAGTTATTTTTAAGTTATAATAATAATAAATAATCTTTATTTACTATTCACAAGGAATATTTAACATTGTATGACTATTATATTCTTTATTGCGCTTGTAAATTACATTGTTAATGCATTTATAAATATTGTGAGCAAGGGTGATATATATCTCTGACAGAGATCTCTTCCAATCAACCCAATGCAGTTAGAAAACATGTCGTTAGCGGGTAGCTGAAGTGTTACTATTAATATTTAGAGTACATAAACAAATATACAGTTAAATAAAATATTAAGATACATAATAAAATATTACATATAGTACATTACTGCAGCGGCCAGCAACTGAGGCATTGATGGACGAACATGCAAATGTGGGCCGAGGCGCAGCCGAGGCACACATACGTGAGTCCATCAATGCTTAGTTGTGGCCAAGGCTTGTATAGTACTTTTCTCAAATTATGCGCGGAAATCAAAAACACAATTTTAATTTTTAAGTTATAATATAGGCACTGTTTTTACGTATTGTTTAATTTTTAGCGCTGTTTATAAGAGGGCATGAATTTAAGGTTTGACATAATGTCACAATTTATTTTATCTTTTTTTTATTTTACATGCCAGCACGGGAAGTTTGACCGGCGGTCCTGTGGACCTGGTGCTGAGCTGCGTGGACAACTTTGAGGCGCGCATGGCTATCAACACCGCCTGCAACGAGCTCAACCAGAAGTGGTTCGAGTCCGGCGTGAGTGAGAATGCTGTGTCGGGCCATATACAATTCATTGTGCCGGGGGAGACTGCATGTTTTGCTGTAAGTTATTCTGACTTATTATATATATATTTTATACAACTTAGAATGGCTATCAAGCTGACGGCCCACCTGATGGAAAGTGGTAACCGTCGCCTATAGACATATTTTTAAATGGATGCAAATGATATAGGAAAACTATAGCATACTCAAATACGTTTTAAAATTATAACTACATATACTATTACTACGTCGTGCCCCGGTATAGAATGGGCCACCCCTTCCTTTCTCGTGGGTGCTGTAAGAGGCGACTAAGGGAGGGCGAGGGATGGGCAGCAGCATCCCCCTTAAAACATTTTCAAAAGCCTAACTGTTGTTGACATGGGGGAAAGGGATTGTTAGTAATGAGATTTAATAGCCCCATTGCTAGGGCAATACACCCTACTAGGTCGACCTCCACGCGGTTCTCCCTGGAAACCATAGTGTCCAATTCTTGTTCAATTGATCACTACGGGCCAACTGACCTGCCTTCATGCTCACCTGTCACCCTACACTGATGCCCCATCAGCGTATACCGATAGTGCAGACAGGGTCACCGTTCCATCTTCACTTATTAAAAAAAATACTGTTGTTGACAACGCGCCTGCCAAGCGTGGCAACTACTGGGGAAACTCCCCTTATGGGGCAGGCTTATGTCCAGCAGTGGACTGTTAACGGGTGAAAAAATAAAATAAAAAAATTGTCCCTCAGTGCGCTCCGCCGTTAGTAGTGGCATCTAAGATCGACGAGAAGACGTTGAAGCGCGAAGGTGTTTGCGCCGCCAGCCTCCCCACCACAATGGGCATCGTTGCTGGATTTCTAGGTATTAGCAATTTTATTTGATAAAGTCCTGATGACAAGTTAGCTTTACCTGCACTAGATTACCCGCCAATTAATTATTTTCCCTCTAACTACACTGGGTTGGCTGGAAGAGATCTCTTTCAGAGATAAGCCCTCCCTTGCTAACATGTTGTTAAACTAATCGTTATATGTATTGTTCAAGTGCAATGAAGAATATATAGCTTTTTTTTTACCACATTTTGCTCTTTAACAATAAACAATAAAATAAAGCAAGTAAACAATAAATTTAGAAAATCGGTACAAATTTGATTGCGTCAGAACTTTGTATAGATACTTATACTTGTCGTTCTACTTCGTACAGTTTCTACTGTACTTTGTTTCTTTAAAAACAATTGTTTATAGTCGACATAGGAACCGAACATAAGTCTATGTAAAGTTTTGAAATGTCATTAAATATTTTTTCGTTTATATTTTATTTATTTAGTTCTTTATTGTACACACCAGTTATAAGAATATGACAGAGCTAATCAAATGTACAAAGGCGAGCTTAACTCTAATAGAGTTCTCTTCCAGCAACACCCAAAGTGGAAAGGAGCATCAATGTCAGCGGATAGAGCGGTGTACAATATTGTGACAATTTTTAAACAGAGAAAATTAAATTAATTACATTATATTTAATCGTACAAATACATACATACGTATACGTATTGTATTTATTTAAATTGTTTCAGTCCAAAACACGCTGAAGTACCTGTTAGAGTTCGGGACGGTCAGCCACTATTTAGGATACAGTGCACTGACAGACTTCTTTCCCACAATGAGCTTGAAGGTAAGAATAAAATGATAAAGTCATAATGATCATCAATGTGTTTTTTACCAATTTCATATGCTTTCTTTATATAACTTTATAATTTAACACTGTTTGCCGACTGCTTTAACCATGCTGTGTGTACACGAGTCTGGGTCTCAATCTAGTCAATCTATTATCTTTATATAATGCCTATCATGTTATTGATTGTAACCTGTTGTGTATACCTTTAATAAATAAAAAAAAAAAAAAATATCAAAAAAAACATTTTTTGAATGTCTCAATATAACATTGAACAAGTGAATGAATTAAGTTAAAAAAACATTTGAATGCGTGCGTTTGCGCAGCCGAACCCGCAGTGCGACGACCGCGAGTGCGTGCGGCGGCAGCAGGAGGCGCGGCGGCGGCCCGCCGTCGAGCTCGCCACCGAGGTCACCGAGGACGCCGCGCCGCTGCACGCCGACAACCACTGGGGTCCGTGCCGCCGCGCCCGTCTCGCGGTTACACTCACTCGCCAACATACGCACTGACACCAACACCGACTTCGATGCACACACTGACGTCAACTCCGATATGACCTGACACTCGCCTTGACACCGACACTGGCACTGACGCAGTACTGACACTCGCCTTGACACCGACACCGACACTGACGCAGTACTGACACTCGACACCGATACCGACACTGACGCAGTACTGACACTCGCCTTGACACCGACACTGACACTGACGCAGTACTGACACTCGACACCGACACTGGTACTGATGCAGTATTGACACTCGACACCGACACTGGCACTGACGCAGTACTGACACTCGACACCGACACCGACACTGGCACTGACACTGACGCAGTACTGACACTCGACACCGACACTGGCACTGACGCAGTACTGACACCCGCCTTGACACCGACACTGATACTGACGCAGTACTGACACTCGATACCGACACTGGTACTGATGCAGTACTGACACTCGACACCGACACTGGCACTGACGCAGTACTGACACTCGACACCGACACCGACACTGGCACTGATGCAGTACTGACACTCGACACCGACACCGACACTGGTACTGACGCAGTACTGACACTCGACACCGACACCGACACTGGTACTGACGCAGTACTGACACTCGACACCGACACCGACACTGGTACTGATGCAGTACTGACACTCGACACCGACACCGACACTAGCACCATGACACCAACACAGCCATAGATATCAACATGTTTGATTTGGCGATTATCTTTTAAACTAATGGCATATAAATGAAAGATTTTTTATTTGTAATTGTAATAGTTTATCCATTCCCAAAAAATTCTTGGATGGATTTAAAAAAAAAATACTTATAGGAAGAAGAGCATTGACAGGGAGTATAAAAGAAATCCTAAGACGGGTCGCCAGTCGATATATGTGTAAAAATTTATTTTCTCGTGTATATATATATATATTCTTTATTGCACTTGTAAGTTACATATAAAATAATGTATTTATAAATGTTGCGAGCAAGGGTGGACTTATCTCTGACAGAGATCTCTTCCGGTCAACCCAGTACAGTGAGAAAGCATTTCGTTAGCGGGCAGCTGAAGTGCTACAACTATACCGTATATCAATATTGAAATAGAAAACGGTTTTAGAATTGCTATACTCTTATAACGTTAAGACATTATACTGGCTTTTCTGTTTCGAGAGTTTTTAAAGAGACTACAGCATAGGGTTCTTTAAAAAGGGGATAAGGAGGGTTGACAACGAGCACGTAATACCCCTGGTATTGCAGGCGTTTATAAACTACGGTAACCGCTTACCATCGGGGGGAAAGGGATTGTTAGTAATGGAGACTGAGAATCCCATTGCTAGCAATATACACAACCAGGTCGACCTCCTCGCGGTTCTCCCTGGAAACTATCATGGTTAATTCCTGATGAATTCATCATGATGGGCTAACTGCCCTGTTTTCATTCTCATCTATCACCCTTCAGTGGTGCTCCGCCAGCGTATCCCGTTAGCGCAGGCGGGGTTACCATACCCTTTTCACCTATAAAAAAAACCGCTTACCATCAGGTGAGCCGTATAGTTGTTTGCCACATCAGTGGTATAAAAAAGTAGGACGAAATATTGCATATTTTTACATGTAAATGTTAATTTTATGTTGCCATTACAGGAATCAGCCTAGTGGACGAGAACACGCCAGATGATGACGATGCATCCAATTTGAAACTGGTCGACGGCGTTCAGGTAGTTATTATATCCGTATATTTAAACGGGGGTCGGCTGAGTACGTATCGGGAGGGGCATGGGGGGGGGGGGGAGGATAATATAAGTCTAGTTCCTAGTTGTGCACACAGATAATGTCTGATCGTGGGTTTGATGGCTTGGTAAATACAAACTGAAAATTACTGAATGCATTCTTTGATTTATTTCTTGTAAACACACGTATTTTATTTAATGGTATCATAAAATTGTAAATTTAATGATATGTAAGGGTTGTTAAGGAAACTTAATAGCCGAGAGACAGGCAGAGTCCTTATTAGAACATCACCAAAAGTCTAAATGCAGTTGCCAACTCACTTGCCAAATATGGCAACTACTGGCAAGACCCTCCTTATGGGGAGATCTATGTTTAGCAATGGACAGTTAATGTCTAATAAGATAACGATGAAGTTCTATATATTCTCTGATACTGTAGGTGGCGTACAGCATCCCGGTAGACAACAGCACTCCTGAGTCCAGCACGGGAGGTGCGGTGGCCGCCTCCGAGCTCTCCCTTGAAGAACTGATGCAGCAGATGAAGTCCATGTAAGCGTAGCAGCCGCCACCACATCCTCTCCGCTGTACGCACCCGCTGTACTGTTGACAGAAGACATACGATGGGATCGTCAGGTAAAGGTGGAGTTAGACATATAATAAACGGCACAAACCTATTCAATATACCGAGATTATCAATATATCAAAATCGTTCGCGAATGTAATAGAGTTATAAGAAAGAATGGTGTTACGTCCGTCATACATGGATTTAACGCTTCTATGGGATCGTAACAAAATCAGTGAGCAAATTATTTTATCGATAGACACACTTTCGCTGCTTCATGTACGAGACGACATCCGGCATCTTGTAATTTTTTTTACGTGCTTGGTGTCTGTCTATAAATTTGTTTACCTCTCGTCTTAAAGGGCAGATGGTTTTCGTGTACATGAGATTTTGGTATGTATGTCAAATGCTGTTAGCTTGTTTACCATAAATATTGAAGGGGAAGGTAAAGGATGAGAGTTCGCTGGCTCGGAGATGTAAATCATGAGGATGAAGTCAGATCAATTGGCTTATCGTGAGGAATTCACTAAGAATTAATCACAGTTACCAGGGGGTCCCATGTGGAGGTCGTTTTGATAGGGTAACAATCCCATCACCCCACTCGTTTGGTCTAACTCCATTTTAACAAGGTCAGCAACACGCGACACCCATGCTGTAAGCTTTCATGGGCTAAGCGGCCGCTTACCATCAGGCGTGCTGTATGCTTGATAGCATTCGTCGTTGTATAAACAATATAATTGTCATGAAGAAATTTGTACGTAAGAATTCAAAATGCTATTAGGCGATGTTAGCTGAATGTACTACAATAGGTATGTTTGATGTAGCTTAACTATACTTTATTAATTGTATAAACATACTAAGAGATAAATGGGTAACAGTATATATATATATATATATATATATATATATATATATATATATATATATATATATATATATATATATATATATATATATATATATATATACACTAGCTGACTCGACAAACGTTGTTTTACCATATACATTATTTCGAGAACTATACATGAAAATTTATCGTACTACAATTATTATATTCGATTGCTATCTTGTAACCCTATTGTGGCATATAAAAATCGCGATTAAAAAACAGGAGTTGATCGTATAATAAAACCGTGAAAATTTGAATTTGTATGTATTTTTCAATGCTAAATCATAATAAAAATAAAAAAAACATTGTCAAAAAAATAAAAAAAAAATTGGGGGGTAGGTCGCCCTTATCATTGAGGGGTATCGGCTGAGAATCGGCCAACATCTATATGTTGGCCGATTCTCAGACCTACCCAATATGTACACAAAATTTCATAAAAATCGGTAAAGCCGTTTCGGAGAAGTTTGGTAACAAACACCGCGACACGAGAATTTTATATATTAGGTTTTGGCCCCGAAAATTTACTGAAATTAAATTGATTTGTTAATAAAAATAGAAGATGGAATATTTAAAAGCCATATCATTGTTTATTTAGGGGTTTTCTTCTCGCCTTTAGCCATGCAGGCATGCAAGTGTTTATATAAATATACCTCAATTGCCATTTTACATTTTATACATAAAATGAAATTAAAAATAATTAATTACAAATGACCCACAACATTATACACCTCATGTAACTTAATTATGTAGATATATCCGATTCATAAATGCCCACATTTTGCGCCAATGGTATGTTGTATGCATATGTATGTACATAATACCGCTTATTACGCCATCTATTATCGATAGAGATAACCACTGCATTTTTTGCTTTTCTCAATAGATGGCATTGATGATGATAAGATGAGCAAGATCTTTTATTATGATTTTTTTTAATTTTACACATAATAAAATGCAGCTTTTCGGATTCTGAAAGAATCGATTCGAATCTAATAAGTCGTGTGAGATATTCAGTTAAAATATTTACTTTTAAGAAGACTGATCGTACCATGTTACTTATCATTGACAATCCAAGGATATTGGTATTATTTTATAATAAAACAACCATTCGTTTTGTATTTATAATAGTGTTTATATGTAGCACTGGGTACTACAATTTGAGAATAATTATATATTTAACATTGTTTATTCCCTTCTTTACATAATGGTGGAAATTTCCATCATAACACTGAATGCCCAAAAATTATATAATATAAAAGAACAAGTTCACTTTAAGTTGATCGTGTATGGATACCTTTTTAATGTCCATCGCAGAAAAAAAATAATATAGCTGTCAAATTTATTTTTTAACCATTTTTCTTTTAATTTTGAACATGAATTATATCACCTTGATTTATTTCATCGATAAAAAAAAATCATGCAAAGAAGGGTTAAGCGAATAGAAGTGACAAAGTCACATATTGTTATATTTGTGATGTCAAATAATTTCCAAAATTTTATGACGTATATCATCATCATCATATCAGCCGTCAATTGCCCACTGTTGAACATAGGCCTCCCCAATTATGAGGGGCGGGGGGAGGTTGGTTGTCAAAAATATTAAAAATAAATACATGTTGATATTGAACGAAACAAGTGTGTATTCGTAGCTAAATAGTGTCACTGGCATAATATTAGAAATAGATATCAGTTTGAAACTTGCTGGTATTAAATACCATTCGCAGTTTGAAATTGAAATTTATAATTTTTATTTATTTCTCCACAAATTTTACAAAAAAATACATTTATATGAAAAAAATACAACTATATATGTATGTATAATTAAAGTTCCCATAAAAACTTATGTTAGTACTTTTTTAATTGTCATCAGACATTCTTCCTTATTGATAAAAACTAAAGTATTTTTTTTTATAAATTTATTTTTAAACGATCTCAAAAAAGTTTTTTCTCAATTCGATTGTATTTTTTGTTTGTTTGTTATATCTCCGTCAGTTATAAGTCGATTTGGAAAATTTCTTTCTTTTCTTATTTTGAATAGAATATATAATAGAAATTTATCAAAATTGGTACTAGTAGTTTAGTTTTTAAATCAATATCATTGGTTTTTGGCCACAATTTAAGTCGGTTTTTTTTTTCTGTGAAACACAATCTTATAACATTTAAAATGCTTTGTTACTTTCTTAAAGCAAAAGAAAATCACAAAAGACTTCAATAGTTGAAATGAAAAAAAACATCAAGTGTCATAAACACTTTTTAGTTTTTTATTTCGACTGTTGCTTGTTTATATACTAATTGTAAAACAATTTTTATTTAAATTCAAAAAGGAGATAATTCTTAATTTTCACTCGTATTTGTTTTTAAATTATATCTTTGCTAATTTTGAACTAAAATATAATTTGCAAATCGGTTTTTCTACTGTGTTACTCTCATATTAATTGTTATACGTTATATTTTTGTATCTAAAAATGGCAGTTTATTTCAATGAATGGCAGTTTATACAATCTCAATGAATGAGATAAAAACATGTAACAAAATGTATGTGACTATAAAATTAGATGAGTGTTAACTGTCACAAATCGCTTCTTATGAATGTGTATAACGAACGTAGGTTAAACATGAACTTCGTTTAAATTATCATTAAGCCGCATGCAGTTACGACCTATGCCTAAATCTAAATATGAAAAAAAAAATATAAAAAATAAAGTATTCTCTTTTTAAGTATATTTTTTTATCAGGAATTACTATTGAAATTTGTATAATACCTTAACCTGAATCGTTATAGAAAAGTGTAGTTGAATGGAGTTGTCATACAACGCTAAGCTATATTTCATCTAATGTTGTATTGTGTTTTTGTTAATTATTCTAAGAGCTAACGATGTTTGAACGTATGCAGGTCTCGGATTACATAGATAAAGCATCGAGTGTCAAAAACGTGTCCACATAAGTGTTGGCTAAATTGACATTTGACTGACTCAGTTTGACACATATTTTTTTTTTAACAAAAGCGCGCCATTTTTAATGTTGCAAGTAATTCGATTAAAAAAATCCCAGACCAAATAGATGTTTTAAATTGGAATGGGGAATTATTTTTTCGTCGTAAAAATAGACGTACGTTCATATTAGTTACAAATTTAATAATAAATAAATATTTTACACACACATGAATAAAAAAGTTGACATGTTTTGGCGGAGCATTTGTATGGAAACACTATTTATATAATCCAGAAGCAACTGTTTTAAATAACTACATTATATGTATTAACAGATTTATATTGTATTTTAATTGAAAAAGTGGTTGTATGTAAACGGAGGATGCTTGGCGCATATAATTCTGTTTATATGTACTTAAAATTTGATTTGAATGATTTTTTAAGGCGGATTTATCTAAAAAGGGGTTTCCCAAACTTCTAGGTCGACCATGTTTTTTTTTTATTAAAATGGTACACCGTATGGGTACCGTACCCATAATAATTTTATTGAGATTGTTTCAGTTGTTTTATGTTTTATTCATCAACACAATATGTATGTGTCAAGTCGAAATTTGTGTCAAAACATTGTATGTATAATTCGTAGTGTAAATGTATGTATGTCTAAGTGTCACACCCATGTTACATTCCATGAATTTCTCATATTTAATATCTAGTTGAGAATATTTTCAATGCGTAATACCGCATTTAAGAATTCTATATTATTAACAGGTTGAAAAGTCGTATACAACCCGGATAGTAAATGTGAGATGTGAGTTCGTATCCTACCTGTTTTTTCTTGATGGGTGAAAATGGTATGATAACCCCGCCTGCGCTAACGGGATACGCTGGCGGAGCACCAGTGAAAGGTGATAGATGAAAATGAGAACAGGCCAGTTAGCCCATCATGATGAATTCATCAGGAATTAACCATGATAGTTTCCAGGGAGAACCGCGAGGAGGTCGACCTGGTTGGGTGTATTGCTAGCAATGGGATTCTCAGTCTCCATTACTAACAATCGCTTTCCTCCCCGTATCCTACCTGTTAGGGTTGTCAAAAGGTAGTTTTTATATATTTATTCAACCTATTAATAATATTTATAGTTCAGCAAAATGTCGGCCAAGCCAACATTCGAAGTTAGATAAATAAGTGATTATTTCTTTTTGATATATTTTGTATTTTATATTAAATATTTATTAATGTTATTTGCGCTAAGAAGATATCATGTAATTTAATATGTGAAACAAATTTTATGGATATTATTAAACATCTTCTGTGACAAGGTCGTGTTTTATTATTTCGGTGAATGAGCTCAGTTTTGCTGTTATCTTTGTGTCCTCGGGTGGTAATGAATTGTTCTGAAATAAAAAATATAAATTACTATATATGGAAGTGATAAGTACGAATCCAAAACCTGGCAGAGCTCGAGACCGCTCGGCTATGTTCGGCTCTATAGAAGGAAATTACTAGGCTTGGTATTTTTTCGTAAATACATACATATACAAATAGACAAGACAGTCATGAATATATGTTTTTTTTTATACAACTTAGAATGGCAAACAAGCTGACGGCCCACCTGATGGAAAGTGGTAACCGTCGCCTATAGACATGAGCAGTACCATGGACATAACAGTACACTGTTTCGCACACGATACCCCCCATGCGTTGCCATTCCTGAGGACTCAGATGTTATTCCTCTGTACCCTGTAAATTTATGCCATATCCCACCCTTCAAACCGAAACACAGTCATGCAAACACAGCTGCTTCACGGTTGAAACACGAATGGGACAGAGGTGTCCAAGCAATCGACTTTTGTACAGTCTCCCTCTGGTATTCTCACATGTAGAGCTCTTCTTAAATATGGGATCTTTATTTTAAAAGGATGTCCAATGTTCGAATTTTGTAAGCGATCATGGACAACGATTATGTCTGGCAGACTGCATTTTTTTAATAGATGAGAATGGAACGGTAGTTTCGTCTACGTTGTCGGGGCACCCGTGTAAAATGACATAGCTGAGGATGAACCAGGTCAGCTGTACCATCGTGATCAATTCATCAAAAAATAACCACGACTGTTTCCAGGGGAAACCGCGTGAAGCTTACATAGATCTGATATGTTAAATGATTGTTAGCATTGGGAATTTTAAACCCCATTACTTACAATTCCTTTCCCCATGTCAGATTTGAATGCCATATTTCTATCAAAAATCTGATAGTATTTACCCTTCTAAATGAAGTAGTGAGGGGGGGGGGGGTGCAAGGGATTGTTAGCAATGGAATTTGACAGCCCCATTGCTAGCAATATGCCCTATTAGATCGGCTACCACGTGGCTCCCCCTGGAAACCGTCGTGAACAATTCTTCTTGAATTCGTCACGTTGGGCTAACTGACCTGCTTCGTCCTCACCTATCATCCTTCACTGGTGCCCCGTCTGTGTATACCGATAGCGCAGGTGGGGTTACCATTCCATTATCACCCATTAAAAAAAAGAAGTAGTGAAAATTTAATATCTGTCTTGGGAAAAACTACTACCTCTTCCTCATCACTTAATAAAGCACGATTTAATGCTTTATACTTTGGGTCCTGGCTTGATAAAACTTTCCTGTGTGCGTACCATCAAACTGGCCAGTACGGTCTTGGCTCGCTCCACGAGCCGCTGCTGTATGCCACTGGCGGCGGCCACCTGCAGCACGAAGCTGTTCTCTGAGCTGCCCTCGCGTACGCGGAATAAGAACACTGGTTCGCCATCTTCCACCATGTGCTCGAAGCTCTGCCGACATACTCGTAGATTTTTCATAATGGATGACAATGGTAACCCCGTCTGTGCTATTTTTTTTAATAGGTGAAAATGGAATAATAAACCCACCCGCGCTATCGGAACAATTCCTCTGTACCCAGTAAATTCACGCCATATCCCACCCTTCACACCGAAACACAGCCATGCAAACACAACTGCTTCACGGTTGAAACACGAATGGGACAGAGGTACTCAAGCAATCGACTTTTGTACAAAGTCTCCCTCTGGTAAAATGATGGAATGGTGTTACAGTGCCTTGTGTGGCTATTTCGGATTGAAAGGTAATAAATTACAAGATTAAAGGAACTTAATAGTAGAGGGATGGGCAGCAGCGTCCTTCTTGAAACGTCTCTAAATGCCTAACTACGGTCGCCAACCCACCTGCCAAGCGTGACAACTATTGGCAAAACTCCCTTTATGGGGAAGGCTTATGACCAGCAGTGGGCAATTAACAGTTGAAATGATGATGATGAGGAAATTACAGGATACTATAAAGCTATAACGTTTCTGTTATTGGAAATAAAAGCAAATGGTTATATGGGTACCGTGGACGTGTGAGTGTGTTTTGTTATGTCCATGGTGCTGTTGATGTATGTATATAGATGACAGTTCCCAGATTTCATCACGTCAATCATTAGCTTATTTGCCATTCCTAGTTATTTTATATATATATATATATATATATATATATATATATACTAGGAATGGCAAATAAGCTAATGATTGATATATATATATATATATATATATATATATATATATATATATATATATATATATATATATCGTATATGTGGTCAGCTAAGCCGTTGCACGTCGACCCATCGGGATGTTTTGTGCTTCCCTGCCTTATACCATCATTTCATAGATCCTTTGTGTTACCTTAACGATATCCCGCGGTTTAAGATATCTGTAGTCCCCTGGCTCTGGATAAGCCGTTCCCAGTAGACTCATGCGCATGCTCGCTAACGAATCACAGTTGCACATCAAGTGTTCCATGGATTGCCATTCCGAGTTGCATATACATAATTAATTTCCAAATTAACTAGTTACTAAAACAAACCCGTGGTTTCCCTCATCTCATATACCTCTCGCAACCTTTCAGCAGAAAACCCTCATCAAGAACCTTACCAAGAACCTGACGATTGGCGTCTTAACAATATATTGCTTGATGTTGAGGAAGTGCGTGGAGAGGAACACGTGAGGGCAGTTCTCTCCCTGGAACAGCAGCGTGTTGAGGCAGGCGGAGAGTAGCGCTAGACCATCCACTTCGGAAGTACCCTTGCCGAACTCGTCGATTATGATCAATGAATTGGAGGTCGACTCTTGGAGGACGAGTGCCATCTTGAGGAGAAATAAACATCAGTATCGGAATAGTATTATATAAACTTGGGTATTGAAAAGCCTCGTTTGCTTATCATTCCAAAATGGTGCACGCCAACGAGAGTTTTTATTTTGTTGCCATTTATGAATTCTTTAATTTTCGCGTATTCTGGATGAATTGTTTTAAATGATACACCATTAAGTACTTCAGAAAGGGCGTATAAACATTTTTTTTTGGGTCAGCAATTTGCACTTGATTCTCTTGATTTTGCAGGCTTCAATAGGATACTATAATCATTTACAATCATATGGACTGTATGCTTGATTACTGAGTGTGATACAGCATTTTTTAAAGGATGATAATGGAGTGGTAATCTCGAATGTGCTAGTAAATGATAATAGATAAGAATGTAATCAGGTAAGTTGGTTCATTAAGATTAAATCACCAGAAACACGGTGTTTTCGAGAGAGGAGTATATTATTAGCAATGAAGTCGCAAGTTCTCGTTACTAACAATGTCTTTCTGCGGGGGAAGTGATTGTTAGTAATGCGGACTAACAGTTCCATTGCTAGACCTTATCAGGTCGACCTCCACGTGGTCTTCCATGGAAACCATCCGGCCTAATTGCAGGCGTATTCATCACGATGAGCTAACTGACCTGCCTTTTCATCCTCACCTATCACCCCTCACTGGTGTCCCGCCATCGTATACTGATAGCGCTAGCGGAGTTACTATTCTATAATCATCCATTAAAAGAATGCCTTTCTTATTAGGTATTGTACTATGAATTTCCAACGATTGACCTCAGGCAGTAGGTCAGGTCGTAAAACTACCGGCCGTAAACCATATTACGCCGACTCCAAATAATAATTGGGATAAGGGTAGGAAGATGATGATGATTGTATTATGAAGAGTAGGGTCGATCACCTGTCGCAAGTCGACGAGGAAAGCAGACATATGTGCAGCAACGCACTCTGCGGAGTGCAGGCGCGAGTGCAGGCGGCTGATTAGACCTATGGTCGCCTCTGCAGCGGGCACGAAGCTGCCGATGTGCGCCAGGTACACTATCAGCGCTGCATGAGTATTACGATGGGTTTTAATTTAGGCACTGGACAAATGTAAAGGCAGCGCGCTTTTCAAACAACAGAGCACAAACTTGTCAACCCTGTTACAGATAATATAATACTATACTAGTACAGATACATCATCTTCAACAAACAGGTGAAAAGCTCTAAGTCGGTTTATTCTTCGGCTTAATTTTTAGTTGTTCATATGTGCGCTAGATGCCGCTACTTTCTTAGCCGCTCGCCAGCTCAAGCAAATAAATTTATTTACCGATGACTACTAATTGCGTAAGCAACTTATAGATGGCGTAAATCTCTGTGGCGTTTGCTATTATTGTGGAATGTTCTACCCATACATATAAATAATAATTACCTATCTATTTGAATTGTTTCGACGGTTTCGTCTTGCGTTTATACGAGGGTCATTTGACAAATTCTTAGCCTAACATGGTTAAAATCATTAGTTTTTTTTATAACTACCCTCATTTTGTAGTTACATTAGCAACAAGTATGCACTGTTTAGTTTATTCACAGTAACTCATTGTACACGTGATACCGTAAGTCAAGTCAGAGCTATTTTTGAAAATGAATAAAATTGAACATCGTGCAGTGATAAAATACCTGGATTTGAAAGGTTTAACTCCAAAAGCTATAGATGAAGACATGTCTGCTACTTTGAGTGAGTCCGCTCCTTCGTATGTGACTATTAAAAACTGGGTGGCAGAGTTTAAACGTGGTCGTGAGACCATTCAAGATGAGCCCCGTAGTGGTCGGCCTTCGACTGCTTCCACTGATCAAAACAAAGAAAAAATCTGTGATTTAATTTTATCTGATCGAAGATTGACTGTCGAGGAGATAGCTAAGACTGTAGGTATTTCATCTGAGGTGTCTGCGCGGTGAGTACCGCGACTGCTTTCAGTGGACCAAAAACGCAACCGACTCACAACTTCTCGCGACTGTTTAGAGTTATATAAAGCTGACCCAATAGAATTTGTTGAAAGATTTATAATCATGGATAAAACCTGGGTTCACCACAATACACCCGGGACAAAAGAACAGTCGAAACAATGGAAAAGAGCAGCATCGCCCACAACAAAGAAGGCAAAGGTGGTTTTATCGGCGGGCAAAGTCATGGCTTCCGTTTTTTGAGATGCAAAGGGTATAATTCTCGTAGATTATTTAAAAAAGGGTGAAACAATAAACTCCGATTACTACTGCAACCTGTTGCGTCGTTTGAGAGAAGAAATCAAAGAAAAACTTCAGGTTTATTGAGAAGAAAAGTCTTGTTTCATCAGGACAATGCGCGCGTTCACACCTCTGTGCAATCCATGGCAGAAATCCATCAATGTGGCTTCGAATTGTTACCTCATCCCCTATATTCACCGGATTTAGCACCGTCCGACTTTTATCTGTTCCCAAAGTTGAAAAAATTTTTAGGTGGTAAAAATTTTTTTTACAAATGAAGAGGTCATAGCCGCCGTGGACGCTTATTTTGAGGAGATAGACGAAGATTTTTTTAAAACGGGTATCGAAGCCTTTCCGGGTCGATGGAAAAAGTGCTTTGAGCTCGGAGGAGAGTATGTTGAAAAATAAAAATAAACTTAACATCGTGTGGTTTCATTAAGTATGTTAGGCCAAGAACTTTTCAAATGACCCTCGTACATATATAGTTCAGTAGGTAAATATTGCACGAGACTGCGTAGGAGTTTAAATAGCTCGCTTTACATGAATCGTAATACGATTTACTTTACGTAACTCTCCGAATGTGTTAGGTTTTTTTTATTATATAAATAGATAAATACTTAGTATACTCGTAGTATATCATTCTATATTTGTCATTTCTGAACTAATTTAGTTATTTTAATTGAATATGCTTTATGTATTCTTGTGATCATTGCATGTAAATTTTGTGATAGGTAAAGCGTTTTTGTGGAACAAAATGACTGTGTGAGGACGATGATAATGAAATCAGTCACTAACTTTTAATGGAATAGTAACCTAGCACCGTTTGCGTTGCGTTGCGTTGGTATAGACTAGCAGAGTACTTACCAGTCAACAAGGTATAATATACAAGGATTAAGTCAAATCAGACGGCACATTATGATTAATTTACCAGGAATAAACCATGAAATACCACCAGATTTTTTTTATTACCTGGATGTTATCGTAGGAAATTTTTGATAAATTCGTCACAATGAGATCGAAAGAAGAAAGAAAGAAAGATATAATTTAATCGAAGAAGCATGCGGCCGACTGTGTCTCTAAGTGTCTAGTGTCCGAGTGTCTAGTGTCTGAATGTATAGTGTCAGTGTGTCTAGCGTCTGAGTGTCTGAGTGTCCAGTGTCTGAGTGTCTAGTGTCTGAATGTCTAGTGTCTGTGAGTCTGAGTATAAAGTGTCTGAGAGTCTAGTGTCTGAACATCTAGTGTCTGTGAGTCTGAGTGTCAAGTGTCTGAGAGTCTAGTGTCTGTGTCTCAAGACCGTGTCTGAGTGTCTAGTGTCAGTGTCTCTAGTGTCTAGTGTCTGAGTGTCTGAGTGTCTATTGGCCGAGTGTCTAGTGTCTAGTGTCTAGTGTCTGAGTGTCTATTGTCTGAGTGTCTAGTGTCTAGTGTTTAGTGTCTGACTGTCTGAGTGTCTGAGTGTCTATTGTCTGAGTGTCTAGTGTCGGAGTGTCTAGTGTCAGTGTCTCTAGTGTCTAGTGTCTGAGTGTCTGAGTGTCTATTGGCCGAGTGTCTAGTGTCTAGTGTCTGAGTGTCGAGTGTCGAGTGTCGAGTGTCGAGTGTCGAGTGTCGAGTGTCGAGTGTCGAGTGTCGAGTGTCGAGTGTCGAGTGTCGAGTGTCGAGTGTCGAGTGTCGAGTGTCGAGTGTCGAGTGTCGAGTGTCGAGTGTCGAGTGTCGAGTGTCGAGTGTCGAGTGTCGAGTGTCGAGTGTCGAGTGTCGAGTGTCGAGTGTCGAGTGTCGAGTGTCGAGTGTCGAGTGTCGAGTGTCGAGTGTCGAGTGTCGAGTGTCGAGTGTCGAGTGTCGAGTGTCGAGTGTCGAGTGTCGAGTGTCGAGTGTCGAGTGTCGAGTGTCGAGTGTCGAGTGTCGAGTGTCGAGTGTCGAGTGTCGAGTGTCGAGTGTCGAGTGTCGAGTGTCGAGTGTCGAGTGTCGAGTGTCGAGTGTCGAGTGTCGAGTGTCGAGTGTCGAGTGTCGAGTGTCGAGTGTCGAGTGTCGAGTGTCGAGTGTCGAGTGTCGAGTGTCGAGTGTCGAGTGTCGAGTGTCGAGTGCCGAGTGCCGAGTGTCGAGTGTCTAGTGTCTAGTGTCTAGTGTCTAGTGTCTAGTGTCTAGTGTCTAGTGTCTAGTGTCTAGTGTCTAGTGTCTAGTGTCTAGTCTCTAGTGTCTAGTGTCTAGTGTCTGAGTGTCTGAGTGTCTGAGTGTCTGAGTGTCTGAGTGTCTAGTGTCTGAGTGTCTAGTGTCTGAGTGTCTGAGTGTCTATTGGCCGAGTGTCTAGTGTCTGAGTGTCTAGTGTCTGAGTGTCTCAGTGACTAGTGTCTGAGTGTCTAGTGTCTAGTGTCTGAGTGTCTGAGTGTCTAGTGCCTGAGTGTCTGAGTGTCTATTGGCCGAGTGTCTAGTGTCTGAGTGTCTAGTGTCTGAATGTCTCAGTGACTAGTGTCTGAGTGTCTAGTGTCTGAGTGTCTAGTGTCTGAGTGTCTAGTGTCTGAGTGTCTAGTGTCTGGTGTCTAGTGTTTAGTGTCTGACTGAGTGTCTGAGTGTCTATTGTCTGAGTGTCTAGTGTCTGAGTGTCTAGTGTCAGTGTCTCTAGTGTCTAGTGTCTGAGTGTCTGAGTGTCTATTGGCCGAGTGTCTAGTGTCTAGTGTCTGAGTGTCGAGTGTCGAGTGTCGAGTGTCGAGTGTCGAGTGTCGAGTGTCGAGTGTCGAGTGTCGAGTGTCTAGTGTCTAGTGTCTAGTCTCTAGTGTCTAGTGTCTAGTGTCTGAGTGTCTGAGTGTCTGAGTGTCTGAGTGTCTGAGTGTCTGAGTGTCTGAGTGTCTAGAGTGTCTGAGTGTCTATTGGCCGAGTGTCGGCCTCAGTCGACACTCAGGCACTAGACACACAGACACTCAGACACTCAGACACTAGACACTAGACACTCAGACACTAGTCACTGAGACACTCAGACACTAGACACTCAGACACTAGACACTCGGCCAATAGACACTCAGACACTCAGACACTAGACACTCAGACACTCAGACACTCAGACACTAGAGACTAGACACTAGACACTCGACACTCGACACTCGACACTCGACACTCGACACTCGACACTCGACACTCGACACTCGGCCAATAGACACTCGGCCAATAGACACTCAGACACTCAGACACTAGACACTCAGACACTCAGACACTCAGACACTCAGACACTCAGACACTAGACACTAGACACTAGAGACTAGACACTAGACACTCGGCCAATAGACACTCAGACACTCAGACACTAGACACTCAGACACTCAGACACTAAGACACTCAGACACTAGAGACTAGACACTAGACACTCGACACTCGACACTCGACACTCGACACTCGACACTCGACACTCGACACTCGACACTCGACACTCGACACTCGACACTCGACACTCGACACTCGACACTCGACACTCGACACTCGACACTCGACACTCGACACTCGACACTCGACACTCGACACTCGACACTCGACACTCGACACTAAGACACTTGACACTCGGACACACTGACTCTAGATACTCAGACACACAGACAATAGACACTCAGACACTACACACTCAAATACTAGACACTAGACACACAGACACTAGACACTCAGACACTAGACACTCGGACACTAGACACTCCGACACTCAGACATACAAACACTAGACACTCAGACACTCGGACACTAGACACTCAGACACACAGACACCAGACACTCGTACACTAGACACTCAGACACACAGACACTCAGACACGGTCTCGAGATACTCAGACACTAGAAACACTGACACTAGAGACTCAGACACTAGACTCTCAGACACTTGACACTCAGACACACAGACACTAGACACTCAGACACTAGACACTCGGACACACAGACACTAGACACTCAGACACTAGACACTCGGACACTAGACACTCCGACACTCAGACATACAAACACTAGACACTCAGACACTCGGACACTAGACACTCAGACACACAGACACCAGACACTCGTACACTAGACACTCAGACACACAGACACTCAGACACGGTCTCGAGATACTCAGACACTAGAAACACTGACACTAGAGACTCAGACACTAGACTCTCAGACACTTGACACTCAGACACACAGACACTAGACACTCAGACACTAGACACTCGGACACACAGACACTAGACACTCAGACACTAGACACTCGGACACTAGACACTCCGACACTCAGACATACAAACACTAGACACTCAGACACTCGGACACTAGACACTCAGACACACAGACACCAGACACTCGTACACTAGACACTCAGACACACAGACACTCAGACACGGTCTCGAGATACTCAGACACTAGAAACACTGACACTAGAGACTCAGACACTAGACTCTCAGACACTTGACACTCAGACACACAGACACTAGACACTCAGACACTAGACACTCGGACACACAGACACTAGACACTCAGACACTAGACACTCGGACACTAGACACTCCGACACTCAGACATACAAACACTAGACACTCAGACACTCGGACACTAGACACTCAGACACACAGACACCAGACACTCGTACACTAGACACTCAGACACACAGACACTCAGACACGGTCTCGAGATACTCAGACACTAGAAACACTGACACTAGAGACTCAGACACTAGACTCTCAGACACTTGACACTCAGACACACAGACACTAGACACTCAGACACTAGACACTCGGACACACAGACACTAGACACTCAGACACTAGACACTCGGACACTAGACACTCCGACACTCAGACATACAAACACTAGACACTCAGACACTCGGACACTAGACACTCAGACACACAGACACCAGACACTCGTACACTAGACACTCAGACACACAGACACTCAGACACGGTCTCGAGATACTCAGACACTAGAAACACTGACACTAGAGACTCAGACACTAGACTCTCAGACACTTGACACTCAGACACACAGACACTAGACACTCAGACACTAGACACTCGGACACACAGACACTAGACACTCAGACACTAGACACTCGGACACTAGACACTCCGACACTCAGACATACAAACACTAGACACTCAGACACTCGGACACTAGACACTCAGACACACAGACACCAGACACTCGTACACTAGACACTCAGACACACAGACACTCAGACACGGTCTCGAGATACTCAGACACTAGAAACACTGACACTAGAGACTCAGACACTAGACTCTCAGACACTTGACACTCAGACACACAGACACTAGACACTCAGACACTAGACACTCGGACACACAGACACTAGACACTCAGACACTAGACACTCGGACACTAGACACTCCGACACTCAGACATACAAACACTAGACACTCAGACACTCGGACACTAGACACTCAGACACACAGACACCAGACACTCGTACACTAGACACTCAGACACACAGACACTCAGACACGGTCTCGAGATACTCAGACACTAGAAACACTGACACTAGAGACTCAGACACTAGACTCTCAGACACTTGACACTCAGACACACAGACACTAGACACTCAGACACTAGACACTCGGACACACAGACACTAGACACTCAGACACTAGACACTCGGACACTAGACACTCAGACACTCAGACATACAAACACTAGACACTCAGACACTCGGACACTAGACACTCAGACACACAGACACCAGACACTCGTACACTAGACACTCAGACACACAGACACTCAGACACGGTCTCGAGATACTCAGACACTAGAAACACTGACACTAGAGACTCAGACACTAGACTCTCAGACACTTGACACTCAGACACACAGACACTAGACACTCAGACACTAGACACTCGGACACACAGACACTAGACACTCAGACACTAGACACTCGGACACTAGACACTCAGACACTCAGACATACAAACACTAGACACTCAGACACTAGACACTCGGACACTAGACACTCAGACACTCAGACACTAGACACTCGGACACACAGACACTAGACACTCAGACACTCAGACACTAGACACTCGGACACACAGACACTAGACACTCAGACACTAGACACTCGGACACTAGACACTCAGACACACAGACATTAGACTCTCAGATACTAGACACTCAGACAATAGACATTCAGATACTAGACTATAATACTAGACTGTGGAACTATTCAGTCACGTTGCGATGCGTACGTTAAACATTTCACATTGACCTGATTGATTGTCTTTGTTGTGTTCACGTTGCATAAAAGAGATCTTATGTCCGATTGTTAATTAGCAATTTAGGAAATGAATTTACTTTAACTCAGGTCTGAGTGACCTGACTTGTGAGGACCTAGTTGCATTTTAGCCATTAACTGTCCACTTCTGAACGTAAGCCTTCCCCATAATGGGAGTTTTGCCAGTAGTTGCCACGTTTGGCAATCGCAGTTAGGCTTTTAGAGATATTTTAAGAGGGACGCTGCTGCTCATCCCTCTATCATCCATTTTCCTTAGTCGCCTCTTACGACATCCATGGGAAAGGAAGAGGTGGCCTATTCTATGTAGGGACTACATGGGACCTAGGACCTAGTCTGCTATTCACGGAATTAATTTAATAAGAAATAAATGGTTAACTAAATAAAAAATGACTATATTTTCAAAAATAGTACGACATGTGTACCAGTAGCTGAGAGAATACAGACCAAATATGATTAATGCATGCAATTAATCGAAAAGAGAATATTCTTCTCTCAACAGTTAGCCGCAGTATGTCGGCTTACTAAGCGCTTTTTCACGCTATGGTGGAAGGGTTCGAGGTTCTAAGGACGAAGGGGAGGCATTGCAGGAAAGGCTCAGAATGTTACCGTACGATTTTACTCACCAATCTGTTTCATATAAACCGACTTCCCACTAGAGTTGGGTCCGGTCAGTATCTTAACGTATCCCGCCTCCTGGCTCGACTCGGTGTCGTTGGGCACGAAGTTCTCACAGTTCAATATATGCAACGGATGTCTCCCTTGCTTGATGCTGATCACTTTCTCCTCGGTGAGTGTGGGACGCACAAAATTTAGCTCTTTGCATACTTTCGATATTGCTATTAAGCTGAAAAAATATTGGTTAAAATGTCTTTAACGTTTATCCCTTACAGTTCACTTAATTCAGTTATCACTTTCTGTTTTAAGTAAATCGTAGTAACCAATTACGCCAAAGCCACAATATTTCCAGAGAACGAGCATCTCATTCCTGAGTCCTCAGGAATGGCAACGCATGGGGGGGGGGGTATTATGGGCAGTATACTCTGTTATGTCCATGGTACTGTTCATGTCTATAGGTGACGGTTACCACTTTCCATCAGGTGGGCTGTCAGCTTGTTTGCCATTCTAAGTAGTATAAAAAAAATCTGAGATAAACCTGAGTACTCAAATAGAATCTATTTAGATTAGGCAACTCGCACTGAGAATCGCACTCAGGTCCTCGTTTTGACAAAGCAACCTGCCGAGCACAGTCTTGTACTGCTTACCTAATCATCCATAGGTTTATAGGAATATTCAACGCCATAAATACCATAGCTTATTTTGTAACATCAAAAACTCTTTAGAGGTTGTTACTCCCGTCCAAGTTAATATTGTATCTCTAGCACCAGTGATAGTAAACTTTAACTGTGCACAATACAAGAGTTAGAACATAGAAACACATTATAAGAACAAAAATGTGAAATTTTTCGCAAAAACAATTGAATAAGAAAACATTAAGTCACGAATTGAAGAAATAAGAGGAATTGCTCGTTTTTTCTAAATTGGCTCAAGATATTTCATAAGAGCTTCTATTGCATGCATCTTAAGGGTTATAGTGACTTTATTGCCATCTTTGTACACAGAAAAGGAAAGAAAGAGAGAAAAATAAGTAATTTGTCGAACACGTATTGCGGTTGGATATAAATGACAATATGACATATAAAGGAATTACCAGTCAAGCTCGGCGCACTTGTCGATGACGTCAGCGAGCGTGCAGAGGTTGTCCAGCACGATGCTGGTGAGCCGCATCATGATGCGCGTCTCGTGCGCCACTATCTCGGGGTACGTGTCGCCTATCAGCACGTCCAGCTCTGGGCAGGCACGTCAACATCATCCATCATTATTATCAAATTAGCTTTTAACTGTTCACTGCAGAACATAAGTCTCCCCCTTGGGTTTATTTGCCAGTAGTTGCCACGCTTGACAGGCGGATTGGCAACCGCAGTCAGGCTTTACGAGATGTTTTAAGAGGGATCCTGCTGCCCATTCCTCGCCCTCTCTTAATTGCCTTTTACGATATCCACGGGAAAGGAAGAGGTGGCCTATTCTATGCCTGCCACCATACGCCCACGGTCACGGACCAACGTCATCCATGTACACGTTGAATTTAAAATCTTTAGCAAAATATCTATTTTGCTGTGAGTCTTTCTACAGTAGTATTTTTCTAGTGAATTTCAATACGTTTTCCAAAGACATTGGTAGGGGAAAACAATAAAATTTTAAGCCTCCGGTACTAACCCGCTACATCTAACTGTCAAGTTACGGGAAACTACATTCTTTGCCATTACTCGATTAAGTTTCACTAGTAGAGCACGTCTTTAGAAGAATTATAGTTATTCAAATTACACCATACAGGGTCAAGTCCAAATGTAAAAGGCCGGGGCAAAGGAGAACTTTGCCCTGGTCTTCTCTATTTCTTTATTTATTGCAATTTCTTCACGTAAAAAGTCCTGAATTTGGTTTGAATATCTATTTAATATTATTTGAAAGTTTCTTACTATATTTTTAGATGTCCAAATATTTGGATATTTCGTTATGGTTTGAAAGGATTTGGTTGAAAGGTGGGTTAACAATTTATAAATAGAGTAATTTTTATTTTAATAGAATAAACATTATTCTAATTCATGTTGGAAAACTAGCAGATTATAACTACTAAAATAATAAGTAATTTGATGCACGGCCTTGCCCATATTATTAAATTAGCTGTTCGATTTCGATCTGGTTATTATTCTATCACCCAAATCTTGTTACGTCCAGGAAAGTCCTGGTCACCCACCACCCATTGTCCAGTTTGTGATACCATTGATGATGTGCAATTAGAGTGTCGTATAAATTTGAAGGAAAAAGAAGAATTTATGCGCCATTTTAATTTAAATAAATATAATATTGGTCTTATTCAATCTATATTAGCTGAACCCAAATCATCTATATATATATATATATATACACACATAGATGAATATCGTATCGCGTTGCTTACCTTCACAACCTTTACTCTTGTAATGAATATAGTCGTTATTCTGAAACTGAACAAATATATAGGTATATTCGTATTGGTCTCAGTGGAAGATCCAGCATTATAAGTACCAAGCATTAAACATATTCGAGAGATGTTTTAAGAGGGACGTTGCTGCCCATCCCTCGCCCTCCGTTAGTCGCCTCTTACGACACACACGGGAAAGGAAAGGGTGGCCTATTCTATGCCGGCACACTCGGCAATTAATTAAATAATAATATTGTGAATAAAGTAATTATTAATCATTAAAAATATATATATAATTAATTAATGACAGTGGTAATTGCTCGTATGTCAAATTGTTCGTATCTCAAAGCAATTTTCCCTATTGAAATTATTTGAAATATTATTAACCCGTTTCAGCTATCGAAAAATCACCTCAGTTGCTTTTGTCAAGTGTTTTTGAATAAGAAAAACGTATTTTTTTTATACAACTTAGAACGGCAAACAAGTATAAAACAACAACAAGAAACAGTATAGTCTCTGTTATGTCCATGGTACTGCTCATGTCTATAGGCGACGGTTACCACTTTTCATCAGGTGGGCCGTCAACTTGTTTGCCATTTGCACTTCTAAGTTGTAAAAAAAAAGAAAAAGAAAGGTTGGCCGTCAGCTTGTGTGCCATTATAAGTATCGTAAAAGAACAAAGAAGGTAGGCATACCATAAACTTCATGTTAGGCAACTGCTTCTGTTCCATGGTGAGGTAGTCGTCCCAGGCCTTCACGCCGAGCAGGTACCCGAGGTGTGGCATGTACAGCATGGTGCACTCCTCCACAAACGGCGGCAGCCGCTCCAGCTCCACCTTCGCGGTCTCAGACATCAGCCCGTGGAGGCTCGCCATGGTTTGCTTCTCTATTAATTATAAAATAAACGAATTAACTTTACATTTATATTAGAATTACGCTTTTTATGATGTTCTTAAGCTATAGATTATATAGCTATATAATGTATTTTTCTATGTTTACCATAATCAGTAAATATCTTAGGATATGTCAGTCCTTTATTGTTGCAATTTATGTTATGTCCATGGTACTGCTCGTGTCTATAGGCGACGGTTACCACTTTCCATCAGGTGGGCTGTCAGCTTGTTTGCCATTCTAAGTTGTATTAAAAAAAATTGAAATCCGACAAAAAGTAATAATTAATAATCATTTATTAAGCATGGAAAAACATATTATAAAATACTTTTTAGAATAAGGAGTTGATATATTAATTAATTTTTAAAATTAGATACTTGCTTATATCTAAGTCCGGATCAACTCCAGCCTTGACGGTGAACTTGCCTTCAGACTTGGACAGGTCAAAATCTATTATTCTGTTCATGTACAGCGCCATCTGTGGGCATTGTTGATAAATAATATATTACCTGCCTCGCCCGCCCACACCATCTGGCGGGCAAAGAGAAGACCTGGATTAATTGATTGATAATATATTAAACTAATACTCTAGTATTACCCGTCTGCCAAGCATGGCGACTATTGGCAAGCCCCCAATTAATGGGGGAGGCATATGGTCAGTGCTGGACAGATAACAGATGGTATGATGACGATGTTAAATCAGTACAAGAGGAAAGAAATCTCAAAACAAAAATATACCAAGTAACTTGGCTATCGTAGTAGTATAATAACTCAGACATGTGCTTTTAGCTTGTTTAGCTCTCGTTAATACTGAATACTTTCACTGACATAACCAAGTAGCTAAAATACTCTATTAAGAGGATGAGCTATCTTAAGTATGGTATCGAACTACAATTATGAAACTCTAACAGTCCTCGCAAGCGACAGCGGCAAGCTCTACTGGGACTGATCCATCATCACGACCAGGACAGTTCCTGCGAACAAACCTGATATCGTGGTAATGGATCGTGCACTCTCGAGGGTGTTTTACTGCACAACGAGAACTTCGTGAAAGCCGAAATCGAGAAGTGGAAATATCTCGATTTAGCTCACGAGGTGACCGAAAAGTGGAAAGCCACAGAAGTTAACCTAATCATTGTATTGGCGAGCGGTTTTATTCCAACCAATCTAGAAAAACAGTTTAAACGGTTGGGATTCCGAGGGAGCTCTATACCGGGAGAGATTTCTGCATCTTTTGCAGTGATGCTCCTTGATACTGTCCGAATAGTCCGTCTGTTTCTCTCCATGGAGCCTTGAACTTAGGTATTTCGGTCGACTGTACTTTTGCTGAGAGTTAGTTTGCCATCTCCGAATTGTTCTTAAGAGAGGAGATTTGGATATTTTCCAAAATAATAACAACAGCGTAAAGTTCTTGACTGGGAGATATTTCATGAAGACTCTTATGATGGGTTTAACCTGTTACCTATCTTTATTGTACATTAATTTGTCCCATACTTTGGTCTATTGATTCAACTGAATGCTTGAGCCTTTAGAGCCTAAGTTTCTTACTGTTTATTCGCCTCGGCAATGAAAATGTGAATAATAGATTAAGGTCTTACTTCGTACAGCTTATTGTTGTCGCAGGTGGCGAGCTGGTGAAGGAACTCGCTCGTGTTGCCCGCACCCTCGCAAATCTCGCAAATTAACACCGCGTTGTACAACGTCTGCCACGTAGATAGTAGTTTTTTTTTAAAAGAATTTGGTTTATAGTTTATTCACCGACTCAGTGAATTGTGATTAGATATTTCTGTGACCTTATCTACATATATTTATATTGTTCTATAAAACAGCAGTAGTAACAATATTAACTTCTTTAGAAAGTCTTTTTTAATGGGTGGAAATGCAACGACAACCATGTTTGTGCTAAGTACCAGTGAGGAATCATAGATGAGGGTGAAAGCAAGCCATTTGGTCCATCGTGACGAATAAAAAAAACCCGGTTTCCAGGGGGTACTGCGTAAAGGTTCACCTATGAGGGTACATTGCTAGCACTAAGGTTATCCCCATTACTAATAATCTCTTTCTCCCTTACTAGAGGAAGACTTACACAAACTCATCTGCATCTCTCTCATTTTTATTATTACATTATAAATTCTACCCCCAAATAGTTTGTTGGAATGTTGTGCTTCAGTTTGAACTATGAGACATGGCATGATAAAGAAATTATTTGGTACTATAACTTAAGATCTTCACTTCACATAAGTAAACATATAAGTATGGACATGGACTATATGGAGTGGAGTAATCGTCCATCTATATTAGACGAAAGGGTAATTTCGATACCAGAGGGAAACTTTTTGTACAAAATCGTCTGCATGGAACCACCTCTATTCCACGTGTGTTTCTATCGTAAAGCAGTTATATTTGCATGGCTGTGTTTCAGTTTGAAGGGTTTTTTAATGTATGATAATGGAATGGTAACCCTGCCTGAGGTTACGGTATACGCTGCCGAGGCTCCAGTGAGGGATGATAGGTGAAGATTAAAAGGCAGTTCAGTTAGTCCATCGTGATGAATACACCTGGAATTTATCACGATGGTTTCCAGAGGGGATTACCTGGAGGTCGACTTGACAGGATAGATTGCTAGCAATGGTACTGGTAGCTCATATTACTAACAATCCCTTACGCCCTCGGTTTGAAGAGTATGGTAATAAAATTACAGGGTACAGAGGCATAATAATTATTTGTATGTTACATTGTTAATTTGTAAAATTCTTGTATGTTTGTGATTTTGCACTTGTATAGTTTTAAAATTTTATTATAGTCAACACAATCAAATATTGTTATCGAATAGAAAGAAAGAAATAACACTAGAAATAACCTCTGTAATGGCAACGCATGAACGCATGTATTATGGGTGTCACAGTATATGTATGTACTTGTTTGCTATTTTAGGTTGCACTGAAAATTCATTGTGTATATATAAAAAAGATCGAAATAATGTACCTATTGCTGTATGTGGATGAAATAATATATAAAACTTACGTTGTAAAGCGACTTCCATTGGTATGGCTTTGCTGATAAAGCTTTCATTTTTGTAAGTATGCCCTGAAAGAAATTTTGGTATGTTTAGTGTTTTCTAAGACTTATTTACATTTCAACTATATTCGTTAGAAGTGCACAAAAATTATATATATATATATATATATATGTATATATATATATATATATATATATATATATATATTAATTTTAGAGAACTGAGCGCTAATACTTAGGCCCAATTTTAAAATAAGTCACGTAACAATTTGTACTTGAATGTTAAAAAAAATATCTAATTAGATAGCTAAATCTAGATGATTTTTGGAAATATAATAGTGATCTTATACATCAAAATTTCGATAGGTCAGTTCAGGAAATCACATTTTTTGTTTAAATAATATTTATATTTTCAATTGACTTCAAAAAAGGAAGAAAAGTCTGATGTCAGATAACTATACATTTTCAGATTTACCAGAGGGAGGCTTTGTACAAAAGTCATTTGCTTAGGCACCTCTGTCCCACTCGTGTTTCTATCGTAAAGCAGTTCAGTTTGCATGGCTGTGTTTCGGTTTGATTCGTGGGATATGGCAGTGAATTTACGGGGTACAGAGGAATAACACCTGAGTCCTCAGGAATGGCAACGCATCGGAGGTATCATGGGCGAAACAGTATACATTGTTATATCCATAGTACTGCTCATATCTATAGGCGACGATTACCACTTTCCATCAGGTGGGCCGTCAGCTTGTTTGCCATTCTAAGTCGCATAAAAAAGTCTTATGTAGTAATACCTGAGTTAGCTTTTATTACTAGTAAATTGATTTTTTTTACTTTATTATTATCTTTTAATTATTATTGTTGATGGCAATAAAGAGATCTTTTTTTTTACAACACAGGGGGCAAATGAGTATGCGGCTCACCTGTTAATAAGTGAATACCGCCGCCCATGATCACCCACAACACCAACAGCATTGCATGTGTACTGCCGGTCTTTTAATAAGGAATATGCTCTTTTCTTGAAGGTTATGTTGTCGTTTCGGTTCGGAAATACTGCTGCTGGAAGTTGGTTCCAAAGAGTGGTTGTGCGTGGAAGTGAAGTGGAAAGTGCCTTGAAAAACGCGCGGTGGAAGGCCCCCACTCGTCCAGATGGTTGATGTGAAATTTTAGTTTATGGCGGGTTGTACGGTGGTGAAAATCAGCAGCAGGTATCAATTCAAACAACTTCTCAAAGCACTCCCCATGATAAACTCGGTAGAAGATGCACAGAGATGCAACATCTCTACGCAGTTTCAGTTGGTCGAGTCGGACAGTAAGGATCTATCTGAAATATTATTAACACTTTGCTGACCGGTGACGAGTAAACTCATCATTGCACCAGCGTGTATGTACGTCCTCCTACCACGACGGGCACCACCGTTTGGATTACAAAGCGTTCATGACCAAAAAATAAATTTTCTTTGTATTTAGGTTTTTATCACAATTTTAGTTCAATTCCAAAGATTTCAAACATGACGGAATTTCCGATCAGCTAAGTGTTTGAATGATTCAAATTGAACTACTAACATTAATATTTTTGATGAATCTAAGCGAGGAGCAGATATTTTTCATGGTGGTTTCGTTTTGTGGCCTCATGAAGAATGCCACCACGTCCTGCCGTCGCCTCAGCACTGACAGGTCTTTTGTAGGGTGCTGCAGGAATACCCTGGGTGACAATGTTGTATTTGTCTATTCTATTTTGACCAAATACAATGCCTTTTTAATTGTCTGTACTGCCTTTGTCTGGCCATGTGGTCCCGGAATAGAATAGGCCACCCCTTCCTTTCCCGTGGATGTCGAAAGAGGAGTACTGGCACTTTGTGCAGTAACAGATTTTTTTTATACCTCTAGGGTGGCAAATAAGCATACAGCCCGTCTGACAGGGGGGAAAGGGATTGTTAGTAATGGGGTCAAATAGCCCCATTACTAGTTATATACACGTGATTCCCCCTGGAAACCGTTGTGGCTAATTCTAGTTGAATTCGTCAGGTTGGGCTAACTGACCTGCTTTCATCCTCATTAGTCATCTATCACTGGTGCTCCGCCAGTCTATACCAATAGCGCAGACGGTGTTACCATACCATTATCACCCATTAAAAAAAGCCTGTCTAACAATGAACGGTCACTGTAGCCTATGGACGCCTGCAACACTAGGGGTGTCACGTGCGCGTTGCCGACCCTGAAGAAACCTTAATACACTCTTTTTAAACCCAAAATTGCAATCTCTAGGGGAAACCTCGACAGGGAGTTCATTTCACAGCCGGAGTTCGCGGGAGAGAGATGTGAAATCGCACTGTACGCGATAAAACTAGGGAATGCGTAATACATGAGTTTATCTATACCTATGAAGGTACAGTTTTTAGCTGCTACATTGCTGTGCAAAGGTAGCATGATTGCATCAAATAACATTGATTTGATAACAAAAAATATATTTTAAAATAAAGATACAGCATTTATTGCTCAAATTCTGATTATATCCGTATAGTTCTACGATTTAGTTCTATCACAGTACAGGCAGTAGAACAAAATGGACTTTTTTATCCGTTTAGTTCTACTATTTGCATGACCTTATTAGAACTGAACTAACAAAACTGTTAAGATCCAAAACAGACATAAAAAGTATTACTTTGTTTTCGATGAGCCTTTTTATAAGTGTTCATATACATATATATCCATCACGTCTATATCCTATTGGGATAGGCAGAAACAATTAAACGAATAATTGAAATTTTCAAATCTAAAAGATCTCTTTTGCTTCCTTTACTTTTTTCTTTTATCAATCAATTGCACGATCGCCGGTTATGGGTACTTTTAATTTGGCCCTTCTTCAGCATGATGCCCATTTGGTCAATATTTTATTTATTCATTAGTACATACATGGCGGACTTAATGCTAAAAGCATTCTCTCCCAGTCAACCATAGGGAAGTGTCAGAATATTCGAATGTGGTACTAGTAATTATTGATATACACACATACTAAAATTACATATATAAACGAATAAATACATATATAAGTACCAAATATACATACATATATATAAAATATACTATGTTACACACGAAATTGAGAATAATATAAAGTACTTACTGCTCGGCTAAAGTAAAAAAGTGAGCATGAACGTTTTTTTTTTAAGGACGGTTTCGTCGGTAGTCTCTTAATGGTACCAGGAAGCGCGTTTCAGAGCCGTATATATGATCGTTTAGGGCGAACCCTGCAGATATCTCCAGTTACTGTGACTTTGGCAAATTGACTGTAAGATTACATCTCTTAAAGCCATAATCAGGGGGTAAATTTTATATAAAACAATATAAATTACCTCATCCTACTTTGGCCAACCTTGGAGGAGCACTTGCTGAATATGTGATACAAACTGAGCCCCTCCTTGTTGCTGCCCTGTACACCCTTCTTGAAGTTGCTGGGGTGCGACACGGAGCTGAATACCTGGAGGCCGCGGTACGTGTCTTCATCTATCGTGACTATATCCGCACTGAGATAACGAATTAGCAAATAATTAGGGAGTAATTGTAAACTATTATAGACAATGCTAAAGTAGCTGCAGCACTAAAGCGGCAGAAAACAGCATTCCGACTCCAACAGTACGTAGAACCAAAAAAGATGATGTATTTAAAGCTGTGAACAGGTCATCATAACAGCCTTTCACTGTTCACTGCTAAGCCTCCCGTTTATGCGGTTTGGCTAGTAGTTGCCACGCTTGGTAGGCGGATTGGCAACCGCAGTCAGGCTTTAGAGATGTTTTAAGAGGGATGCTGTTGCCCATCCCTTGTCCTTTCTGTCGCCTCTTACGACACCCACCGGAAAGGAAGGGGTGGCCTATTTTATCCCGGGACTACACGGCCAATAAGTGTGTGAACAAGTATATTAAAATAAAGAAGATTTACATTCTATTCTTCTATCCCATAGTTCCGCTGAAAGACATTTTTGTTTATTGGATGAAAATAACTCCGCCTGCGCTAATGGGATACGCTAGCGGGGCACCAGTGAAGGGTAATAGATGAGAATGAAAACAGGCCAGTTAGCCCATCATGATGAATTCATCAGGAATTAACCATGATAGTTTCCGGGGGGAAGCGCGAGGAAGTCGACCTGGTTGGGTATATTGCTAGCAATGGGATTCTCAGTCTCCATTACTGACAATCCCTTTTCCCCCCGCTGAAAGATATTATCCGTAGGCAAATCAACAAGCCTCAATTCGTTTGTATTTTTTATGTTTGTTACCTCATAACTCGGTCAGGCTAAACCTATTTGGAAAATGTTTTTTTTTTATCCTGAAAGTATATATTTAGAGATTGGTCCCATATAAATTTTTTTTAAAATCAGTTTAGTAGTTTAGTTTTCAGACCAAAATAACTGGTTTTGTCATAATTGTTAATGTTTATAGGCGACGGTTACCACTTTCCATCAGGTGGCCCGTCAGCTTATTTGCCATTCTAAGTTGCATAAAAAATTAAGTCTGCTTTTTTTGCGGGATACCTACAACTTTTGTGTAACAAACATAAAAAAAGTAACTGAAATGAGAGTATTCTCCTTTTTTGAAGTCGGGTGAAAATACATATAAAATACATACAGAGAAATTTTCCTCAAGCTCAAAAACTGCGGTTTGCTGTGCAACTCCATACTGAGAGTGGACCAGTTGAGGTCCAGGTAGCGGAGTAACGCGCCGAGAGCGTGCACGCTCTGCGTGTGAGTGAAGTCCACCACTGTTCGGATGAAGAGCATCCTCTCATCCTCTGTACAGTCGGCCGGTTCGTTGGGAAGCGATAGGGAGTATATGCGACGTTTGCACGCTTCGAAACCTTTGAGACATGTGTATGTATATGTTGATTTGTGTACGCTTCAATGATTATGGGCCAGTCGCTCTAGTACAGTGGTAAACAAGTTTGTCGGCAAATTTGTTATGTGAGAAAAAATATAGATGCTGTCCCGCTCTAATCCTATCATAGTGTTTTATACTAGGATTAGAACTTTGGATCTATCAATAGATTTGATCATTGCCCCTCTTAAAGTTAGGTATTAGTCCAGGAAATACAGATTCCCGTCCACTAGAATATGAAGATATTCGAAGATTTAAGAAAGTTATAGAAAATCCATACAGCAATTTTTGTCATTTCTAACGATTTGCTGTTTACAAATAAGTTCGTATTTACCCAAATATCTAGCATTTTTGTGTACAATAATGTCTGGTCTGTCTGTCTGTCTAAAAACAACAATAGACAACGGACTATATAGATTCGAACTAATTTATCTTATAATTATAGTATAACTCTAATAATATATTTAAATATATATATATATATTCTTTATTGTATGTTTAATATATATATATAATGTCTTGTCAAAAAAATAAAACTTACAATCTAACTAAGAGCCTGTCTTTGAAAATCCGTTCAAACGTATCGTAACTAGGGGTGGGTATTATTATTATTGTTGAAAGACGGGCTTTTTCAGTCAGAATAACCTGTGACACTTCGACCTTTCCGTGATCTTTTGTGCTCGCCCTTTTTTTAAAGTTCGCTGCTAATTACAATGATAGGAATTTTAAGATGTTTTCTGTAACGACATTTTTTATATCCTCAGGATATATAGTGTGTTTTCCAAAGGAGATATATCGTTAATGTATGAGTGGGCTACAGCCACACATTCAGTGCTGCGGCGTTTCTTCCTCACTGTGACAAAATAATAGGGGCGGGTAACAAATAGCAATTATTTTAGTCACAATATCCAGTAACGAGTGTGTTATCCAAAAAAACTGTTATCTGAATAATAATATTAGATAACAGATTATTAATGTGATAGATATGTATCACATCTCCCATATCTAGAACTAACAAAATTTTTCATCGTGCCTCCCACTAAACTGTTTATAATTACTCCTCTCCATCCAAAGGTTGACTGGAAGAGATCGCTCTTAGCGATAAGGTCGCCCATTGTTTTCTCATTATAATTATTTCTTGTAATTATTTATATTTATAATAAGTTTACTATTGTAATCTTTTGTAGGAAACAATAAAGAGTATCTACCTATCTATCTATGTATAACATATTCGAAAATAGATATCCGACTGATTTAGGCGATTTCGAAATGGGTGATGACCTTTGACCTTTTCTCCGCTATCATTTTTTTTATACAACTTAGAATGGCAAACAAGCTGACGGCCCACCTGATGGAAAGTGGTAACCGTCGCCTATAGACATGAGCAGCACCATGGACATAACAGAGTATACTGTTTCGCCCAATATATAGATATTGGATCGGTATACGTAACGTAGTTTTTTTTTACAACACAGGGGGCAAACGAGCATGCGGATCACCTGATGGTAAGTGACTACCGCCGCCCATGATCACCCACAACACCAACGGCATTGCAGGTGTGCTGCCGGCCTTTTAAAAAGGAATATACTCTTTTCTTGAAGGTTATGTTGTCGTATCGGTTCGGAAATACTGCTGCTGGAAGTTGATTCCAAAGAATGGTTGTGCGTGGAAGAAAGTGTCTTAAAAAACGCACGGTGGAAGACCGCCACTCGTCCAGATGATTGGGATGAAACTTTAGTTTGTGGCGGGTTGTACGGTGGTGAAAATCAGCAGCAGGTATCAATTCGAACAATTCCTCAGAACACTCTCCATGATAAATTCGGTAGAAGATGTACAGAGATGCAACATCTCTGCGCAGTCTCAGTGGGTCAAGTCGGACAGTAAGGCGTTGACTATCAATAATTCGAGCCGCCCGACTTTGAATGCGGTCTAACGGAAGGAGTTTGTACTGTGGCGCTCCTGTCCATAAGTGAGAACAGTATTCCATATGCGGCCTGACTTGGGTTCGCTAATAATATTATTTATTTATTAATTAGTACATATATGTGTACATGGCGGATTTAATGCTAAAAGCATTCTCTCCCAGTCAACTATAGGGTCAATAGTCCCCATAGTAATTTTACTTAATAATATTAATATTAATAATTAAAATATTAAAAAAAAACATACTGTATTCTCGAGCAGACAAAAGAATCAATTTGCAGGAACCCTGCCCATTGGCGTCGTGGTCAAACACGGTTGTCTTGACAGTTTGCAGGAAGGCACTTTGCGATTTTCCTTCTAGCAGTATTTTAGCTGGTTCCACTTGTCGGAAGAGGTTCAAGAACATTTGGAACTCTGGTGGGCGGTCTACTATCTCTTCTAGAACGAATAGCTGATAGAAGAAATTAATAGAAGTTAGAATCAATATGGGAAGATTTATTTACTTTCTTTTTATTCGACTTAGAACAGCACACAAGCTGACGGCCTGCCTGTTGGAAATTGGTAATCGTCCCCTATAGGCATGAATGGTAACATGGACATGACAGATTATACTGTTTCGCCCGTGATACCCCCCATGCGGTGCCATTCCTGAGGACTCAGGTATTACTTTCTTATGTCATATTCATATAATCATTTACTTTGCAAGTTCATTTATTGCACGCAAGATAACAATATGAAACTATTGAGTATGGAAATATAGGAACTAGGTTCTTTTTTTATGGGTGAAAATGGAATGTCCTCGCCGGTATCCTCGCCGCTCGGAATCGGTATACGTTGGCGGAGCACCAGTGAGAGATGATAGGTGAGGATGAAAGCAGGTCAGTTAGCTTATCCTGAATAATTTGCCAAGATTTAATCACGATGGTTTCCAGGGGAACCGCGTACAGGTCGACCTGATAGGGTACATTGCTAGTAATTGGGCTGTCAGACCCCATTACTAACAATTCCTTTCTCATCACGGGCTGTATTATATGAACTGAACAAGTCACATTCATACATATCACCTTCTCGCTGCTGTGAAAAATAAGCACCCGAAACACTGTCAAAATAAATTACGCGTGCAAAATTAAATAGCTAGACTAGAGACTTATGCTGTATCAAATCGCAGCTTAAGTCAACTAAGACGCTTAAGCTTAATACTCATCTCCTAATCGCGAACCAAATAATATTGGAAAAAAATAAAACTGAATGGTACAAAATTTACATTATTAACCCATTTTCTTTTATGAATATTACTCTATCTAATTAATAGGCATACTCTAGTTATCTTTTTGATATAGACGGAAGAATTTTCTAGATCTATTCGTATTTTGCCATTAATTTTATTTCTTTTAAAAATCAAAATTTTATTTTACTTTTAAAGTTTGAATATATTCAGTAAATAAATAAATTGTCAACATTACAAGAACCTCAGTTTTTGCGTGGTAACATATTTCAACAACGTTTATGATTGTCGTGACAGAATAGAACCCACCTCCCCGGTCTGTAGCGTGTAGTGGGCAGCTCCCAGCCTGCCCGACCGGCAGTATACTGATAGCAATCTCTAGAAACATAAGACGGGATTTAAATAGGTAAAACTGTTTTTTTTTTTTATTTTTTAATCCCAAAGGCAAAGGGCTCTGCTCATACAGCTCATAACAGTTTATACCGTTATTTCATAATATTTATAATAATGTTTTGACTTTTGTCAGAATTTTAATGTGTTTTTTTTTTAAGAATTACAATATATTACTTGTATTGTATGAGAAAGTTCAAATTTTGTTTTTATACAACTTAGAATGGCAAACAAGCTGACTGCCCACCTGATGGAAAGTGGTAACCGTCGCCTATAGACATGAGCAGTACCATGGACATAACAGACTATTTCGCTCATGATATCTCCTTATGCGTTGCCATTCCTGAGGCCTCAGGTGTTATTCCTCCGTACCCAGTAAATTCACGCCATATCCCACCCTTCAAACCGAAACACAGCCATGCAAACACAACTGCTTTACGGTTGAAACACGAATGGGACAGAGGTACTCAAGCAATCGACTTGTACAAAGTCTCCCTCTGGTTTTAACATATACAAGTTATACAAAAAATAAAAAGTACACAGGCGGAATTCATTATATTTTCTGTTTATTTTCTTTTTTTTTTACAGTATCTATTGATTTAAAAAAGGCGGGAGATTCTGAATTCGGTTGTATTTTTAAGTTTGTTATCTGTAAGGTTATAAACATAAAAATTCAACGTCAGTTGTAAACTGATTTGGAAAATCCTTTTTTTATCTGAAAGATACAAATTTCTATACAAATTTGTGTTATAGAAATTTTATAAAAATCAATTCAGTAATTTAATTTTTTAAATAAAAATAACCGGTATAGCCACAATTGAAGTAATTGGAGTCGTGTTTTGCATTTCACAACACTATTTAAGGCGACAGTATAAAAAAAAAAGTTGAGTTCTTTTTTTAAATAAATTCGATCGTTTCCGAAGTGTCCCCATTGTTCTGCAGGTCAAGGAACAAAACAAAAGGCTGAAAGCTAGAAAGTATAATGGGGTGGCGATCCCCTCATTCGAAACTGTACTGTTATAAAACAACTAATTAATTAGAACGATGGAAATACCCGTATAGCTACATGATACGTGGCCCACTTTTATGGTGGCCATTTCATTTACGTAATTGAATGTGTGTATGGTTAAATGAAGGTTTCAAATCAGTTTTATTATACAGAAGGGTATTTCTTTGTTTATTCTATTTAATCAATTTATATAAAATTAATTTTGCGCTGTTGAAAAGTGTCGTAATAAGGTGGTTACGTTGGCAGTGTGGTTGCAACATTGAATGAGTCACTTCTTCCTTTCGTGAGCGCTGTAAGAGAGGACTAAGGGAATTTAACGTTTGAGGGATGGGAAACAGTGTTCCTTTTAACCCTTAAATACCTGAAGTTTCAAATTTGATACCGGGGTTATAAATCGCATTGGGCGCCTACAATCGATTTTATTTCAACATTTGGTTGTTTACATGTTACCAAATGTTTTTTTTCAAAATAAATATATAAAAATATCGTTTTGTTTTTTTTTTTACTATTTTTCCCCATTAGTAAACACAGTAAAGGGTACACTTAGATATTTTTTAATTTGATTAAAAAAATCTGGCTTTTAAGGGTTAAAACATCAGCAAAGCCTAATCGCGGTTGCCAATCCGCCTGCCAAGCGTGGCAACTACTGACGTTGACGTGTGTGGACGTGTGTGTTAGTTAGTGGACGGTTAACAGCTGATATGGTGATGAAGAGGATACAAAATGGAAAAAATATACCTCTTCGTGCTCAGTCTCATCACTGGTTTCTTGGTTTACATTCTCATTTTCATTTCTGTACACAGAAAAATATATATATATATATATATATAGGTACTTCCTGTAACTTTTTCTATAACACTGGCATTGCTTACAAGCTAACGGTCAACGTAATGGAAAATGGCACGCATCGCACTCCTAATGTATTTGTAGTTTCTGAGTATTATGATTTAAATTAGCTCATGAGAGAGTAAATTCAGATAATTTACTAATATAATAAAATTATGACTGGACGATGTCTATACTTGATTTAAGAAAAAAAAAAACAAATATAAGGAAGCAAAACAAGCTAAAACAATATTTTTAGACACTTTGTCTGTCTATCTATATGTTGGTTTTGGCATCACGCAAAAATTACTGTACTAATTAGGATGCACTTTTCACAGTTGTATTCCTTAAGATGTAACTTGAAAAATTGCTACTCGTATTTCATTGTTTTTCCTATTTCTGAAATCTACGTTTACAAAGTAGCGGGCAAAAAGCTATTTCAAAATAAAACTCAAAAGTTTAAAAGTATTATCAAAATTGATTCAAAATTTTCTAAAATTACATCTTTGTCGCATTTTTTGTATTTAAGTCACATTTTTTTTATATAAAGTTCTATGTCATATCCTAAAGTCATATCTTTAATTTATAATCAAAGCCTTAGTCGTATCATAGTATTATATTTATTTATGCGACTACAAAAGGGAACAATAATATTAATAAATTAAAAATGACTCTACGTATTTATTCTCCTTTCTATCACGCATTAACGTCTGTAGGTAATTTGTGCTAAGTACAAATATTTTAGCCAAGAAAAAAGTATCTACGTGTCAATAAAGTCATCTCCTCAATTTCTTTGTAAATTGATTATAGTTATACTATACTTAGTCTTTCTAGTGTCAAAATTACTGCAGCGTAATATATAGAACATTCCAGAACATTACCTTCTACACTTTGTTATCACGAATTGATTACCGCTTTCATTAGAACCAGTATTAATGCAATTACTGCTTACTGGATACCGAGACACCTTTACCGAGGTTTTATCTGATGATATTTCATTCATTTTATGGTTGTTAACTTTATTTTAAATGTTACAACTGATGAATTGAAAAATACAATCGTCTATTTAAACAAGAGGTTTCAAAAAACAGAATCTCAATCACTGAGTAAGTAATCGCTAAGAGTCGGCACTATCTTATATTAATGAAAATGAAAAAATATTCTGTGTAACCATTTAGCAGTATTAATACATTAAAATAAATAAATATTCATTGTGTTGCACATCTATTTATAATATACTTTTGTGTAAATATTCGATATTGATATATTATAAAAAAACTCTAGCTTTTATATAGTAAAAATGTTAAAATTCAATGAATTGATTGCATAGATATAATATAAATGTTTTTGTTCGAAGTGACACGGGTCTGAGCAGATTCTAGGCTAGACAGGATTTGAATGAAATTTACCCGCCAAAATTATAGCACAGATAATAAATGTATTTACAACAATTACAGTATAAATCACAAAGTACGTAATAACTATATGCATAAATTAAGGATTATAAACTTAGTATAACTACTGGTATAGTATTATATTATCTGTGGTATAACGTACTACGTAGGATAGAAGTACTTGTAGTTTCCTTTGTCTTATCTATAAGGATGGTCATCTTATAGACGAAAATATTTTTGCGGGAACAATAGATTTGAATTGTAATAGTTTTTAATCACATTTTTTTATGTAACTTTTTAAAAAGAATATACAGAACAATTTATAATGAAGTATTTATTTTTATCGTGTTGACCAGTAATTAGTCATTATAACTTGTGGGCGACATGCATATAGCGTGAACGGGTACACCAAGGGTTAGTGGGGCAATAGGCAATGGTTTGCCGATAATAACGAAATAAGAGGTGAATTGTTCCACATTTCGATTTTGTAACGATAAAGTTTCCAACAATATTACGAGCATGAAGTAAAATTATATGGTTAAGTATAAAATCGATACCAGACCGGTCATAACTGGGTGCAGCGGTCTCACCTTCCGATGGTTGCGAGCTTCATGCTAGCACTGTACAGATATTGTTGCCTGTTTATACTGTAACGGAAGAGTAATATAGTTTAATATTATACCTAATTAAGTATAACAATCCGTAGTCTAGTACAGTGAGTTTTGCTTAGTTCTGGACTGTATAACACTTCCGCATACGGTAGATAGATAGATAAATAATCTTTATTGTTTCTTCCAAAAGATTACAATAGTAAACTTATTACAGATATATATATAAATAATTACAAGAAAATATTACACTGAGAAAATAACGGGCGGTCTTATCGCTGAGAGCGATCTCTTCCAGGCAGCCTTTGGATAGGTAAAAGTAATTATAAACTGTGACTGGAGGCATGAAACTCAGTTCGTATTGAATTTATAAATATTTTTGTAATAGCAGTAAATAAAACTACTAGATAATTAAAGAGAATTTTTATTTTTCAAAATTGTACTTTTATTTCAAATATTTATTCAAAATTCACATTTTAATTAGGTACTTATATTTATTTTTGATATTTTATTTATCGATACTTTATCAGTGCCTACATAATATCTTTTGATTTGCGAAACATTTATTTTACAAGTACGTTAACTATTAAAGGCACTTATGGTATACATAAAGGACTCGCTTAATATTTTATTTCATTAATATAATTTATTTATTATTAAAAAATTTAAAAGTCACTTAAACGATCAATAGTTCTTAGTGACACACGGATTTAACACAAAATCTTATTCTAAAGTCTTTCACATTAAATAACTAAGAGGTCTTTTTCTTCGGGCGCGTCTTTGCGGAAGTTGATTCGGATATGGCGACAAATATGGCCGACGGCTTCAGCTGTCGGCACCAGAGTGGCGGCCATGCAGGACGCGACCATGGTACGCAGCGAAGCGAAGTAGATCTTTACGCAGCGTAGACATGGCGCCGTACACCAAATTTGCTGTTGATTTATAAATTTAGTCGATTAGTCATGAATTTGAAAAATCTCAAATGTTTCAAATTTATTTTTCCTATTGACGTGTTTTGTCTTTTTCTTTTGCTCTAAATTCTCAAATTACAAGACAGTGGGGTTGACTTTTAGATGCCATTTCTCTTAATACCTATTTGAATTTGATAATTACTAAACAGCAATATATATATATATATATATATATATATATATATAATCTTAATTTTTACTACATAATTTTTTACTTATAGCCGTATAGTTTCGGCACAGAATGGGCCCCCTTCCTTTCCCATGGGTGTCGTAACAGTCGACTAAGAGAACTGTTTATGAATGAATGATATACTTAAAATATATAAATTATCTAATATGCGAAATAGCCAACGTACTGTCCTTGGCTACTTCGCATATTAGATATGTACTGATAAGATAACACTCCTTTCAATTATTATGTTTATTTTCTGCGGAAAGTTTTTACCAGCTCTCAGGTTACGGTCTTTAGAAAATTGTTAGTATCTGGGTCATTACGTGAATTGCCAGCGATTTTCTGTTTAAAGTTATAAAGAGACTAACCTCAAAGGCGAGGCAGGCGAAGCCGCAGCCCAGCAGCAGGGCGCAGGGCGGCGCGAGTAGGACCGCGAGGCAGGTGTAGCACCAGTTGCGCGCGTACCCGAAGCACAGCGTGCTCAGCCGCCACGCGCACTCCGGACTACGAGCGCCCTCCGGCTCCCCGATTATATCGTCCCATACTATCTACACACACGAATTAAAAAATGTTACTTTTTTTTAAATTTAATTAGCATGCAAATACATTAAAAAAAAACTATGGATTTCGACCTCCACGTGGTTTCCCCTGGAAATCATCGTGAACAATTCTTGTTGAATTCGTCACGATGGGCTAACTGACGTACTTCATCCTCACCTATCATCCTTCACTGGTGCCCTGCTGGTGTATACCGATAGCGCGGGTGGGGTTGCCATTCCATTATCACCCATTAAAAAACACAGGATTTTCCTAGCCTGGCCTCCATGGCTGTGCATCAATATATAATCTATATGAATCTTGTATATGCATCTGTATATTTTTGTTGTTTTGGTTTTTATTATTTATAATAATAAATTATTATAAATAATATAATAACTATACCATTGTAGGGGGAAAGGGATTATTTGTAACAGGAGCGGTCTAATTAGTAGCAATGTAACCTAAAAAAACTAAACCACAGATAATATATATGAAAATAGGTATAAAGTAGGTGCTTATGCTCAATTAACCTCAATAACACTTGAAAAACCATTTTACAGAAATACAAACATTTCAGTCTAACTGCTATTCAAAATAGTTCGAGCAATAAGTCAACGTCCGTGTATCAAATTACTTGTACAAATAGTTTGTTTTTCATGCATGCCCCACCAGCCATGGAAATGGTCAGGGCAATGGGCTGCCATAATTTCTCCATAGAAATGGGGGAATGAGCAGTAATATTTATTTCACGGTTTGTATTTGAAATGTTTGTTTCATTGACGACTTCAGCTATAGCGATTAATGGTTTACTAGTTTTTGCCCGCAACTTCATACGCTTGGTTTTGGGGAGTTTTACTCGTTTACGGGTTGAATTTAAAAAATACTATCATATTGTTAATTTATAAAGAACTTGTCTGCAAAATTTTATACATACATATCTGTCACGCCTGGCTTTCATTAGAGTAGGCAGAAACAATGAATCGACAAATGCTTCTGGGAGACAGGCGTGACAGATATAAAGAGGAAAAAAAATATTTTTTGTTTGTAATGTATATATATATATATATATATATATATATATATATATATATATATATATATATATATATATATATATATATTCTATAATTGAAATATTTTTTAAAATCAATTAAGTATTTTTTAAGTTTCTTCATTACAAAAAAAAACAAATTTTTCCTCTTTATATTATTTATGGCAGTGTTTTTCAATCTTTTTCAACGCGGGACCCCCTTTGTATGTAAAAATATCTTGCGAACCCCCTACTCTTCGCGGTTTCGAACCTGTCTTTATTTTATTATAGCACAATTATTTATATTCCAAGTTAGGTATGGATTAAATAAAATAAATAAATAATACGTATTGAAGTATCTAAAAGAGATATCGATTACTTTATGAAACTATTGTTTTTTCATTGCTTTGTGACCTTCCGCGACTATCTTGTAGATACCTCGGGGACCCACCAAAGGGTCACGACCCACACTTTGAAAAACATTGATTTGTGGCTTGTGTACACGATAATTGTGTTCTATAGAAAATCTATATGTATTTTATTATTTCAACCGTTAAGTGTCCACTGCTGGGGGAAAGGGATTGTAAGCAATGGAGTTTCACAGCCCCATTGTTAGCAATATGCTTTATTAGGTCAACCTCCACGTGGTTCCCCTTGGAAACCATCGTGAACAATTCTTGTTGAATTCGTCACGATGGGCTAACTGACCTGCTTCATCCTCATCTATCATCCTTCACTGGTGCCCCGCCGGTGTATACCGATAGCGCGGGTGGGGTTACCATTCCATTATCACCCATTAAAAAAAGTGTCCACTGCTGGAAATTGGCGGGCGGGTTCGCAGTTAGGCTTTTAGATGTTTTATGTGGGCTGCTGCCCATCCCTCGCCCACCCTTAGTCGCCTCTTACAACACCTACGGGAAAAGAAGGGCTGGGCTATTCTATACCGGGACACACACGGCATAGGATAGGATATGCATAATCTGTAGTTTATTACTGGCCAGTGGTCAGTGGTCAAGTAATGTATGGTCAAATAAACTAATAATTACCCATGGGTAATTACCCATTAACGTGTCCTTATTGCCTTGTGGTCTAGAGATGAGCATTAGCTTCTGGCAAGGAAATTTAATTTAATGTCGAAATAATGCAAGATGTCATAAGCGACATCTACGGGAAAAGAAAGGGAATAGAATATACTGTATCGCCTCATAGAAATTACCTACCTTCGTATGCCTACCTCAGTACAACAGCAGCATGACAAAGCGGCCATATAAAGAGTGTGTTGCAGACATGAAAGTACCTATACTTCATAATTCGTTCGTCAACCCTTAAGAAATGAAATCCTTGACACGCAAGTCGGATTCGCCTATAGGATTCCGTACTATTATATTTCTTGTAATTCCTAAATGTTTTGTTCACTTTCAATCTTTTGGAATTTCGGACAATCAAACTTTGCAGGAATAAAATATATTTGTTGTTGGTGGACATTTGCCATCTACATCATTTATATCTATGTATTAACTAATGTATACATTCCTGTTACTCCATGCGAGTGGACATCTGTAGGCAGCCATTTTTAGTTACACCAAACTCCTAATTAAACCTTCAGAAATATAACTGTGAAAATTGCATCGAATTTGGTGCTGTACTTTTTACGTAATGTTGGAACAAGCATACAAATACAAAGTAAAAAAAATATTGTTTTGGCATTTTATGGTTTTATTATTATTATTATTTTTTATTTTATTTTAAATATCTTCCATGTACAGACATAGTCTAGTAACAATTTTATTTAATATTTTGTAAGATTAAATTTAATTAGATATTATTTTTCTTAGGACCATATCACTGGCAACCTTAAAATACAAATTTGTTCATTTTGTTTAATTCAGCTAACATTAGTACATTATGTGACTGCCGACATTTGAGGTCCTGTCACTTATCCTATTTTTTTTGTTGTTGGATGAAAATGGATTGGTAACCCCGCCTGCGCTAACTGGATACGCTGGCGGAGCACCAGTGAAGGGTGATCGATGAGAATGAAAACAGGCCAGTTAGCCCGTCATGATGAATTCATCATGAAGAATTAATCATGACAGTTTCCAGGGGGGACCGCGTGGTGATCGACCTGGTTAGGTATATTGCTAGCAATGGGATTTTTAGTCTCCATTACTAACAACCCCTTTCCCCCCGACACTTATCCTATTAGTCGTCAATTCCTGACCATTATTATAGTAGCAGAAATAATAATGTTAGCGGAATTAAACAAAATAATATATAGTCAAGTAGCCAGTATATATAATCGTAGGGGTTCCCACATTTTCAGCTCTCAGCTACGGAACCCTGGATAGTGAAAGAAAAAGGTGAAGAAGTGGTCATCGCGTGACCGTAGGGGAGTTCATAACGGGTGGGCACGATAACACCATGGGCGGGCAAGTAGCGGCCTGAAGCTCACTAAATTGAGATCTACTGATTACGGGCATCGACCTTTCAATATTTTTTGTCTGACTAGTTTTTTATGGTATCTAAATTATATTAATATTATAAATGTGAAACTTTATGGGGATGGATGGATGGAATTTGTTACTCTTTTACGCAAAAACTACTAAACGAATTGGGATAAAATTTAGTAAATTAGTACGCAATATTCTAATTTAGTACATAATTATCATCACATCCGCCTTTAACTGTCCACTGCTGAACACAAGCCTCCCCTTGGGAAGTTTTATCAGTTAGGCTTTAGAGATGTTTTAAGAGGGATGTACTGCCCATCCCTTGCCATCTCTTAGTCGGCTTTGACGACGCCCACGGGAAAGGAAGGGGTATTTTTTTTTATGCGTGAAAATAGCATGGTTACCCCGCCTGCTTTATCGGTATACACTAGCGGCGTACCAGTTAGCGGTGATAGGTGAGGATGAAAAGGCAGGTCAGTGAGCCCATTGTGACGAATTCAATGATAAATCGATCACGATAGTTTCCAGGGGGAACCGCGTGGTGGTCGACCTGATAGGGTATATTGATAGCAATGGGGACTAAACTCCTCATTATAAATCCTTTCCCCCCGAAAGGATGGGGTGGCCTATTCCATGTCGGGACCACACGACCAATTTAGCACATAGGATACTTTACAAACTGACTTTACGCGAGCAAATCTGCAGGATACAGCTAGTAGTAATATACTTTTAAAATCTAATTTAATATAACATAATAGACTAAAAGATCTGTCAGGTCTATTAATAATATTTACATTCACCACAAAATCGATGGCAAATTTATTGGAAGACAATATTTTGTTTTCGGGTAGAATCGATCTCGTTTTACACCATACATCGGCCTCGAAACATTGGGGGTACTTGATTATGGTTAAAAATAAACGTTCGACAATGACACTTTCAATTAAAATTACTCAGTTCAAGGCCACAAATAGCCATTTACCTATTTATTAAATATCTTTTCATCTTGACCTTGTATTCTGTATAAAAGGAAGAATTATAATTGCATATTAATAATTTACTTTAATAATAGTGTGTGTGTAACATAAATATGAACATGAAATTATAGTACTTGTATCGTCCCAAACGGCGCTTCAATCAATCGTTTATTCGATTCTTAATCGAATGTTCACACACCTCGCGGATATGAAGCGATTACATTATTTTACCAGAGGGAGACTTTGTGCAAAAGTCGATTGCTTGGGTACCTCTGTTCCATTCGTGTTTCAACCGTGAAGCAGTTGTGTTTGCATGGCTGTGTTTCGGTTTAAAGGGTGGGATATGGCGTGAATTTACAGGGTACAGAGAGCAACGCATGCGGGGTATCATGGGCGAAACAGTATACTCTGTTATGTCCATGGTACTGCTCATGTCTATAGGCGACGGTTACCACTTTCCATCAGGTGGGCCGTCAGCTTGTTTGCCATTCTAAGTAGTATAAAAAAAAGAGTAAAATGTAAAGTGTACTTGCTTACTATGTTTTGCTGGATGACATGATGTCTAGGAGCAGCAAAACTGATGGCTTTCTTAATAGAAAGTGGTAACCGATAATTTAACTTGCCTAAATAATATCAATTTAGAATGGCAAACAAACTGACGGCCCACCTTATGGACAGTGGTAATTATGGCTTCTAGAGGTAAACAGTATGGATATGACAGCCATGTTTTGCTCATGATACCTTGCCATGTGTAGTCTTAAAGAGGAGTAACGTGCTATACCTCTGTACCCTGTAAATTCACTGCCATATCCCACCCTTCAAACCGAAACACAGCCATGCAAACTCAACTGCTTCACGGTTGAAACACGAATGGCACAGAGGTACCCAAGCAAACGACTTTTGTACAAAGTCTCCCTCCCTCCCTGTGGTGTACTATATATATATATATATATATATATATATATATATATATATATATATATATATATATACTATATATATTATATGAGTGACGGGGCACCAGTGAAGGGTGACAGGTGAGGATGAAGGCAGGTCAGTTCGCTCATAGTGATCAATTGAACAAGAATTAACCATCATGGTTTCCAGGGAGAACCGTGTGGAGGTCGACCTGGTGGGGTGTATTAGCAATGGGGCTGTTAAATCTCATTAATAACAATCCCTTTACCCCCGAATACTATATATTAGTACTTTATATATCTGTAGAGTGTAGACACTAGATATAGTAGACATTCTGTAAATGAATGTAGCTAAATTTAACCTAAGGTTACCGGGGAATTGTATGCGACGTTTGACCTTTCTGTCCCCTTTGCCTTCCACTTTATTTCACGAGCTATTACTTCAAATGTAAATAGCATTTCCGGTGGCGAAATCCGTTTCTATTTTAAGGGTTAACACGTTATAAATTAGCATAAAAATAATTAAGTATCCGTTGCAAGTAGAAATTTCCAGAGGGAGACTTTGTACAAAAGTCGTTTGCTTGGGTACCTCTGTCCCATTCGTGTTTCAACTGTGAAGCAGTTGTGTTTGCATGGCTGTGTTTCGATTTTGAAGGGTGGGATATTGCGTGAATTTACTGGGTACAGAGGAATAACACCTGAGTCCTCAGGAATGGCAACGCATGGGGGGTATCATGGGCGAAACAGTATACTCATTTATGTCCATGGTACTGCTCATGTCTATAGGCGACGGTTACGACTTTCCATCAGGTGGGCCGTCAGCTTGTTTGCCATTCTAAGTTGTATAAAAATAAAAAATAAAAAATTCTAAAGTGCATAAGTATGAAAAATATAAGTTTGTGACAGCTCGATCTGATTACGCTACGATCCTGTATCTCTCAGCTGATGAATTGATTACAGCGATGCGAGAGATACGTATTCGAATTCTGAAATATTTTTTTTAATGAATTCATCTGGGGGGAAAGGGATTGTTAGTAATGGAGACTGAGAATCCCATTGCTAGCAACATACCCAGCGCGACTTCCTCACGGTTCTCCCTGGTAACTATCATGGTTAATTCCTGATGAATTCATCATGATGGGCTAACTGGCCTGTTTTCATTCTCATCTATCACCCTTTACTGGTGCTCCGCCAGCGTATTCCGTTAGCGCAGGCGGGGTTACCATAACATTTTCACCCATAAAAAAATACCTTTTATTTCTAAAGAAAATAAAGATAAATAAGTATAACTTACCTGCACGTGTTGATTAAGATTGTTAGGATCCCTATCCTCTAGCGCTTCCTGTATTCCACCTTCCGGTTTTGTTGTGGGCATGTTTGACGGCGATATTCGTTCCGGAGCCCTATACAACGGTTCCGGCACCAGTTCCGGTACCGGAGTGGGTATCAAAACCGGCGGGGCGGACGCCGGTTCCGGTACCTCCGGGAACAGTTTGGCTTTGTATTCGCACGCAACGCACTGTCGGGACGTTGAACGTGATAACTTTGGGACGGCGGCACCGCCGGACCCAAGCGGCACGTCTTCAAATGCCACGGTCGACGGTGTGTACTCTCCTTTACAATTAGATTTCTTAAAAAATGTTATTTATAATTTTTATATTTAGAATTCCGTTAATTGTAGATTATGAATTATTTAAAATTCTATTTTTAAATTTGTCTATAAAATTTAATAAAAACTAATGTTCTTTGTCAATGAAGCTATTGATATATTTTTTTTAATTATATTAACAAATTAATTGTTTTAAAATATTGGCAATATTGCGATATAGTCAGTGAGTTGCTAGTGTCCGAAGTAAGTTTTCGTTACGTGACGTAACGAGCAGCGCGCTGCAATGACTCTGTGAAACTGAATGTTTTCCCTCCAAGTTTCATTAGATTTTCTGCGCATGTCCAAATTTAAAAATGATGTTTATTTCTTTAGCCATATATTTTACTTCTTATGTATAACCATATAAAACTTTGTTCCTAAAAAGAAATATTGTAAGGAATAAGTAAATAGCGTATAATTTTGTCATACTGCGACTGTTGTCACCTTTTATCAGGTCTGTCTTTAATCCCCGGTCGACCGTCGAATGGGCGACCGGAAGATGATTGGGGTTACCCAATCGAGGGCCGACGTCTTTATTCTCTCAGTACCAGTCTTAGGCCGTCATCTTACTTTATGTCCCCTAATTTGTATTCTATCCTGATATTTATATACTCAGGGTGTCCAATATAGCAGCCATCCTGCCATCCATATCTATATTTATTATATAAATATATATATTTATTATATTATAAGCGAAAATATATTAATTATTTAGCAGCTTGTACTTGTCACAATAAGCGCTTAGATAGTAACCAGATAAATCGATAACAAAATATATTAATAGATTGTATGTAAGGCGACGCATTTACGTATTTTGTTAAAAAGTGGACAGGTTGTTGTCCTTGACAGAGTACGGAGTGTGTTCGAAATTCAAATTTTAAAAATATGTCTGTCTAATATTCCAGGTGCTTCATTTTTTATTCCTTCAAGCTATTAAACACTGGAATATACTCCCGCTTGACATAAGATCTACCATAAGCAAGCCAGCTTTTAAACACAAATTGCGCACCTATTTCTTAGAAAAATCACTTTCCCTTTAAGCTTCTCTTTCTTCTGCTGGTTACTATGTTTGAGTCATAGATTACTATTTGCTCTTCTATCGCAGTTGTTTCATTTGATTGTTTTATATTGTTATATTTTATGTATTTATTTATGTATGTATATATTTATTTATTTAATATATTATGTGTATATTTATATTATATAAATTTATAAAGTATTTAGCTTTATTTTTCCTCGATTTAAAAACGTACGTAGTTCTCGGTTTGCCCAATGGTTAACTGGTTGAGAACACCGTCTATGTACATTTGGCGTTAAGTCCGCCAAATGTACATAGAATTTTACTGTGCACTAAAGAATAAATAAATAAATATTTCGGTCAACCATAATGACCACACCTAAGTGGTCTGTTATGTCCATGGCGAATGAATGAATAATATCTCTTTATTGTTTTCGTCAAAGAACGATACAGATTAAAAAGAATAACAATATGTACACAAACATAATAATTACTTACATAAACTTAACTCAGGATATACTGAATTTACAGGGTACAGAGGAATAACACCTGAGTCCTCAGGAGTGGCAACGCATGGGAGGTATCATGGGCGAAACAGTATACTCTGTTATGTCCATGGTACTGCTCATGTCTATAGGCAACGGTTACCACTTTCCATCAGGTGGGCCGTCAGCTTGTTTGCCATTAAAAGTTGCATAAAAAAAAAAATTAAGCACCTTTTATTTATAATAACATGAACTTTCTTTAATACATAAATCGATTGTAGACACACTATTGTAGTAAGACATCTCAACGTGTATACCTGTTTATCGTAGGTTTAACTTTTTTTTTATCAGAGACGGCTTTTGATAAATAGACCAAGAAGTTTTGACGATTCAAAAATTACCAATAATGAAGATATTTATTTATTTATTTAACTCTTTATTGCACCATAAATAAAAATATACAATGACAAGTGAATAATTCAAGTGAAATACAGTAACTTAAATACAGATTGAAATATACAACATAAAGGTACAAAAGGCGGTCTTATCGCTAGGGCAATCTCTTACAGACGACCTTTAGTTAAGGGAGAACAGATAGAAAAGGGCAGGTGGCGCAAGAGTGAATTAATAATTTTCGTGCATAAAATACATAAATATTTACTTTTGCTACTACTATAGTATTTCAATATATTTTTTATTTTTCACCACATATAGGGAAAATATGGATATACAGTAGGTACACTGATTATTGCCAATTTTAGTAAACATTCCTGATATATTTTCAATCAGTCGACTGTAATCCTTCATCATCATCATCATCTCAGCCATTAACTGTCCACTGCTGACCATAGGCTTCTCCAATAGATTGCCATAATGAACGGTCCTGAGTTACCTGCATTCTCTAAGACTTTGCAATGCATTTGAGGTCGTCACTCCATCTAGCGTGAGATCGTTCTATTGCCTCCTACTGCGTTTATCCGTACGGAGTCGCCACTCAAGAACCTTTATATAATCCTTACTTATAGATGTGAATGTGAGTTTGTTTTTTTGTTACCTTATAGAGTCTTAACGGCTTAGTTAACTAATGAAATGAATACTATGAAATATATATATATATATATATATATATATATATATATATATATATATATATATATATATATATATATATATATATATATATATATATATATATATATATATAAACTACTTTTTATCACGGTCCGTAAACATATCCAGGTCATGCGAGCGTAGTCGCGGGTCAAAGCTAGTAAGTGTATAAACCTTTTTATACTAACAATTTATTAATTTTATGGATGCATCAAGTCATAAAACACAAGTGCAATGAGAGACATTTTCTTGCATATTTCTTTTAAATGTTACACTGACATTCTAAAAGGTCCTTTGTGGAAAGGGGAATGAAATGACAACAGTATTGTTTGTAATATAAATGTTTATTATTTTGAATAAACAATGGCTTATATACTAATATTATATACATGCACCGTTTAATTTATATACAATTCTTGGAAGAATATAAAATGTTATGATTAGTATATGTATAGGATGTTGACAGAGTTGTGCGTAATTCCCGCACGCGGATTCGGCCCATGAGTGAATTCTGCCCTTGAGTGAATTCTGCCCATGATACTGCTTCATACAAATATGTAATATAATGTACTGACGCTCTTTTATATAAGATACTTGCATATTTATTTAAACTTTATTGACCAATAAAATGTGGTACAAAAGGCGGATTTAATACTATAGGCATTCTCTACTAGTCAACCTTTAGGATGAGCAGAGATACTCAATGGCGGTTTAAAAAAATATATTTTAGTACAAGATCATAAATATTGGATTTCATATACTAAAGCATAAAAATATGGAATTTCTAGAAGCGAGATACATGACGCGTTTAAGTGTTCCGCGAAAATATCGCTTGCTGGCGGGGCAAACTCGCGTGCAGGGGCAAAATACACTTTTCACTCTGAGAGCACCTTACAATAATACTGGTTTTGATGCTTCATATTTTTTATACTATATAGACCTTCGTATTTGTAGATTTAATGGAATATCAAATGTCTACAATTCAACTTTAGGATTATTTTTGTAAAATATTCCAGTTGCATACAAAGCGAAAACTATTATTTTTTTTATGCAACTTAGAATGGCATACAAGCCTACCTGAAACCACTTCAGCCGTAAATATTATACAGTACTTTTTATTTTTAAATTTACATTCATTTTTAACCTTATCTATGTATATGTATAACGGCAAATTTTCTGAACTTACTATGTTAGTCGTCTCCAACATTTTTTTTTTTTATTTTATTAATATTTATATATTGTACTATTTGAAAAGAAATGAGTTAATTTTGAATGTATATATACACATTTAACAAATATAGTAAATAGATTCTTTTATAAATAGCACCAAAACCAGTACAATCTTGTATATTTACTATGTAAATAAATATATATTATTTTTTACATTGAGCATGGAATGACCTATATTGATACTTAAACTCATCATTCTCAGTCATTTATGTGGATAATGCAAGAGTATTTGTTAATATTTAAATTTATATGTTTGCATTATTAAATAGTTTCACTTTAGTTGTTACGTACAGCAACATATTAAAAATTTCACATTGATTAATATATATAAAAAATATATATAAAAAAAAATATGTAAATTTAATATTTTATATGAAAGTTTATATAACACAATATTGTGAATTATATGAAATTTAGAAATAGTAATTATAAATAAAAAATCTTTATTTTATTTTCTAGACATTTCAATTAATGAAGATAGAAATAACAACACGTGGCGTGGCCTTTGCTGTTAACCCTGCTGCGGCGCACCTCGGTCACACCTATCCGAACGGGGGGCAGATCGGACGGGGGGCGAGTTTACCCGCTTTGATATGATTGATTGACGAGGGAAAGGTTATAGCGCTCATAAAAGGGACGGTAAATATCAATTCATTAAAACAAAAACATCATTCCACTATTCAGAAGTGCGTAATATATACCCGTTACTTGCTTTATTGTGTACATGGTTGAGAGTATTAAGATATGATTAAAATTACGTGCTTAGTTATAGAATACAAAAAAATAATAATAGACTTACGGTATAATACATTTTATATTATTTTAAAACAGATTTTAATGATATTAATTTTCATTATTTTTTGTTAATAACTTTTTAAATATTGATAAAAAAAAAAAACTGTTAAATTCTATTAACGAATATTATATTTTAATGGAAGTTCTGAATACATTCATTTCAAATATTATTTAGAATTAAGTCACCCATGTAAAATCATATTATTAGCACCTGTTTTTACCAATCTTTAGTTTCTAAAGTCTACATTAAAGCTTCAGTATTCATATACAATGGAAGACAATAGATATAGCATTATTAGTGTTTATTAATTAAATTCTAAATTCAACTTTAATTTTTATTATATATTTTACCTATCTAACATCCTAAAATACGTACAATTTTATACAAGAAATATTAAAGCACTTTTCGGAGTAATATCGCAATAAATGAAATTAAAATGTACAGTATTCATATCTGCGCTACAGACGCGATATTTTTTTTAAATTCATAACAGATTGCCGAAAAGTTACGTACAAAAGTAATTATGTTTTAAAAGGTAAGACTTGGTACTTACTCCAGAATTAGGGTCATTCGAATGACCCACAAAAAAGTTCTCACGTGACACATTACGTTCATTGATTCCATCTTTTGTTAATTCCTGCACTCGTATTGAAATATTCAAATAACGAATATTTCTAATACGTCAATGTTGGAATTAATCTGATCAACTATCTGAGCATCTTTAGAACCATGCTAATTTCCAAATTTATAAATTAAAACATACAATAATAATGATATATTACGATAATATTTTTAACACATAAATAAGAGGTCTACAAATTCTTTCGATATAAAATTAATTTCCAGTCAGAGCTACGTATTTTTAGTAATATATTGACAGAACACGTCCGCACCGTTTAGCGGTCCACTAGTGAGTGACGACTGTTCGGCGCGGTCCAGAGGGCCGGAGGGTGGGGACAATAGCGGGCTCTTCCGGTTCCTCTTTTGTAGACTCCCTGCAGATATTATGGGCATACGCAGGGTTAATAAACAGAAACAATTAAATAACAATATATTTTGTTATACAATTTGCATTGTGTGCTAATTAAACACCAAAAACAGGTTATAATCGGTTTTAAATTTACAGTGATTAATTATTTATTAATTAAATTGATTACAATATATAGGAATAATTAATACAAACATGGTATAATGCATGCATTTTAAGTTACACTACTATATACTTAATTATTTAAAAAAAGCTTGCATACATTTTGCACCAACATGCAAAGCTTGTCTGTTCGGCCATCTTATTTTGACCATTTTGATTGGCAATTATAAAACAAATAAATAAAATCTTAGTGGTAACTATAACCAAAAACTATGGCGGTAACATACAAATGTACTAATAAAAGCATTAAAAGTACAATATTTCTTTTGGGATAACGGAAATTAAACAATAAAATATAGGGATAAGGTGTACAAAAGAGATTATTTAATAATTAGGATTAAATTTAACAATAACCGCTTGTTATGTTGGCATGAAAGTTTAACAATACAATTCATCGCTGTCGTTTCCAAAAATTGTAGAATTAATATTTATAAAATTATAGGATTTACTTTATATTTTTTATTTAGTCATTGATGGAATTTAAACCTGAAAAAGAAACCTAATTTACATTATCTTTTTCCTTTATAATTCTGATTTACTGAATCAGTTAAAGAATCAGAACAGCCATTATATTCGTATTTATGAAATGAAAAAAATATTCAATACAATTTGTAAGTTGTATTAAATGCATAACAAAAAAAAAATGTTTATTCATAATATTATTAAGATGTCTCAGTTAAAAAATGATATTGATACATATCATAAAGGACTTAGTTACTCTATTGTGTAAAATTTCCAGTTTGAATAAACTGGGTGCATAGATTTCACAGAATCATTTTTTGTATTAAGTGACATGCCTAAAACTTAATACCAACACATAAATACTACTTTGGCGGGAATTGTCTGTGACAGTGACAAATTTCAGCATTGAAGTCATAGATTAAGGAGAATGACAGATACTATATCTGTCATTCTCTTTCTACGATTTCGGCGATGAATTGTATACAGCAAAATTAAAAAAAAATTGGAATGCTTTTTAAATTGTTGTCATGCGGTCATTGTTATTCATTGGAATATGTACAAATCTAATAAGCATTATCCAAGCACTCACCGTATTGGGTAGGCGTAAGGCGGTTAAAGGTTAGATAGCTCTACGACCGGTAATCACCACCTTTGGAGAGACACGTTATGTTTAATTGTTAGCCAATTTGGAACTAATTTGGAAATTTCAATGAAGCGAACATGCTTTGAAGGCTTAATAATTCTTTTACACGCACTTGTAATCTACACTTATTAATCTAAAGTTATGTCTAATGGTTTTACAATAGCTCTTTAGGAGTATTTGTAGCTATTTTAGACTGTATAAATAAAAGTCTGGTCGCTAAAGTTGTATAGTATAATTGTTATCCTATGCAACCCAATGTTCCAACTAAAATAGGTCAGTACATATGTAAAATCAGAATTATTCGCGTTCTTTTAAAAATGTGTTTTAAACGCCAAAAGGAACATTTTTTCCAAAGCACTATTAGTCGAAGAACTACTATTTTTTTAATCTTCCACACTAAATTGATGGCTGGATGCGCTATGTCGGGAGATTAAAATTGTTTTGTTTCCTGTTAACCCATGTTTCTAACTTCCTAAGAAAAAACAAAATATCATTTCCCCCTTTTGCGTTTATATATCCCTTACAGACATACATTTGGAGGGTTTATATTTAAAATAACTCTACTACTACATATAAATGAATAAGTAATATTATACAATTTCTCAACTGACAAAATCTATTTAAATTCATGTTTGTGAAAATAGTTCACAAAAGTATTTGATCGAGAGATACAATTTCGACACTGCATGCATGAAAAGGAACGAGACGACTACATTTTGTATCTTCTTTTTTATAATGCGAGCGCTAACGAAAACGTATCTACTGATAGATTCCTTTATCACTTTTTTAGTTAATTTGTCTGTTAATTTAAACGCAAATAAAATCGTACCTGATCTTGATAGGTTGTCGCAGCGAGAGCTCCGAGCCTGAGGTAGAAGGCGTCCTGGCCGCGGTCACCAGCCTGGGGGGGCGCGGGGTCCGCGGAGAGCGTCCCCTTGCGAACTCCAGCCGGTAGTTGTCGGAGCGAGGGCTACCACTGAATGCCTCCACTTCCGCAGCGGCTATGAAAGTGAAAGAATTTTATAGTTGAGAAGGAAAAAGAAAGCTCATATAGTAATTAAGAAGACTTGCTAAAGGAAGATTTTAGGCAAAATCTTCTGCTTCTATTATTACGTACTTGAAAAATTTCTTAAGAATGCTCTCAGCAATAAGACCGCCTTACTGTACTTATACAATTGTATCGTTGTATTTGTTAATTGTCTTGCTTATTTCCTATATTGTATAATGCAAATAAAGTATACTTATTCATTCATTCATGTACTTGAAAAGTGTAAGGCACTAAAAATTACTAGCACGTACTAAGACAAAAAAAATTATGCCTTTAGATAAGGCAAAATGTGTAGCATTATTATTGTTTAAGACTATTTGTACGGGGGGAAAGGGATTATTAGTAATAGGGTTTTGCAGCCTCGTTGTTAGCAATATACCCTATCAGGTCGACCTCCACGTAGTTCCCTCTGGAAACCTGGAAACCTGGTCACGATGGGGTAACTGACCTGTTTGATCCTCACCTATCATTCTTCACTGGTGCCCCGGCAGTGTATACCGATAGCGCAGGCGTGGTTACTATTCCATTATCATCCATTTCTTTTAAAATAAATTCCTATAGTTACCATAAAGTATTACGTTCCATTCATATTTAGTACACGTTTCATGAATAAGCGTTGTATTATTATAAACACCATATAATGGTGTGTAGCGGAAGCGGTTATGTTAGCACGTAGCTATCACCATAGACACCATAAATCGTGGGCAAGGCGTCCTTGGTATTAAAAATATACATATAAACATAACTTAAGGCATATAGTGAAGTTAAGCCATGTTTGTATTACCAATAAGTTTTTTTTAATAGGTGATAATGGTATGGTAACCTCGCTTGCGCTATCGGTATACAATGGCGGGGCACCAGTGATAGATGACTGATGAGGATGACAGCAGGTCAGTTAGCCCATCCGGACAAATTCAACTAGAATTAAACACAATGGTTTCTAGGCGGAACCACGTGGAGGTCGACCTAATAGGGTATATTGCTAGTAATAGGGTTATTCGACCCCATTGCTAACAATCCCTTTACGCCATTACCAATAAGTTGTGATATGTCAGTTTTTTTTTCACACATCTTAGAATGGTAAACAAGCTGACGGTCCACCTGATGGAAAGTGGTAACCGTCGCCTATAGACATGAGCGGTACCATGGACATAACAGAGTATACTGTTTCGCCCATGATACCCCCCGTGCGTTGATATCCTTGAGGACTCAGATGTTATTCCTCTGTATCCTGTAAATTCACTGCCATATCCCACCCTTCAAACCGAAACACAGCCATGCAAACACAACTAACTGCTTTACGGTTGAAACACGAATAGGACAGAGGTACCCAAGCAATCGACTTTTGTACAAAGTCTGGTAAATGTTTATGTTATTTGTTAAACTAATTACATATAGTTAGCTTATTTAATTTAAGGTTAATTAGGAACAGTTTTTATGGCGGCATACGAGTATGAGGGCAAACAAATGGAGTCGAGCGCGCGTGCCCTACATGACAACGCAACTGATACGGCTCGCTAGTCGCATATTAACTTCATTAAAATTTAGTGAAAGTAATTTAACATTATATTAATATTAAACACGGACAATTATTCATTGAATAATGGATGTATCCAGTAACTAATACGTTATAAAGCCTATTGACTATTGAATAAAAAAACTTACTTAGTATTCTTTATGCAAATTTTAATGTCAAAGTAGGTTTTTTTTTATACAACTTTGAATGGCAAACAAGCTGACGGCCCACCTGATGGAAAGTGGTAATCGTCGCCTATAGACATGAGCAGTATCATGGACATAAGAGAGTATACTGTTTCACCCATGATACCCCGCATGCGTTGCCCTCTGTACCCTGTAAATTCACGCCATATCCCACCCTTCAAACCGAAACACAGCCATGCAAACACAACTGCTTTACGGTTGAAACACGAATAGGACAGAGGTACCCAAGCAATCGACTTTTGTACAATGTCTCCCTCTGGTAATAATCTGGTGGTATTCTAACTTAGTGCAGACATAGTCTCCCTCTGGTTTATTATATTTTAAAATAATTTTGTATCCATGTTCAGATAAATAAATTAATTCAATTGGATATCAGCAGACTGTCTTGTGGTCTATCTTCTGGTGGGGTCAACTATTAGTTTATTTATATTTTCATTAAACTCTCATAAAAAAAATGTTAAATGGTGTAAAAGCTGTAGACTGACCGTTGTAAACGACGTGCGTGGACATGGGCATGCGTGCGCAGGCGGGTGGGTGCGCGTGCGCAGGCGCGGAGCCGGCCAGCGCGGGCGTCGCCGCCCAGTCGCGGTACACGCGCGCCGACCCGCTGCCGTCCCGCCACTCGGATAGCTCCACGCACCGGATCTGGACGCAGGCATGACAGTTTAGTTTTTTTTTTTATAAATCAATCAAAGCCTATGCTGGACAAAGGACTCCCTCAATTGGTTCCATCTCGTACGAATAAAGACTGATATAGCTGATTAAGCTGTATCAGTTTTTGTAGAATTAGTTGAAACCATCTCCCATTGCACATGAAGTCTTCCGCCGTTATTTCATTTGTTTAAATCCAATCTTACAAGCTTAAATGGAACTTGTTTCTTCTAAGCGACTTTGTTAAAATTTTGCATAAGCGTAATAAAAAATAAATAAACATTACATGTAATGCTATTACAATACTGCTAAAATAAAATATCATTGAAAATGATTAAAAAAAATGGCTATCAGTTAATTATTATATACTTACTATACGTCTTTCATTTACATTTTAATTTATTCAACTATTGTCTTAAAATATACGTATTTCTCACCATTTTTAGGTCAATATTTAATCAGCTATTCACCTAAAAATGGCAAGTGGCGTGCATCATGCAACTCGGAAGGCAATAGAAAAAAAAAATAGATGCTATCAAACGTTTCGTGGCTGACTCTTTTGTTACCAAATCTGTACTACTTTTGCATCCATATTTAAAATATGCACATTTTAATAGAGTCTTAGAAAGTATGCCTATTTACTTGCACGCTAATTTACTTAAAGAGTATTCACGAGACTGTATACAAACAAGAGATCAAAAAACACCCAGCATAGATAAATCTATGATGTGTTTATACAATATAAGCAGATCGTATGACTGCCTATTTTTATTTTTAAAATAACACATTCTACATGAAAAGGTTTTGCTGGAAGAAATCTCTTATTACAGATATGCTCGCCTTTGTACATTATGTTTATAATGAATTGTGATTAACATTATGTTTTGTGTACAATAAAGAATAATGAATAAATTTTTTGTGGCGCAAATTAAGGAGCGATAGCTATTTAGAAATTTTTTCTCTTTTGGTATGTGTTATAAATGAAATCATTTTAGCCGTTAACTGTCCAATGTTGAACATAAGTCTTTCCCATAAAGAGAGTTTTGCAAATAGTTGCTAAGCTTGGCAATCGGGTTGGCAACCACAGTAGAACTTTTAGAGATGTTTTAAGAGGGACGCTACTGCCCATCCCTCGCCCTCCCTTAGTCATCTCTTATGACACGCACGGGAAAAGAAGGGGTGGCCTTTTCTATTTTTGGAAATCATACGGCCAAATAAAATAGAACCATAAAGATAGTGACTTTGGTTTTCTTTTTCTATGAACAAAACTATAAATATATATAATAATATCAAGATTTAATAGTTATTTAAAAATAAATTATATGTTGACTTAGGTTTTGTACCCTTTATCTATATATATATATATATATATATATATATATATATATATATATATATATATATATATATATATATATACATATTTCGTTTTCAATAAGTCACCTGGAATGACTCAAGAATTAAGGGACATATTTCTGTCACTGGGTACGTCATTTACTCATCTATTTTTATAGGTAACTAAATAGTTTCATGCATTGCTTTCGAAGATTCTTAACTTGCCTTTAACTCTCTGATACTAGCTTTTTTTACCTTCTCTTTTAAGTAATAAGTAATTTTTTTATGCATCTCAGAATGGCAAACAAGCTGACGGCCCACCTGATGGAAAGTAGGAACCGTCGCCTATAGACATGAGCAGTACCATGGATATAACAGAGTATACTGTTTCGCCCATGAAATCTCCCATGCTTTGCCATTTCTGAGATCTCAGCTGTTATTCCTTTGTAGCCTGTAAATTCACTACCATATCTCACCCTTCAAACCGAAACACAACCATGCAAACACAACTGCTTCACGGTTGAAACACGAATGGGGCAGAGGTGTCCAAGTTGTTTGTTTTGTTCTTTAATTTCTTTTGTTATTTAATAATCTAATTCCCTTTTTATGCGCTAGAATTAACTTTCCTTTCTTCTTTTATTATATATAATGACAGACAATTTATTTAGCATTAGTAATTTAAATGAATAATAAATCTAAAATATGTAAAGTGACAGTCATGTACGCTGATGAATTACATAGGAATCACTCGTAAATTCTTAATTCATTCCAATTATCTAATTTTAATTTCTTAAACTTTCTATTGTAGGTAACGTGAAAGAAATAAGGAGATACAATAATGGGCATGGTTTTTTTATACCACTAAGGTGGCAAACAAGCATACGGCGCACCTGATGGTAAGTGGTTACAGTAGCCTATGAACACCTGCAATACCAGAGGTATTACGCGTGCGTTGCCGACCCTGAAGAAACCTCTTTACCCCTCTTTTGAAGAACCCCATGCTGTAGTCTCTTGGGAAAACCTCGGCAGGGAGCTCATTCCACAACCTGAGTGTTCGTGGGAGGAAACATCTCTGAAAACGCGCAGTACGCGACCATTGAGGCTGTAGGATATGAGGATGAACTCCCTGTCGATGGCGAGCCGTACGATGGTAGAAAGTGGCTGTGGGCATCATATTGAACAATTCCTCTGAGCACAATCCAATGTACAGGCGGTAGAACACGCAGAGTGAGGCAAAATCTCTCCTAAGACTTCGATACCGCTTGTGACTAGTATAAAGTTCTTAGTAGCTGAAGGAGTGGTCATGTCGAAAGATACGGTAGTAATACACTTACAGGTGTGGTGCTTTTGCTACGTCCGCTGATCTCCGAGGACGCGTTGCTGTGCCGCTGCCTGCCGTCCCGGTTTCGTTCTGGAGCGGTAGACTCCCTGCAGGAACCGTCTGGCTCGTCGCGTGCCTGGGAAATTGTTTTATTGTATAACAATACGAGAATAGTAACAAGATGGTTAATTAGATTTGAGTTTTTTTAATTAAATACAATTATATTATCATATAGAATTACATTCATTCATGTTCCGTGTGGTTCCGTCATAGAATAAACCACCCCTTTCTTGAATAAACGACTATCAAAACGTCTTTTATATTTAGACAGGAAAAACTATAAAATAATTATAGGGACGATAACGGACCATTGTCCATTTAACAAACATTTATACACAATAGGAGCCACAGACAGCCTTCTATGTCGAGGCTGTTTTCACGCCAAACAAACGGCTGCTCACGTAATCCTGGAATGTGAGGCTGTAGCCCCTCAACATTTAGAAATTCTAGCAACAGTGAGGTCGCTCCGTGAGGCCTGTGAAGATTCCAGGAAGCTTCTGTGCTTCTGGGCGGAGCTGGGCTGGCTGTAACGTCGTTCTTTTATTCTTGCTTGACAATTATTATTATTATTTATTTAAATGTATTTAAAATTAGAATGTGATGACGATCAATTGTATAAAATTGACTTGATGTATAATTTTGGACTGTCTGTGTAACTATATATGTTTGTATGCCGTACAGGCTAAACATGTCGAACGATATTGTATTGTCAACATCTGCATGTATTTATACGCATGTTTTACAAATAAATAATCTTGAATCTTGAACAACAGCCCAAATGAGAGGCTAAGCGCGGGAAAAACAGTACAATTTATATTACATTACCCCTTTCTTTTCCGTACGTGTCATAAGAGGCAACTAAGGGAGGGCGAGGAATGGGCAGTAACGTCCCTCGAGAAGCGTATATGCTTACATGACTGTGTTTAAGTACGAAGCATGATTTATAGGAATGAAATAACAAGGTAAAGAAACATAACACCCATACCTGCTTACATAAGGGTCTACGAGAAACACTATTAGGGATGGTAAAATAATAGAGCAATATATATATATTGCAGTTATAATATCTATATATTAGATATATCAAAAACAAGTAATTCAATATATAATATCGAAATGAGGCACTCGGTCTAAATTAACATAGATATTCGACTGATATGGCTAATGTCGAAATGAATGATGACCCTTTTTCCACCATCAGTATCTAATCAATGTGTTAAAATACACAAACTACCACTGTACCATAGTCCTCAGGAATGATAACGCATGGGGGAAATCATGAGCACTACACAGCATTCCATAATAGTCTTTGTACTGTTCACGACTATTGGCGACAGTTGCCTATTTCGATCAAGTGCGTAGACAGATTGTTTGCCATTCTAAGTATCATAAAATCACAAAGGTCGGCATAGCACTTAATTTAATTGCAACCGTAAAAATTATGGCATGATAATAAGTCTTATTCTTAAGGATACAGTGACTATTTCACCTTTTTCACACTTTGGACTTAATTTCACATTTTGGACCTTCAGCCCAATAGGCTAATGTGTCCATTAGAAATTCAAATCGTTTATGCGAGTAAGCAATGATCGTGGATAACAAACTATCACGTAGATAAACTTCTATATCTGCCACTGTTTTGATTATCTCGTGGCGATTTACAATCGTGACTCGTCTGCCAACACCGAGATCCGTGTACGTTCTCTGAATTTCTGTCATGCTAATGATGTGAATACGGCTGGCCCTTATTTAAATTAGGTTTATGTAGAATTAAATGGATATCCACATCCTGTCTAGTGAGCAGTGAGAAAAATATTTTTAATCCTTGATGACATTGGGGGGAAAGGGATTGTTAGTAACGGAGACTGAGAATCCCATTGCTAGCAAGATACCTAGCCATGTTGACTTCCACGCGGTTCCCCCACTGGAAACTATCATGGTTAATTCCTGATGAATTCATCATGATGGACTAACTGGCCTGTTTTCATTTTCATCTATCACCCTTCACTAGTGCTTCGCCAGCGTATACCGTTAGCGTAGGCGGGGTTTCCATTCCATTTTTATCTATCAAAAAAAAGTTCCCTGATGACTTTTTATATATTTTTAATTAACTATGAAATAGTTTCGTATCACGACATAGGAACAAACACAGCGACGACATGGTCCATGACTACGGCCGACTGAAAAGAGAATGTTCCAGTCTCAACGAGTTTTTTAGATTTGAAAATTCTGTGCTTTAACACTCTAGACTTAAGTATGTTGTTAAAACCTTCAACGAAATCTAACACATTAAAGTACATGATAAGTTATCAGTAATTTAGAAGTAATTAGGACATCAACATACTACCCTTTAACTGTCCACTGTTGAACATAAGCCTTCCCGTAAGGATTTTTGTCAGGGCCACGCTTGACAGGCGGATTGGCAGCTGCAGTTAGGCTTTGCAGATGTTTTAATAAGGACGCTTCTGCTCATCTCTCGCCCTTTCTTAGTCGCCTCTTACGACATCTACGGGAAAGGAACGGGTGGCCTATTCTATGCCGGGATTACACGGCCATTTTTATTGCGTTAAGTAATTCCCGCTTCCCGTCTTTTAAATTCATTCAACCGAGAATCGAACCCGAGTCACCCTTTATTTTTATTTATTTTTACTTTATTGTAAACACTGACAGTACATAAAAATATGACAGAAGTAAATGTACAAATGCGAGCTTAACTGTAAAAGAGCTCTCTTCCAGCAACACCCAAATGGAAGAACTGTTTAAGAACTCTTTAAGAACATATGACGAAAAAGGTTGAATAAAAAGGACTCGTACCTTGACGTGGTTGGTAGTGGTGGGCATGCTGGCCGCTCCGCTGCTTACCAGCCGTAGTTGCTGTCTAATATTAGCCTTCTCTCTCGCTCGTTTACGCTGGAATTCCTCTTCCACCCTGCAGAAATGTTTCAATAAATATGAATAAAAAGACAATGCGATATTACGTCTTTATTTACCGAATATTGTCGGAAGTAACTAGAGGAACGTTACTAATCCCCATTAGTAGCAATGCACTCGGTCAGGTCGACCTCCTCGTGGTTTTCCCTAGAAATTATCGTGCTTAGTTCAAAGTGAATTTATCACGATGGACTGACTGACCTGCCTTTTTATCCTTACTTATTATCTCTTACTGGTGCCCCGCTAGCGTTTACCGTTAGCGCAGGTTACTGTTACATTATGATCCATTAAAAAAACTAGGGGAACGAAACATAAAATATCAGTAAGACAGTAAGAAACTCTATTTTTTTTTATAACACAGGGGGAAAATGAGCATGCGGCTCACCTGATGGTAAGTGACTACCGTCGCCCATGATCATCCGCAACATCAGAGGCATTGCAGGTGTGCTGATACTTTGGGCTGCTATTTGTTCAGGTCAATAAACATATCCTGGCAACGCGGACGAAGTCGCGAGTAAACGCTACATTTTTATTCATTAGGTAGTTTTTTTATACTACTATGGTGACTAAGAAACATACGGCTCGCCTGATGGTAAACGGGGTTAAGGTAGCCTGTGGGTGCCTGTAACATAAGGGATATCACACGCGCGTTGCCAACCCTTAAGAAACTTTAATACGCCCTTTTTGAAGAACCCTATGCTGCAGTCTCTAGGGAAAGCCCCCTAGCCTATAGCCTGTAAAGAGAATAACAAATCAATGTCCTTACTCACCGCCTCATAGCTTCCAGTTCTGTCCTTCTCTGCTGTTCCTTGAAGTCTGCCTCTCTCGAGAGCTTCTCCGCCAAGCGCCGCCTCTCCAACTGCCTGACCGTCGACTGGAACGTAAACCTTTTGCCTCGGCTTTGTCCGTTGTTGTTGCGCTGAAACAATATATTTTTTTTATATTCATGTCTCATAAAAATATAAGTGACTACTTATATATATATGATAATTAATAATTTTTATATATATTTATATATTTTTTTTATACAACTTAGAATGGCAAACAAGCTGACGGCCCACCTGAAGTGGTAACCGTCGCCTAAAAACATGAGTAGACCATGGACACAACAGAGTATACTGTTTCGCCCATGATACCCCGCATGCGTTGCCATTCCGGAGGAGTCAGGTGTTATTCCTCTGTATCCTGTAAATTCACGAAATTATAATATATTTATATATATTATATTAATATATATAATATTAATTATTAATAATTTAGGAATGTTTTTAAATAATTAAGTGCTTAATTATTTTATTGTCTTATGGTATGGTTCGGGCATAGAATGGGCCTTTCGTTTCTTTTCCGTGCATATTATTTGAGGCGATTAAGGGGACCTAATGGTGGAAAGATGAGCAGCAGCGTTTCCCTTTAAACGCCAACAAAGCGGTTGTCAACCCGCCTGCCAAACGTGGCAACTACTAGCAAAACCCATGAAGGTGAGGCCTATGTTCAATAGTGGACATTTAATAGCTGATATGATGATGAAATAATCAATTATTTTATTAGTTAATAATTATTATAATTATTACTGAATTAAATATATTCAAGTGCTCTTTCGTATATTAAGTTTTCACCGACTATGTCTGCACTAAGTTAGAATACCACCAGATTATTACCAGAGGGAGACATTGTACAAAAGTAGATTGCTTGGGTACTTCTGTCCTATTCGTGTTTCAACCGTAAAGCAGTTGTGTTTGCATGGCTGTGTTTCGGTTTGAAGGGTGGGATATGGCGTGAATTTACAGGGTACGGTGGAATAACATCTGAGTCCTCAGGAATGTCAACGCATGGGGGGTATCATGGGCGAAACAGTATACTCTGTTATGTCCATGGTACTGCTCATGTCTATAGGCGACGGTTACCACTTTCCATCAGGTGGACCGTCAGCTTGTTTGCCATTCTAAGTAGTATAAAAAAAAAAATATTTGACCGCAATTTTATATGAAAAGAAATTCTTTATGTACTCTGTCGATATACACGTCAAAGAAAATATTAAAATCATATTTGGGAACGGAGGAAGGCGTTAAGTGCACAATGACTATCATTCTATGACTGCTGATTATGCGGCGAGGAAAGTAAAAGCCAATGGTTAGCTTTTCTTTTGTTGGTAACCACACGTTTTTAAATTAATGTCTGGAAACTAGTCGTCGGATTTGGAGCGTGCGAACCGAGATAGTGCATCGATTGCGGCTAGAGAACGCGTACATGAGTCATGGCTTTGAATTTGGGAAGTCAATGTAGGTCGTATAGTATTGGATGGCGAGATAATTTTGGGCATCGAGGTGTTTAAAAGGAGATATATCGTTTTAAATTTATGTATATATATCGTTATGTATGAGTGGGCGCTAAAGCGACACATTCAGTGCTGCGTCATTTCTCCCTCACTGTGACAAAATCTGCAAAAACTTTTTGGGTATAAGCCTAGTTGGGTCATATGCTTGTTTAGTTTGCAGTGTCCAGTGAGAGCCCTTGTTAATACACGCATATTATTTGTACATCCTACTACATAATATTAATGTAAAACTTTGTAAAAATGTTTGTTTGTAACACTTTATTGTACAGTAAAGTCTTAAATTATAGGATACAGCAATTCTTAAGAAAAGAATGAGTACAATGGCAGACTTATGCCATAAAAGGGATTTCTTTCAGACAACCTTTGAATGTCTGATGGAAATTGTGAATTGATGGAGACAAAAATAATAGGTGTTACAGTTATAACATGAGCACCACATTTATACTTTACAACACATCTAAATGATATTGACCCAACCATCCATTAAACAAGAAGATTCAACAGAGAAGAACTAGTAAAAACTCGACTATTTTTGCTCATTTTTTTTTCTCTGTTGACAACGAGTTAATCTACCAAATTGAAGTGCTTAGCCAAACGAAAGTCATGTTTGTGTTTTAAAATTCATCATCATTTTTAAAAAGATTAGGGTTTTTTCAAATTTTCGTTAAGGCAACTGGATGTTATTCAATTATTAGCAAATTAATTAAAAAAGATATCTAACTAAATGAGGCTTCTAATTTTTCGGCATTTATAGTTCTTTTCTTTCTGTCATTGAAATATGATTTTGATATTTTAATGATATGTCTAAATAAAGCTGTTTAGACATATTTATTGACAGATAAATCTAAGTAATTTCAAAATTCCCACAGTAGTCATTATAAATTGTATATATTACAATTAATTTTATTACGCTACAAATTCTCAATATTTTAGACTGTGCCTTTCTATTAACAATGATAATGCAGTCATCAACTGTCCACTGCTGAACATAGGTCTCCTCCTTGGGCAGTTTTACCGGTAGTTGCCACATTTGGCAGGCAGATTAGCAACTGAAGTTAGACTTCGGTGATGTTTTAAGAGGGACGCTGCTGCCAATCTCTCAACCATTAAGTTCCTTTAATCGTTTTTTAAGATACCCATGGGAAAGGAAGGGGTGGCCTATTCTGTGCCGGGACCACACGGCCATACCTTTCCATTATTAAATTAATATTTTTTTTTTTTTAATTTTTGGACGCTTTCTTTTACACAAATACATTTATTTTCTGTACAATACACCTATGGTTTTTTTTAGTAATCGTATGTCACAGATAAAATGGTGGCTTTTTTTTATACCACTGAGATGGCAAACAATCATACGGCCCACCTGATGGTAAGCGGTTACCGTAGCCTATGAACGCCTGCAATACCAGAAGTATTACGCGCGCGTTGCCGACCCTAAAGAAACCTCTTTACCCCCCTTTTGAAGAACCCCATGCTGTAGTCTCTTGGGAAAACCTCGGCAGGGAGCTCATTCCATGACCTGCGTGTTCGTAGGAGAAAACATCTCTGAAACCGCGTTGTACGCGACCATTTAGGCTGCAAGGTGTGAGGGTGAACTCCCTGTCGATGGCGAGCCGTACGATGATAGAAAGTGGCCGTGGCTAAGTACATAGTATCTACAGATATGTAATAATATAACCTAGTACTCATATAGTATCATGAATTAACAAAGCAAGTTTTTTTTTATGAAGAGGAAACAGTCATCATAGATAACTGGTTTAATTCATAGCGATGTGTTATATTCATTAATTGAAGCGATAATATCTAATGCATCCTTTGTGTATTGTGCAATTCGACCTTTGTTTTCATATTATTATGTTAAAATGGTAGATCATTGCACTATTATGAGAATTTCAAACGTTTTTTTACGTAATATATTTTTAGTTGTAACTTTTTAAAAACAATTTTGTTATAATCTTATAACAAAATATAAATAACAATTGTAAATGCATTAGTTTGTTGAATATAGTTTATTTAGTTGACAGTATATTTTATAAATAAATTAAATAAATTAAATAAATAAATAAATAATCATTATTTCACTCTTTGTTAAAATAATAGTTTGAAGTCCCTAACTCCCGGGGTAGGTATGAAAAAACCTGTGTTTCAGGAGTTGGTGCCCTCTTCCATATGTTGTTGTTAAACATTTTTAGTGAAACAATATGAAACAGAGAAGTAACAAAAACAAAAATTACAATGTAGCCCATAATTTTAGAGAAACAATAATTTATGGGTTCAGTGAAATTGTGATAAAAATGTATGAATGTGTGTGTGTGTGTGTGAATGTGTGTGTATAAAGCTTTAATAATTCATAGTAAATTACATAAACATATACGAGACTTGACTGAAACAAGTGGTTTTTAAAAAGAACCTTCATAATATGTTAATAAATGTTATTATAGTTTAAATTAATATATTAACAATAAACATAAATAATCATTGTTATTCAAAAATATAGTCTCATTCTAATATATTTTGCTTCACTATATAATTTTCTAAATTTGTGTCGAATCTATTGTTAAATGATGCATGTAGCTGTTTTATAATTGTTTTATATGTACGTATATATAGCAGGATATGGAGATACTATTTATAATTATTTTTTTATACAACTTAGAATGGCAAACAAGTTGATGGTCCACTGATGGAAAGTGGTAACAGTCGCCTATAGACATGAGCGGTACCGTTACATACTGTTTCGCCCATGATACCCCCCATGCATTGCCATTCCTGAGGACTCGGGTGTTATTCTTCTGTACCCAGTAAATTCACGCCATATCCCACTCTTCAAACTGAAATACAGCTACTTCACGGTTGAAACACGAATAGGACATATAATTGACACAATATATTTAATTGACTTTAACCTAACATATAATCCGCAATAAAGACATTTGTGTTTTACATTTAATTTCTAAGAGATTGTACCTGTTTTGTTTTTACTTTATTTAACTAGATACTAGGTACATGCGATCCCAATCATCTGGACGAGTGGCAGTCTTCCACCGTGCGTTTTTCAAGGCACTTTCTTCCACGCACAACCATTCTTTGGAATCAACTTCCAGCAGCAGTATTTCTGAACCGATACAACAACATGACCTTCAAGAAAAGAGTATATTCCTTTTTAAAAGGCCGGCAGCACACCTGCAATGCCGCTGGTGTTGTGGGTGATCATGGGCGGCGGGTGTCACTTACCATCAGGTGAGCCGCATGCTCGTTTGCCCCCTGTGTTGTAAAAAAAATGCGGGGGGGGGGGTTGTTCGCAATAAATCCTATCAAGTGACCTGTATTATCCTCACTTACATCTTACTGGTACCCCGCCAGCATATATCGATACACGCTGGCGGAGTTACCATTAAATTTTCACCCATAAAGAAAAAAATTGATTCAACAGTCTAATTATAATATCATAATAATACAATATTACATCCTGATTGATTTTAAAAGCTGAAATTATGGTGTTTTTTTTTTATACCATTGAGGTGGCAAACAAGCATACGGCCCACCTGATGGTAAGCGGTTACCGTAGCCTATGAACGCCTGCA